GATATGTTTTTTTTGTAAGGTCCAGCGCGCCGAAAATTCACCTGCGGGCATGAACAAGACCAACTCGTCACAAAATCAGCAAGAGCTGCCTCTTGCAGTAGCGTTACCATATGCGTACCTACGCGACGTGAGTGGTCGCTGCCGGTCTCAACAAGCGGAATCGAGGTAGGCAGGCAGTGCGACAGTGCCCTCCATCAGCAGCTTACTTACTGTCCAGAACTGCACACAATGCAGCTTTTGAAGGGAGATAGGAAGGCACAATAGTCATGCTCCTCAGTGGTTCTCAATGATGATCTGATGATCATCAATGAAAGCTCGGCATACGGCTCTGCAAAGAGCTCCGCGGCGGTGTATTTCAATTATTGGCTGTGAGCCCTCCTGCAAGCCCTCCCATTGGTATGCCTGCCACCCTGACTGCATCAGTGCGTCCTGATACAGACCATCGCAAGGCTTCTGGGGGATCGGGAACAACCTGTGCAATCATACTTGCACCCTGATGATGTGACACATCCTTCCGAGAAGAAAGAAAGGTGCATGTGATTGTGTTTCGAGGTTGATCAGATACGGGTACTGCGCCGCTCAAGCTTTTGCCGTAACAATAGACGAGGCTCTCGAGTGATTTTAATAGAATCGACAGAAAAACTTTGCGTGGCTCATGCAACGTTGGAATGTGCACTGGAGATCAAGACTCATTCTGGAGGGCACACTGGCGCTGCACCCGAAAACTCCGCTCGTACAAGGAGTTTCACGTAGCGGGATAGCCTCACTGAAACGCATTGGTACCAAAGCAGCCTTAGTGTATAGAGTAAGTTCTTGATCTGGCCTTGCCACATTTCAAGTGTGGTCTGGCCTCAGAGACGAGAATGCTTGAGCCTTCAGATCAGCACACTACTATGCAGGCCCGTTCGCTGAATGGAATCCACGGCAATTTTCAGTCGTGAACCAACCCGAGCTTTGATGATCTAAAGAGTCTATGACGCTATTGTGCCCTGGCTTTCGGTGAAGGTCCATCGGACTCCTTCCTATGCTCTCGGCTTTGATGCCTCACGATAGCGCCCAGTTCACCAAGTTCCTTCAAGTCAGCCACTCAGAACAGACATGTTCTCCGGATTTCTATTCGAGGGCCTCCATAATCGCGTACTGGGAACCAAGACAATACAAGCATATAGTACGATCGTACACATGTGGCCAGTGTACCCGCCAACACTCTGCTGGTTGTGAGTAAGACCAATTCAGAGCGTCTAACACTTCGAAGATCACTATCAATGGTTATCAGCGACTCGGAAAAGTGCGCGTCCAAATCCGATAGTGTGGTAGCTTAATATTGCCTTGCTGTGCAGCAGTATCACAAAACTTTGGCGCCCACACTAGGACGCTCTGTGTGAACGCAATATCGAGTTCGTCGTATGTGCGCAGGCCACATTGGTGGATGGGCATTGAATACAATACCAGCTCTATGGTTCCAAACGCGACCTCGGGACGGCCAGATGCAGTGTGTGACACAAATATCGGCCCGTCCTGGATTTTGTGCTCCTGATCGAGATGCCCAAAATCCACTTTAGAATATCACGACCAGCAAGGCCCGTTACATATGATGCTGAAGAACACCGAACATGCTCATCTGAAGAGGTGTGGCTTACAGCAGACATCCTTAGACGCCTTGCTGTGCTGATATGAGTCGTATTCGAGAATCAACGAAAACTGGGGCTGTGTCTCGACACGCCAGATCTTTCTGCTCAGAACCACCGGAATAGCCGCAAGCTTTTGTACTGATATAACACGCTGCACTTGTGCCAGACACCGACCTGCACCACCCATGCCAAATACCACTATGCTCTCTCCTGAAACTAAGAGCATCTCTTCCTGGAAGGGACCACCATCTTGTTCACCTGCGTGTCCCATCTGATGGCAGTCCCCACCCATGACCGCGCGTATGTATTACAGTGCGATCAAGCTCCCCGCCTCGTTGAAAGCATTCCTCGTTGAAAGCATTCCTGACTTGAGATGCAAAATGTGGTCAAGTTCATGCTGTAGAGATACGGTATTGCGGACGGTCCGAGAGTACCTCCCAGGTGATGGCTGTGCTGTGCTGTTCTTGCACAAGTGGCGCACGGTCATTCCATCATTCCTCCACCAAGTTCTACCTAGGATCCCACACTCCCAAACATCTGCTATGGAGTCGAAAGTCCCTGTTGATATACCACAGCTTCTTCGCCTTACGATTCAGATCGTGTTCTCGCCGCCGCTCGCTCACTACCGCATCTCCGCCGAACCCCTAGAATCTCTTCATCGAGCTTGAGCGTCCTGGGGCGCGGAGGAACACAAGAGTGTTAGGGGAGCACATAAACTCGACTGTTTGATCAATGATATCAACACAGAGGGACATACTCTTATGAGGGGAGACGTGGTCATACATGCTCGCTGGCGTGCGGCTTAGGTAGGGAAACGTTGCCGGAAGGCAGTACAACGCGTCCTTCAACTGTAAAACGTCCAGTAAGTGCTGGCAAGGGTTACCGCCAGTCTATGAAATACACAGTACATGTGATGGCTTAAAAAGCGCGTGCGTCTGGTTGCCGCTGTCTGCACGCAGTGTGTCGGGTCTGTATTGCGTCCATGATGACCGCGCGGCTGGCTAATACTGTGCTAACTTGTAGGTATCGAGCGCCGTACAATATGTCAGGCAATGCATGCCTGTAGGCTTGAACACGCTGAAGAAGAGCATGGTCTGCCTGACCACGTCGTTCTCGACATCATCGCTAAAGAATACGCAGGAACCAGACCCAACTCGAACACGACACCCAACCCCTCACACATCCCGAGAGGTCATTACAATCATGCTTAATGATTGCGGCCCATGATCGAAAGATAGCGCGCACACGACAAGCACAACGCGACATGTCACTACCACTTAGCGCCTGCGTCCACCTCAACACGATACAACCTTCGACGCCGCCGAAAACCTCGCACAGGTCACGAAACCATCGATTGCGAACACGTGGTATAAAACTGGCACAATGATGGCAATGAGGTGCAAAGCTACAGCCGGTTGTGGCTTGCTTCACTGGACAACACTGAGCTACAGACTCACCTAGGAACCCCCCTGGTCTCTTCATTGATAAATGTTAGTGTTTTTGATCTTGAAGTAAACCTAGGTGTGGGTTTGTATTGAGCGGGGGCTTGCCTATAAGGCATTGTGGGTTCGAATCGGATCCAACCGCACGCCGGCGTCTGGATCTGCTTCGATCTCATATCCTGTCCATGCTACATTGTTGCCTATTGGCACGTGTGTACGATCACCCATAGAATGATCGAAGAGATTCTCTCATACACGGACGCGGTTGGCTCATGGTAGACGTAGAACTCGTTGGGCGAGTGGACTATTCAGGAGAAGATCTATCTCCAGGCCGAACTCCGTCCGTCTAGCATCTCTATCTGTTTGATCCCTTCGGAATGTCCCATACGGTCTCGCGTTTTATCTTTTTTTTTGTTTTGCGTAGTTGCGTCGCTCATTACTTCAACATGTGTCATGACGTTGAATCATGACATCCGCAAGGCAAAGGTCGGTGTTAATTGGCGTCCAGGCTCACGTCAAAGCGAGTCGCAATTCCGGCCTTTTTAGCGCACGCGTCGAACACCCCTGAAACTGCTCTACACCTGCATCCGATAGTATCTTCGGTGCGTTATTGGACGGACGAAAGTTCCTAGCTGCGTGTTCCGTGGACATGGCTGTGGGGAGCCGCGTGCGCTCTACGGGCGCATATATATACATGATCCCCATGCACTATGTCGCAGAATGGCTCTTCCGCAACCGACAATCAATATGTCGGAAGCTATGGTTCCACCTGCTGGCTCGTCTTTAGATTACCTCAATCTCCATACCACAGCCCTCGCCTTCATCGACGCGCAAGCTCAAGACCCCTCGCAGCCACAACGCATGAACTTCAAACGCATTGAGAGAATCTGCACAACAGACTATGAACATTCATGGGGACACAATTATGCAGTGTCGATGAACCCTCGTCTTCAAGGCACATATTCGTTCTCGCATTTCACGAAGCATCTCGAGGCTATGTTGCCGAACCTGGAGTCGTGGGAAACAACAGTGACTGATGTTCTAGTAGACGAAGCGAAAATGAAGGTCATGCTCAGAGTCAGCTTCTGGATGGTTCCAAAAGGCTCACAGGCATCGGTAGAAAACGACTTGTTATGGATGCTGGAAATGAATCACGAGGGAAGGAAGGTAAAGAAGAGCACTGAGTTCGTTGACGGCATTGCGGCAGGTAGATTGAAGGAAATTATGATGGGTGGAAAAGCGTGAAATTACTGGTACGCAAGCCACGCCTACGGTGCCACATTTCTAGCATCATGGACACAGCACGATGTCGAAGCTACAAATAAATACAGAAGAATGGCTTCATACGATGAAGGAAGAATGCTCAATATGGTATCTTTGCTAGAACGATCAAACCCTACTCAACGCGGCATAATTTGCCGTTCTCATTCGGCAAACCATCTACACTCTCTACCTTCCACCTCTCACTGCCCACACCTGTTGTTGCGAAGAACAAATCGTAGGGGTCAAGCTTCTTCTTCAGCTCGAGCAGCTTCGGGTACTTGTCGCCCCAGAATGCGAATCCGAAGTCCGGTTCCAGACGATCTGCCTCAGCGAGGTAACCTCCGGCGCCAGGGCTGATGTCACGCCAAGACTGTGCATCGACGTCCTGGAAGTCATTTCGGATCTTCAGGATCTCCTCACTTGTGCTGTTGATGGGCCAGCGGACGGATTGCATAGAGAAGGAGACTAGCGGTCGCCAATGGCTGTTGACCGCGTTGTCGTTGTTGGCAGGGTCTTTGGCCTGCATGTTGAAGTGGACCTGGACTCGGTTCTTCTCGGTGGACCTCTTGATGTGGTCGAAGATTTCTTGACGCTTTTCCTCCGTTTCAAAGTTTGCGCGAGGGAATAGTCGAGAGGCTGTTGCAACATTGGGCTTTTGTACGGCTTCGAGTGGGAACGATGAGCGCCATGCATCATAGTAGTTGTCGAAGTGCGTAATGTTAGGGTCGAACTTGACACCAAGCTCATTCAGCTTGTTGAACCAAGGTTGAAGAAGAGCAGTTGCATCTTCGAGTGACTTATTGGGGGCGAAGAATGGCGAGAACGCGAAGGCGAAGGTTCCGTTGGAAGGAATTAATGTCCAATAGGTGTACGTTTGCGCATCAGCGTTCGCGATCCATGAATCGACGTAGCTGCGAATGGCAGCCCAGAAGTTTTCGACTCCGGTTTGCGCAGATGAGAAGCCAAAGCGAGCGGCAGTAACCTCGAGATCAGGATGAGCCTTGACAGTAACCGATGTTGTGACACCGAAGGTGCTGCCGCCTCCACCGCGCAAGGCCCAGAAGAGGTCAGTGTTGGAAGTTGAGTTTGCGACCACGAACTCGCCGTCAGCGGTGACCACTTCGAAAGACAGGACGTTGTCTGCACCAGTTCCGTAGATAGGAGTCAATGGGGAATGTCCGCCTCCTAGAATATACCCACCCATGACTCCGACAGTCTCGCCCTCACCACCAACAACAATTCTTTTCTTCTCGGCTGCGGCCTTGTATATCTCGAAAGCTTGCACACCAGTACCAGCCTTGAAAGCCGGTCCTGAGTAGCCCATGTTGCTGTCTTCATACTTCTCGATGTACTCAATGTCTTTCATCCAGTGCGTCCAGATGCTTAAAGAATCTTTGCCGCCACTCTTTCCAAGAAAATCATGCCCCGTGTTCTTGACGACGAGTCGGACACCAGTATTCCGCGCAAAGTTCACAGCAAGCTGGACGTGCTTTGGCTCGGTGGCGTTCATCACGTACTTGGGAAATCCGCCGCGTGTGCAGCCACGCGAATCGAACAGATTTGGGATCGAGCATGTCAATCCTTGAGCGACTGGAGAGTACATTTCAATCGGGTCATGTATATGCGTGTATGACTTTTGCCATTCCGTTACAGTGTACGCAGCGCATTGGGTCGCATTGTAACTGGGCTGGTCGGGATAGCATACTGCCGCTCGAGGGGTCGCATCTGCGATCAAACGTCCGTCGCTGAGGTCATTCAACTGAGCCCAAGCCTCATCCGAAGGCCATGCTTCGTCGCCAGGATAGACTTTGCATCGCGAAGTGGTGACATTGGGGGCGGCCTGTGCAGCTGGAGAGAAGAGGTACTTCAAGGTTGACGAGACACCATTAAGATCTACACCGACGTGCACATTGCCAACGTCGAGGTTTGCTGAGAGCACTGGAGTCGCGCTCGTGTAAGTGGCCAACAAAGCTGTGACCAGGACCGGGAGTGAGGCCATGGTGATGTTCGGCTCGAACGAGCTTCCCTCTCTTCACAGGTCGACCGCGTCGAGCACTTGCAGATCTGTCACACCGGTCAAACTTTAATCATACGGAATTGCATAAGAACGGGTTTCTTACATACTAGCTTCTCGGTCCGAAGCTGCTCTGGTTGTCGACGAGATCAAGATCACTCACGCTGCGAGATATTGACAGGCGTGGTGCAAGAGTAATGAAATCAGGGCTACCTCGTTCTAATCAAGGATCAAGGTTGTGGCAAAACTCGAAATGCCGTCCTTGGCTGCATTTCTCGCTCATTTCCTGGCCCTGTATTCCCCCAGTGGATCATCAATTCATCACAGCGGAGGATGCACGAACTGAGCGCGAAGCACGGTCAGTGGCACGGCGCGCTGCGCACGTTGTTGGTTGAGACGGCACATCGGAGGGGGCGAGCAACGTCAGGCCAAATTAAGAAGAGGGCTAACCGAGTCTGGTGATGTAAGATTGATCATGAATGATCGTTGCTCAATGGGGGAGAGGACTCGACTGGGATGCGACTCAGCTGTTCATCTTACACCCCGCTTTGCTTCGGCGTCACTAGAGGAACGCGTAGCAAACATGGTACTTATCTCGTATCTGTTACAAAGGAGCTGAACGTACCAATCTGTAGCCATTGCTTAGATGGCAGCGTTTGGTGTGATTGGTGCGAATATTGGAGTTTTGAAGTCTTGGAGCGGACCGAGCCTGAGAGCCGCAACGTAGACGTGCGCGCCTGACACTCCCGAGGTCACCGAACGAACATCACCAACTCCACGGCTCTAGAATGGGCTCAACGATATAGTCTCGCAGGATTCTGAAACTGCACTTGATAACAGAATCATGGTCCGCTACCCTTACTCGCTATCACGGATGAGAGAGAACTTTTCGCAGGCAGTGATGCCCAAGAAGTGTTTGCCGCCGCTTAGTCGACACGCGGTACTCGCGGAGAGTAATATCTGCGCTAGTGAAATACTCCGCGTTACAGGGCCCGCTTCGCTCAGCAATTATTCTCCGAAGTCAGTCGAGGATTGTCATGCCATCACGTCTGCCATTGTATGTGTATACAAATATCTTGTTTTCATCCCTACACAACCCACTGGCCAATCTTATAATATCGGAGCTATGGGTGTGTGAAACGAACCTCGGAAACATCGTCAAAAACCATCACGTCCTCCTGAGGTCAAGCACGTGTCGCATGAATCGGTCCGGGACGTGCTCAATGGCCGGGTGGACTTCCCCGTCAGCCACACACAGGCCGCTTGACCTGTGCGCAAAGATCAACACTTCTTTTCTCCAAATCTTCTCTAGTCGTCAGAAATGTCCTGATTGATCACTGCCATGCCTTTCCAATATCGTCCGCCTGACTAGCCTATTTGCCCATCATGCATTAAGTAAAACAAAACAACTGCTTGGGGGCTCTAGAACCGGCCTATAGGTCCGAAATTCGTCTAGACAGGATTCTTTTCCCCAACGGTAAGGCGGGACCTGCATCAAGAAACGGCTGGGAACGAAGTTCATGCAGGCTGGAGAGTGACAGAAATCTCGGTTGCATCCACCGAACGACAAGCACCACCCCAATGCATTTGCTACCCAGAAAAAACCTGTGATCTTCTTCTCGCTAGCTTCGCTACCTCCCACTCGGTCCCACCTGCAAGCCATTGAGGCACATCACCTCATTCAATACTCTTCTCCAGGCGAATCAATTGCGCCTTAACGATCTTATTCTCAAAACCGCCTGACTTTCTTTGCGCGATCGACTAGGCATACAGAGGGTTGCATATGCAAGAGCCTGTCAAGATCTCGTCACATGTGCTAGCCAACTCTGGAATTGGCTTTCACGCGTTTCTATAGGACCGACTGAGACTTCCATCTGCACTCCGACTCATTCCCCATCTCGACACATCGATAAGGTTCACTTGGTTGTGAATCGCAATTATACTTGTCGTACACATCATGGTGGAAAGTCGGCAAGAGGAATGCCTTACGATCATCGCCATCTTCACGGTTCTGGCCTTCCTCTTCGTAGCGGGTAGAGTGTATTCGCGCTACCTAGGGCGCAACTTTGCCTGGGATGACTACCTCATCATCATATCGATGGTTCTTCTGTTTGGACAAACAATTGCGACTTGGAAATGCAAGTCACTCAATTCTTTATACTTGACGAAGGCTTATGCATAAGTAGTTGTCCTGTTAAGTGGTACTGGCTATCATGTCTACGACCTTCCAAAGAAGACGGTACCGGAACAGATCACGACAAACAAATGGAGTTTCGCTGTCCAAATGTTCTACCATCCAATGATGTTTGCGATCCGCGCGTCTATCATCATGTTCCTGTGGCGCATGAAGGATAAGCGAAGGAGGATCAGGTACTCGCTGCATGCGGTTTGTAAGTGTAGCCCACCACTATGGCACTACTGGAGGTCATATCTGGAAGACGAATACTAACCTCCGCGACAGGGTGGCTCAATATCATCTATGGAATCAGCACCACTCTCGGCAATATCCTTCAGTGTACACCTGTGCAGTATGCGTGGGCCAGACCCGCCATGGACACTATGGATGCCGACGGCAACCTAGTCAAAGGCGGAACATGCTTCGACTCTCGCACCTTTGTTCTCACATCTTGCGCGCTCAGCATCTTCATGGACGTCATCATCATCCCTATCCCCTCCATCATGGTCTGGAACCTACAAATGGAGCGCAAGACCAAGATGCTCGTCGTGATCGTCATGTCACTTGGGTCCGTAATACCAGTCCCAAGAACGAAACCCGAGCTAACGGAGTGAACAGATGGATAGCAACAGGTGTATCAGTGGGCCGCTTCATCGTCTACTACTACCGCATCGCGCCCACCAACAAAGACCGAACGTGGGACATTGGCGTCTCCATCTCCATCGCCGAACCCGCTGTGCATATCATGACGGCCTGCGCACCCGCTACGAAACGTCTCTTCCGCTACCTCTTCCCGTACTTCGCTCGCAGTCGCACAACAGGCAACTACTACGAAGACCGCGTGACTACGAACAAGTCCACTGGCGTCCGGCGCAACTTCAACAGGTTCAGCTTCGGTCTGAACAAGGACGAAGAAGAAGGCGCCGAGGAGATTGGCATGGCGCCGAAGAAAGATGGAGATGTGGATCGAGGCTTTGGCATGAAGCGCTTGAGCACAGTGGACTCGCGGGAAGAATCCAAAGAAGACAAATCGAGCATACATGTTGCGGAAGCGGAGCCGCAGCACTGCTTGGGACTTGCGAAATGATGGCGTTGATTGGGCGGATATTGTGAATTACCTAGCGTTGCTGGTCATGGGGCGTTCGATACCATGTTTGTTTTGTTGCGCTTGTATGATCATTGAGGGCCTTTGTATAATATTGATGACGATAACGAACTGGAAGTGGGAAGCGTTTCGTTTAGGTCCAAGAAGAGGCAGTACATCTTGCAATACATCAATGTTGCGCAATTGCCAAAAGCCTGTGACGTGACATGACTTTTAGAATCTCCATACTCATGGACTAATATTTGTAGTCAACATTCATCCGAACACTCGCGATTCTAAACTCCTCGTGCTCCCCATTCCTGTATCTTTCTGACTTGTGAAATACTTACTACCAATTTCTCCCGCCCACACCCTGCCAATCAGATGTACAACGCATGACCACTACCAATAGCGTGATCAGACCAGTATATAATCTCCACCACGCCCTTTTAACACTATTCTTCTACACTAACAGTCTCCTATGTTCCAAAAGCAGCCCGAACACCTCGCTATGACCTGGTGTCTGCATTCTAAAAATCCCTGACGACTATCACATGAGAGAGGTTAGAAAACACAGCGAACACGAGTCATGTCGTTTCCATCTCAGCTTTCTTCTCACGGCTATGTTTCAATGGGACGGAACTATTCGTAGAATGATCAACTCCCGAAAACTTTGAGCCATTTAGGGCTAGCGATATATAAATTCTTCCTCCTTCCCACCCTCTTTCTTTCACACCAACATGCTCTCCTTCCAGGTCCCAAAAAGACCTGGAAACCCCTCCCATAGGCTAGTGTCTGTTTTCCAAAATATTAAAACAATAGTTCTTGAGAAAGCTTAGAGAATGCTAGAAGCACTAGCTGACGTCAGGCTCTCTTCTCGCAGTTGTGTTCATGTACGTAAGATAATTATGTCTCGAAAGTTTCGCGGAGTTTTGATCGATGATGGATAGCGATATAGAAACTCCACTACATTGCTTCTACTTCCTTTTCTTATCTAATATCACATCCTCCTACATTGTACAAAATACCTGCGATAATTGCCATGACCCTGGTGTCTAATGTCAAAAAAACCTATTCAGAGAAAATAGGACGAATACTTCGCATGTCGTTTCTCTCCCAGACTCTCTTTTCGCCGCTATGTTAGATGCGAAGAAACCATATTCGTGAAATGAAACGACCACGCCCTGAAGGTTTTGCAGACTCTTAGCTAGCGACGTATAAAATCCACCACGGCCCTTCCAATCTCTTCCTCCGCACCAATATCATTTCCTACTATTTTCCAAAACTGCACGGAAAACACGACATGGTCTGGGTTGTCTGCTCTCCTCCAAAAAAACCCTGACGATGCTCAATAAGAAAGCCTCGAAATGATAACAACCATCACAACATGAGTTTTTTTTTAGATTCTCTTCACGCAGTTGTGTTAAGAACTTTGACGCCGGTGAACTGTGTTCGTGGAATACCATCTGAAATCTCAATACCTAACCTTCCCCGCCCTCACCCTACTCGGACTATCCGCCCAACTCCCCGTAAACCCATCCTCATCCTGATCCCCCTCACAATCCACATCCCCCAGATCAATCCCCGTCACCCCATCCGGATCACTATCTCCCTCCTCATCTACCCCACCCTCCCTCTCCGGACTAAACACCGGACTCGTCGCAATGCGCGGCCGACTCTTAAACACTCTCTCATAATCGACTTCATCGCTGAACAGCACCTCCTTAGGCGTGCGCTCTGGATCCGTAGATTTCGCCTCCTCGATGATTTCAAACGACTTGCGCGTGCGCGGCGTGTCGAATTGGTTGACGGGGAAGAGCGAGTTGCGGCTTTTGCGCTTGTCTTTGTCACGCGGGCCGCCGAGGGATTGACGGGGCTTGGCTTCCATGGCCATCATGCTGAGGCGCGTGCGTTCGAGGAGGGTGGCGTGGCGGTCGGGTTCGGGGTCGCTGGGGAGCGTGGGGAGTTGCGGGCTGGGTTCTGGTAGAGGCGATTCAGTGATCGGTTCAAAGGAGGTGGTGCGGGCCATTGACATGCGGGTGCGTTCGAGGAGGGAGAGGGACATGCGTGGTTGGGGCTTCTTGACGGGGGAGGGGGTTGCGTCGCCGATGGATGTGACAATTTGTTCGGCTAGTGCTTCTTCGGGGTTGAGCTCTGGTGGTTCTAGGAAGGGTGTTGGCGGCTCGAAGGGACGTGCGAAGGTCGGCTCTGGAGACGGTGGCTGAGAAGGGTAGTCAATGGCCTGTGGCGGAGATGACGGTGGCTCCTCTACTACTTCTGGTACAATCTCGGTCGTGTCCAGTTCAGGCTCTGACACAGCATATTCTTCCACCGGGCTTTGAGTTGGATACGATGCCGTCCCTGTACTGCGCAAAGCAGATGTATGACCAACGAGCGTCGCTTCGGAATCAATAGGCGTGGCTGTAACCGGTGCTCGTCTTGTGGGGAGCAGGACCGGAACCCTTTCGAGTGACGACTTCTTGCTCTGAAGCAACGGCCGCGTAGTTCGCACTGGGCTTATCGGCACCGGAGGTATCGACTCCGATCGTGTGTTCTTGCGGCTTCGTGCTGGCGAATGCGCACCAGATGAAGTCCGTCTTCGTGCCAGCGGGGAAGCAGTTCGAATCGACTTTGAAGTAGTTACGCGAGCCAAATCCGCCTTCATCTCGCTCAAGATACCCTCATACTCTGAGGACATAGCTGGGCGCTGCACAGGCTTCGTCTCATTTGCGCTCCGCTTGCTAGACGGTAACGCATACCGTAAATGGTCCTCGAACTTGAACTCCTTGGTGACTGCAGGTGCTTTCACAACAGTAGCCGTGGGGTCTGCCTTGTCCTGCTGAAGCCTCTCATGGAACGTCTTCCACTTCGCCAACCTGTCTTTCTGTTCCTGCACCCTCGACTGCAAGTTCTCTAGCAACCCCGCTTCAGGAGTAACATCTTCCAACTTCCTTCCATGCTCTACCATGCGCCAGATCTTGTCAAACCTGCTGCCCATCCAAGCTTCGCCAGCTTGCACATCGTCGCCTTGAAGCATAACATCTAGCCACTTCTGGTTGCCAATCCAGTTGTCTTTGAGCTGCTTTTTGATAGCATCTGCCTCTCTCTGTGGCACTGCGGGTCGCTTTGCCCGTGGCGTGTCTTTGCTCTTGCGTATGCGCCGATTGATGTCCTCCGTCTTGCTATTCAACAGAGCCTCAAATTCTAAATATCGCCTCCTCTTCTGCTCTTTCCGTCTCAGAATGTTGACAAGCGCCGCCTTGTGCGCGATGGCTAGGGGCAGCAGAGACTGCTGACTGCCCGCAGACAGTGTCGGTGCAATCGCCAGTCTCCTGGCAACAGCCTCATCGCTGACCCTGCTTTCTCGCGACTCGAGCACTTTCTTAAGCGCAGCATTGGAGAAGATGGCGAGTATCTCGTAGAACTTCTCGCCCTTGCATTCATCCAGCATAGTCTTGCGAAGCACAGTCTCCCGACCCAAGACCCCATTCTTCTTCAGTTCGTTCAGACATCGATACAACGCAGCGCGGAGGTTCAGCGACTGAATAGGCTCGAGGGGCGGAAAGAATGGTTGGAGTTTCTACATATCATCAGCGCCACCCCAAAATTACTTGGGCTGTACTCAATTACCTGCGCCGTCTCATCGGGATCCCATATCTCGAAAAGTCGAAAGAGCGCCCATTCAGTCCCACCAATCCTCTGTCTCTGATCCGCGTTCTTCGCCGAAAAGGTTTGCACCGAAATTCCCGGCCAGTCGCCCTTCAAGTCCAAATCCAATAATCTCAAGTTCGACACAAAAATCCTAACATCCTGCGCAGGCGAAGGGTTCAGCGGTTGCGGCTTTGTGTTTGTTTTGGCAGACAAGCTGCGGGAAATGCCGTGGGTCGTGGTATTAGTGGCTGTCGACGACTGCGAGGTTGACCGCGACATGCTCTCGCCGTTTGCATTATCTCGGAGTTGTTTGGTCTTTGCTGGGTCATATAGCAGCTTCCAGCGGTGAGGAGAGTGATTCGTGTGGTGTTGTTTATGCTGCCAAGGCGGAGGGAAGCGACTAAAGTCCGCGCGCATGCAGGTGCAGGGGTCCGCGCTTTCCTTCGTCACTGGTTGCGTTTGATAGTGAAGTGCACAAACATTCACGCTTCACTCACTCTTCGCATAGCGTGAGTCGGCTTCGCACACACCTCCTCCCTGCTTCGACACACCACACCAGCCAAAATGGCCGTCGACGAAGCAACACAGACCAACGGCGTCCCCCCGCCCACCGCGGGGCAGTCAAAGGCAGAAGAAGTCTCACAGGCCAAATGGAGCGTCGAGAGCGGTATGTCCTAGCAGCGCGTCGTCGTACGCTCTACTCCACCCCATAATCCACACGTGTAACTGACCTGCCACCCACCCAGTCCTCACCGAACTCAACCTCACCTACACGGAATCGACCGCCTCCCCCCTCCCCTTCTTCCACCTCCTCCAGCGCCTCAAAACCACAAAACGCGCCGGCTGGCAACGCTTCGGCATCCCGGCCCCCGAATCCATCTCCGACCACATGTACCGCATGAGCATCATCACCATGCTTGCGCCCGCCAGTCTGTCCAGCAAACTCGACATGGCCAAGTGCTGCCGCATGGCGCTCATCCACGACATGGCCGAGGCGCTGGTGGGAGACATCACGCCCGTCGATCCAGTCAGCAAAGAAGAGAAGAGTCGCCGCGAGAGCGAGACGATGGATTACATCTGCGAGAAGTTGTTGGGCAAGGTTGGTGGGGGGCTCAATGGCGTCGAGGTCAGGAAGATTTGGCAGGAGTATGAGGATAGCGAGACGAGCGAGAGTTTGTTCGTGCATGATGTGGATAAGATTGAACTGCTGCTGCAGATGGTCGAGTATGAGCGGGAGAGTGGGTGTGAGAGGGATTTGGGCGAGTTTACTTGGGTCGCGAAGAAGATTGTGAGTGAAGAGGTGCAGGGCTGGGCAAAGGATGTCTTTAGGGAGAGGAAGGAGTTGTGGAAAATCGCGGGCAGGACGTGTACTTGGAGGGCGGATACGGAGCCAAAGGAATGAAGATGAATGACAAGGTCGGGCGATACTAGGAAGACGGGGAGGGCACGACAATGAGATATGCTTGATGCTGTACGATGAAACTTGGTGTTATATGGTACAAGCCTTGAGTCGAGAGAACAGGGCGGATCTAAATACCTCCTTGATACCCCTTTTATACATGATTCAAAACCCCGTCTTATGCGCCAACAAATGCTCAGTATGCTCGCCAAATACGCCTGGTCGTCACATCCCATCATCCCTCACCCCGACCCAGACCCCTTCTTCTTATCCTCCTCCTCCTCATTCAAATGCTTATGCTGCCCCGTCAAATTATGCCACGCGCTCTTCAAGAACCCCTCTCCCTGGTGCCCATCTTTCGCAGCCTTATCTTTCTCCCTCTCGACCTCCTCCCTCATCTTGCCCGGATTGATCACCCGGCGGGCGGACTTATCGCCCATCTCGTCGGCCAGCATTTCCAGAATCGTGCGCTGGTTGACGCTCAGGTACTTGGGCATCGCGACCTTGAATTCCACCTTGAGATCGCCTTTACCCGCCCGCCGTCCGCCGTTGAGGACTTTCATCCCCATGCCGGACAGTGTGACGCGATCGCCCGTCCCCGAACCCGTGGGCACTTTGACCATGACTTCGCCGTCGAGCGTCGGCACCTTGATCTCACCCCCCAGGACGGCCGTCGTGAGCGGCAGCGTGGCCGTATGCAGAATATCACTCCCATTGCGCTTGAACTTCGGATCACTCGCGACGCGAATCAGGACGTACAGATCGCCCTTTTGCCCGCGGATACTGCCTGAAGACATGGCGTGCCCGGTGAGCGGGGCGTCGCCTTCGCCGTTGACGCGCAGGCGCATGCCGTCCTCGACGCCGCCGGGAATGTCGATGGAGATGGATTTGCGCTGCTTGACGGCGCCGTCGCCCGAGCAGGTATTACAGCTACTACCGCGCGGAATGGCGAAGCCCGAGCCGCCGCAGGAGCCGCAGGTCGCGGACATGTGGAAGCCGCCCATGCTGGTGACTCTCTGACCGGTACCACCACAGGACTTGCACTCAGCGCGCTTTGCGCCCGTCTTGAGGCCCGAGCCGGAACATGTGCCGCACTCGACCAGGGGCGTGATGTGGATTTCCTTGCTGACGCCCTTTGCGGCGTCAAGGAAGGAGATGTTGGTTTGGATTTCGATGTTGTCGCCGACGAGGATTTCTTCTTGGAAGGGGTTGCGTCTGCCGCCGCCGCCGCCGCCTCGTGGTCGTCGTCCGCCAGTAAATGCTCCGAATAGGTCTTCGAAGTTTATGTCCTGGAAACCGCCTGCACCTTGGGCGCCGCCGAATCCACCAAATCCGCCAAATCCTCCTCCTCCAGCGAAGGGGTTTCCGCCGGGGCCGCCACCGCCTGCTGCGCCTGGGTTGAAGCCACCATTGGAGTCGAATGCAGAGGCGCCGTAGGAATCATAGGCCTTCTTCTTGTCGGCGTCGGAGAGGATTTCGTAGGCGGACTGGGCAGCAGAGAACTTTTCTTTGGCGGTGGCTTCCTTGTTGGTGTCAGGGTGGTATTTCTTTGCGAGGCCGTAGTAGGCTTTCTTGATGTCGGCGGCGGAGGCGTTTTTATCGACGCCGAGGGTTTTGTATGGATCGGCTATCGCGGAGGATGGTGAAGTTGCGTGGAAGTGCTGCAGCCTGTTAGCTCACAATGTATACAATTGGGTCGATTTACACATACTCGTATTGATGGTGCATTCTGCTGTCTCCGTACTGTGACCGATGGCCGCCTTGGTTGTGCTCGGTTTGCGGTAGATATCCGCCGTCTCTGACATAGCGGTCGTGACGTCGATACAGCGCGGAGAGGTGCAACCGCCCTGAGCGGCATTGGACCAGCCAGGCTCATGTCGAGAGATTAAGAAGATTAAAATGGGCGTATGTTTCGTTAATGTTGCGCCGATACAGCTTTTCCGATGTGGTTCGCTGGAGAGAAAGTTTTGGGGATGCGGTCGCACTGGCCAATGACGAAGCGCCGTCTCCGCGAGCTTCTAGCAATTTCGACAACAGTCCCGAGGCAACTCAAGCTCGAGAGGGTTGGTTGTTATTCGGCGCTTTCTACATGAAGTGACGGGTTTGCACTTTCGTTTGCTCTTTGTGTGCAGGTATGCGCCAGAACATGAGGCGATGCGTTGCTCCAGCTCATGTGTGCAGGCGTCGTGCAGCACATGGCGGAAACGGGAGGATGCCGCGTTGGACCCACGGCCAACGACACGGGAGATATCGAGTACGTTATGCAAGGTACCAAATGTTTCATTATGACTATGCCTCTATTCATGTCCCATGTACAGGTAATTTGCCATACAACATGCTCAGTCATCAACATTCGACCGTTCCCAGGTCGTGCCCTGGCCAGCTCCCATCCGCTGGTGCTGCGCCTGCCCAATTATAGTAATATGCATCCCAAAACGCCAGTCCAATGCTCATGCAGGTAGTTGTAGTGTAGGCTGACTATTGCCAAACCTGGGTATCGTGGAGAAACGCCGCAAGTGCAGCGAAGTGTGTGTGCGAGGTCATGTCGTGTGGTATCATTTCCGTTGCGGTGCGAATCGGACTCTGAACTCGTCGTCTGCACGCTGTTAGCTGCCGCGCTCGTCGACAGCGACGTGGCGCGCCGTACCTTGGTGTTTTGACTTGTACAGCCAGTCGACAATGACATCAGACTCTGTCACGCCGAGCGCGTTGAAGTGTCTGCGCACTGCCATGGCTACCTGGTCCTTGTGCACTCTTCGTTTGGACTTGGGCTGGGCCATTGTTGGAGAGAAGCGCCCGATGCCTTGGCCGAGGACGACGTGACTGAGCGGGTTCTTGAACGTAGAGGGGGTGTCGAGGCGGTACGCGCGCCGGTAATTGTGTAGCACAGACGTGTCTTGCGACGCCCATTTGATCTGTGGGGTTTCTTGTCAGCTGCGCATGCTCTGCTCGATTACTGACGAGTGCCTGGTGACGTGGGCGAGAGGGCGAGCGCCGAGGCTGACAAAACCTACATTCGACGGATTGGAGTCGCTGGACGTCTGTCCGCTGTGGACTGATGCATTGTCCACCTCCTTCAGAGCGCTCCCATTCAGCACCGTCGCTCTGCCATTGCGCGGGTTGCGCGAGCCCTGCAGCTTCTCCTTTACTGACTGCGTTTCGTCGTGGTGTTGTTTTTTGGGAGGCATGGTTGTGGACAAAGTGTTGCATGAGACAGAGTCCTTCAAAGCCTCCGGTAAAGTCGAAAAGTGGTGCCCGTGAGCTGGGAGGGACAACGAGTGCTGATCTTCAGTGCTTCTCCTCAAATGACCTGCGACGACCGGCACATTTCAACGCGCTTTGCGCTAGAAGCATGACGTCGAATTTCAGGGTCCCACTTGGCCCAATCCAACCTAGGGGCTCCTCGAGATCCTCGACCCTCAACATGTCAGGTACACACAGACTGTCGTAACTTCGAGCCGTCTCTCCAGCATCCAAGTCGGTTTCCCATTGAAAGACCTCCGTTTTCGAATGGTACCAACGGGCGTTTTTCGCAATCGGCGGCAGAGTTGCTCGCGCGTTTCGCCGGTCGCGTCTCGGCACGCGACACCTACGCGACACACTTAAGCACACCGACAGTTGTATGAGGGCAATCACGTGAGTTTCAATGATCGAGTCGCCCAGCTGTTGCGAATATCGATACTTTCGGAGACCAAGTGCGACTGATTGGTCAAACGACTCCTATGTAGTAGTACGCCATGGAAGTCGTAATAGCTGGACGTCTTGGAAACGGATGGAAGACTCCGATTCATCGCAAGAGATGCAATGCAGGAAGCGTGACTGAAAAGAATGCAGAAGCAAAGGTGCATGTTTGCCTATCCGAGAAAACTACCGTAGAGTTTGGGGAGATACTCCATCACCGACCTCTCACCCGTTTCAGTCTAGATGGACGCCACACCCTTCTCGTCTCCACGATGAAATCTGAACAACTTCGAAGACAACGAAGAAGAAATCTAGTCTGTCGATACAGTTGCAGAATCCTTCAATCTAGGCCATAGACAAGTCTACACTAGATGCGCTGTAGATGGGATCTCTTAGTTTACCTGTCAGATATTGCAAACCGCCCGCCGTGGAACCTGCCTTTACTACCACCAAACCTCACTACTGAAGAACACTCGTTTTCTCTCACCTCAAGCAGCACGGTAAGGGCGCTGCCCCACCGCTCCGATCAAGCTGATTGCCACGAAGGGCCTATATAAAGCACGGCTCTCGGGCGCCAACTCTCTTCCTTTCCACCACATCCTCACATTAATCTTCTCCGAGCATCTTTACCATCTACCTCGCTTTATATAGCTTACTGCCTTCAGCGCATTGACAAGTGATTGCGGCTCAAGCCTACACATCCGTGCAGACTCGCCCCTCATGGCCAGCAACAAGAAGTTCAACCCCGCCGTTTCCAGCTATGCGCCTAAGCTGCACTCGCTGAATGGCATGACAAGCCAGGTGAGCCCATCTACATCTCTGTACTTGGAGGCGCGGATCCTCAACCTGGAGGAAGAGCACGGAAGCCTCAGCCTTCAGATCGATCTCCTTCGGGAGATGCAGGAAGACCTCGCCTCATCGGTTGACGAGCTGAAGAATGGCGGTTGGCCAGTGACAGTTGGTCCCTTCGCAGCACAAGACCCGATCGAGTCCCACCAGAGCGCTCTGAAGTTCAAGCAGGAGCTCGAGCAGCTCAGCCGCGAGGTTCACAAATCAATCGACGGTGATGCTGACGAGGAGAAGGCGAACGGTACGACGACGCCGAAACCGAATGTCAGCGTACCTCCCCATGTACGTGCGGCAAACGGTGGCAGCAATGCGTCAGCAAGCTCGAATTCACTTCCCCCGCATTTGCGTAGCAAGCCTGCAAGCGAGTAAGTCACAAGTGTCAGGATGGTCTGACGGCCTTCCCAATACCACCATGCAACTAACCTTGACATAGAACCAAAGAGCCTGTCACCAAGTCGCCCAACAGCCGCCTCGTTACTGATGGCCCTGTCGACACCACTTACAAGGCCACCATCCCAGCGCCCATGCCGAGCCCGCCTTCATCGCCAGCAACGGTCATGCAGCAAGACTTCTATGTCGATAAGCTGTCTCTGAACGCCTGGAAGCCACACTTCGTCAAGACGTTGTCGCCCATCTCGATTGATGCCAAGATACCTGGTGACATGGCCACCTTCCATCCGCAATTCCTCGAGGAGCACCTTGGTGGCACTGATTGGTCCCCTGGTCTGCGATACATCGTGGGCCATGGCACCTGCATCCTCAAGAACCGCACTTATTACATGCTGGACCCAACCACCGAGCCGTATCTGCCCGACCAACCCGGTGAGCACGGCGCCAAGCTCACTGCATTCTTCAACGTCACACCTGAATCCGAACATGGCGACTTGCCGGGCGGCGCAACGTCGTGGGAGAACGTTCCTATGTTCGTCGAGCAGCCTGGCACCGGCCGATACGTTTACTACGGCAACTACTCGCAGACCCGCTGGAGCGACAAGCTTGACGTCGATACCATGATGGCTAGAGTACCCCAGCACGTCAAGGACTTCTGGGCCACAGAGCTCACCTCGACCATCCGCCCGGCTTGGATGACCCAGGAGCTGAAGAAGCACTTCTTCAAGAAGCCCGATTACATCGGCAAGATCGTCGCCGCTCCCGAAGTCGATACCACCACGATCAACTCCGATATGGAAGTCAAGATTGACGAGAAGATGGCCAAAGACGTGCGCAAGTATGTCGAGGAGCTGAGAGAGTGGGAGCGCGAGGCAAACATGAAGACGGCGATGATCAAGAAGCAGTTCATCCTGGACGCTTTCGAGGCTGTAAGTTTTACGGTTAGGATCACTTCGGTGAATTCATGTACTGACACTACACAGGCTGATATGGATGACCCGCCTGCGCTGCGCCTTTGGTGGGAGTACCTCGAGTGCGTGGACTGGCGCAAGGACTTCTACGACTTGCTCGTCACGTTGCAGTCTCGCGATAAGAGGTTCGCTGAGTAAGCGACGTAGCTACTGGCGATTGGACTCGAAACATTATGGTTGATTGGGCGTTGGTGAGTTCGGATGGTGGAGAGTGGCGTCTGCGAGATGCCCGGCCTCTCGCTTTGCTTCTTCGCCAAAAGTGTTTTCCCGAGTCATTTTGAGCTTTTTCGCCAGCACATTCAGCTGAGAAACCAGGGACTCGATCTGCGATTGTGTATTTATAGTGGCGACTCCACGGAAAGTCAGTGGTGGAGATTAGTTGAACAAAAGTGTTTCGTGTTTGACTGTTTGTCTTTTATGAATTGCGATGCTAGGTCTACTTGCTGACTGAGAGGTAGAGGTCTCAGAGACATGCGGCTTGATCCGCTAGCTCATTGTGCGAAACATGACAGCCTTGCATCCTCGATGCTGCCTTCTTCACTTACACCATTTGCGCAAACATGTCTTCGCGTCGCAACCCCTCGTGTCCGACGTACCATTACACACTAACGCCCCGGTGACGCTATGCGATGACGCACTCTTACGGCCAGCTGTGGCTCTCAAAATCGAGGCTGCTTCATCTATCGAGCGGTCCAGTCACTATCGGCTTCCACTCCAGCTTATCTTGCGCTGGGCATCACTGCGTCTCGGACTATTGACAATCTATGAACGAGTCAAGCGACCATAGCAGTCGTCAGATGCGGAAACCTCGAAGAACTTACTATTATTCAGCGCGAAAATGTGCGGCCATGAAATATGCTGGCTTTTAGGCAGATTCAGATTGACCGCTCGAGACCTTCGCCAGGCGATGGCCCAGGAACGCGCAGGCGCATTCGCCTAATCAGGGTTTTCTACAGTAGGATTCTTCCTGTATATGGCACTATTCGGCTCCACGCCGACCAGGCTTCTCCGCAATATACTAGGGTGCGCAGGAGTCGTGCGTGTCGTATGCGTGGCAACCCAGCGAGTTACCCAGAACACATGCACAAGCGAGCGCCTCCGTGTGACCTCTCATATCAAATAACCTGGGTGAGGTACTATCCGATCGGTGTATGAATCATATCTTTGCTATCACAAAGACGAGTATGTGCTTCAAGCTTCATACTAGATTTCAGAAAAATTTGCGGTGAAATCAAGCATTGATCTACTCTCGCACATCCTACCAAGCAACTTCAACCTCGCGTCAAGATTTTCTACGTGGCCGCGACGACCCACACCTAATATACAAAGCTTCCTCAGATATGCCTCTTTCCCCGCGGACTACGGCTCCGGCTATTTCAACCCCTGCGCGGCTCATATATCGCGGCGACCATCAACCGTTGGGCTAGACCAATATTTCGAGCCATCATTGGTTGGATTTTCTGGTTTCATCTAATTCTTTCCTGATCGGGTCCGGTTACACAGATCAGCAGGCACTGAGAGAATCTGGGGATGCACATGGCGCTGATCGCGCGGTTGCGGAGCGGTTGTTAATTCGGTTTCTGGATGGCAAGGAAACTCGAAAGCCGTCACGCGATTGGATTTGCTAAGATTTACGAGGATGGCATGGGATGAGTATATATTGAGGTGGGCCTTCCACGGCTTTTAAGAGTACCTGCGCTGCTACCAGTCTCCGACTTCCCATCTGCCCTGACCATTCATCGTCCCGCAAAGCCCAGTGACCATGAAGCTTTCTACTACATTCGCTACGGCGGCTTCGCTGCTCGCAACGGCGTCCGCACATGGAGGTGTTGATACGTACAAGGTCGGAAGCACAACATACCAAGGGTAAGCAACCTGTACCGGACGGCCAAAGAACTCGCACTGACAAATCAAAGATGGTCACCGTACAACAGCGCTTCAGGTCAGAAGACTCTTCAACGCCAATACAGCACGTACGACCCACTTGTCATCAAAGATCTTTCAGTAAGTGGCACGATGTTGTGTAGCTTGCAAAGGCTAATGATAGCAGACCGTTAACATCCGATGTAACAATGCTGGAGCACTTGGAACGGGTGTTTCAGGCACTCTGGCTGCTGGGGATAAGCTCACGGCGCACTGGAAACAGTATGTTAGCCCATCACGCTGAGCAGGGAGCTCATGCTTCTATGAGAGTCAACACTGACCATACAACTTGCGATCAGATGGACACACAGACCCGCATCAGTACTGGTATACATGGCTAAGTGCCCGGGAGATTGTAACAGCTTCGACGGATCTGGCAAAGTCTGGTGTAAGCCACTCTACCATCATTGAATAGTCCTCTAGTCCATAGCTAACCCGCTCGCTTCTCAGTCAAGATTGACCAAGAAGGCCTGGTCTCCGGCACCGAGAACGCAGGCGTATGGGCCGGCGACACAATCCTCGACACTCTCCTTTGGACAAGCACAATCCCCGCAAGCCTCGCACCAGGAAACTATCTGATCCGCCACGAGCTCATTGCCGTCCATCAGGCAAATAACCCTCAGTGTAAGCCACCCTCCCCACCCCTCAATATGCCATCACTTACATTCTCCAGTCTACCCAGAGTGCTCGCAATGGGTCGTGACCGGCTCCGGCACCTCCTCTCCATCCGACTCCTACCTCGTCTCCTTCCCCGGCGCATACAAAGGCACTGAGCCGGGCATTGCCTTCAACATCGACTCCGACGCCGCCAAGGCTGCGACTTCGTATCCCATTCCTGGACCTGACGTCTGGACTGGCGCTGGTGGTAGCGCTCCTATCGAGTCTGCTGCGCCCACAGCTGTACCAACAACACTCGTCACCAGCGCGGCGCCCGCGAAGCCAACGAGTAGTGCAGCTCCCGCAGTGCCTACAACGCCTTCTTGCTCCCCGGTCCAGAAATACGGGCAGTGTGGAGGCGCAACGTATGCTGGGTGCACGGCGTGTGTCAGTGGGACGACGTGTACGAAGAACGGAGATTACTACAGTCAATGTACGTAGATGTTGGACAAGTAGATTGACTGCATCATCAATGTCTGTTTTTTTTATCGATACTCATGCTTACCGAGCCTTCACCCCCTCATAATGAATTGCTACCCCGATATCTGCATCCCTGTTTACATGCACTACATTTCTAATGAACCCCCTTCTCAAACTCGCATCGCATTCGCGAGGTGTTATTTGCCCATACCACCTCATATTGGCGTGTGACTTGGGTCAATTTCGAGTCGAACCCGGTTAACGATCGGGATAATCACGGCGATTATCGTGTCTTAAATGGCAAGCGCTACAGTTCAGGTATTCCGAATGTGATCTACGTACTTTGGAGATAGACAGGAGCGACTTGCAGCATAGCCTCGCACGTGGGGTCGATGTCAGCCGGTTACACAGCAGGCGGGCAATGGGCTTTCATCTTGTCTCCATGCTCCTCCGTCTCATGCATGCACATACACCTCCCAGGCGATTCTATATCTGCGTCGCAGCATTGCAGGGTAGCCTGTCCCAAAGCATCTCTGTAAGATTTGGCGGTGCGCAGTCAAAGTCACATGTCTTCTCGGCCGAGCGTAGCCCTGCCGGATAAAACACCACACCGCACGGGCAAAACAGCGCAAAGCATTCGCGCATCGATTTTGCACTTCTCTAGTGGTGACACTGATATGGCAATCGGCACTGGGCTCTTTGTCTACCGAATTGTGTATTTGCTACGCTGTCCAAACACCCCCAGTAGAATCAATTGCCAAAAATGTCTTTGAACAAATAGAACAAGGCTGAATGGAAGCGCCTTTCAATCGAGCAAAGCTTTGTTCGAAATGTGGAAATGACTGTCTGACACGCACGAATAAAGAAGAATGCGGTGTGAGACGATACAAGTAGACCCCGTTCGACTTTCTTTGCGACCTTCGTCAATAACATCGGTTTCGGAGCTTGGTCAACAACGTCGATCTCGAAGCTTGCTCAAACGTCGATCTCGAAGCTTGTTCCAACAACGTCCACTTCGAAGCCAACGTCGATTACCGCCGATCTCAAAGCTTGTGTAATCGATTCAGAAGCTTGATCCAACAACGTCGATCTCGAAGCGCCGCATCCTTGCAAAAAAAGCAAAGCAAGATGATCACCACAGCCGCGCTGAACATTTCGTGCTCGTGCACAGAATGCAACAGTTTCCTGCGCCCCATCTCAGAATCAACCACCCCGCAAGGCTCAGGCAAAGAGCAAACAAAGAGCAAAATCCAGGATCTGTATTCACCACTTGAAATCGACGCCGATCATGCGTCGCGCGAGTACATGTCGATCATGACTGCGTTCACAGCGCCGTTCGTTCCATTTGTGCCAACGACGCCGGGACTTCTGCGCTGCACGCATGTAATAAGCACAGAGCGCATCCCGGTTGTTCCTGGTACGTTGAATGGGACTGCGCTGTGTAAACCGCACGAATGTGAGTTGAGGGGAAGTGTGAGGGATATGATGCAGGACTGGGTCAGCAAGGAAGCAGAGAAGCAAGCCACTGCGCCGTCGGTATTGCGAGCGAGGAAGACTTCGATCTGGGAAGATGCGGCTTTGAACAGGGCGAAGATGTGGGCACGACATAGTTGGAGAGTATGAGAAGGGTATATTGATATGAAGACCGCGAAAGAGATATTACAAAGGAGAGATATTGCTGAAGATAGAAGATACGTGAAGTGCCTATACTGGCCTCGTACACGAGAATGAAAACAATTCTGCAGAACTTTGGGCAACGATCCTTCTGCGTGGTCCATAATCTCTTAGTGTCGATAATGAATACTCACATGCTCCAGGCAATGCGGTCGAATCTAGTATGGGAACACATCATAGTAGCTGATGGAAAACCCGCCTTCACCTTCATCGTCGTACATTGATTCAGTCATCCACTGCTCGTGGCAGTCGACGAGCTCGTCAAAAAACTTGTCTCTGACGGGAGTGACGGACTCAGCGAAATGCTCGAAACCAGGCTTGACACATGCAAAGAATGAGGCATTTTCTTCGTATGCAGCAGCAGCCAGCCACAAGTCTTCGTCCAGAAGGCTAGAACCTCTCTCTGAGCTCACAATCTGCTCTTGCGCGTCGAAGAATTCGTCTTCAGCTTCGGACTCGCCGTCGGTGTTAGTGTCGTACTCCACATCGTGAAAAGGGCTGAGGTCTTCATGACTGAAGCTCTGGCCCGGAACCGAATGGGGCTGATTCTTGGGAGCTAGCTGGACGTTGGAACGGCAGAGTGGGCAGGTACTTTTGGTGGAGATCCATTTTGAGAGGCACTTGTCCCCGAATATGTGCCCACATGCAAGCTGGATTGGAGCTTCAGCTCTGGGGTGCATGCCACCAGTACCATATGCGTCAAAACATATGCAGCATGAGCTGTTAAGTGGGTCGAGGCTATGCTCGTCTGGGTTGGACATGTTGTGGGTGAAAGGGTCTGGCCCGCGCGTGGTAGCGTGGTAAGATCTCGGTACAAGCATGGCAGCTGGAAGTTCAAGTTTGGTTCTGGTACGATTTCGGGTGACGCGCGTTAGCGTGATGTTTACTGCAGCGGTGAGGAAGAAATTTAGTGGGAGACATTTGAGGCTGGGAAAAAGTCGATACTTGGCGTGGTCCTGACATTGTTTAATGTCATGTTTGGCTTTTAATCAGGCGGAAAACTGACAGCTGAACATTGTACACAATCGTATGATCGATAGCTCAAATTTACACAATGGTCCTTGGCTTGCGCGCTTAATGGCTCGTTGTCTTATTTTGCGAAACTTATCCTTCACAATGCTGGGCTAGGCGAGGCGGTCCAGAGCTGCAATGTTTCCTGAGTCTCAAGGCCACGCAGACGGCTTGTGTGGGATGTCGAGTCAGCCAGGGCTTTCCGGTGTGCTGAGCTGAATGTGGGTCGACCTCGCCTATGTTGTTGTTTCTGGAAGTACGAGGTCCACGCCTTCGTCTGAACCTGCAGCCTTGGGCCACAACAAATGCGATAAGCGAGAACCTGCATGAAGCCACAGGGCCAGAGACTACGCCTTGAGGGTCCCCCTTCGGCAAGAAACACACATCAGCTGGCATGTCAACCGGTGAAGGACCACAGTACCATGGTAGAGGCCTTCAAACGGGCGCCGATGGACTGGAGCAGTGGGGGCCGTCAAATGGCAATTGGTACCGGATCTTCACCTAGGTTTTCGCATCGAGCGAAGATCCACATGGTGCATCGACCCATCAGTTTTGCTGGTACCGAAGAATGTGAACTTGGTCAACGCGTTTGGCTGAATCGCGCGATCGGTCCCGAAGTTTCTTTTGAGCGGTCTTGGCTTCTTTGTCAGCCTCGAGATAATCAAATGAGGGAGAAGATACGAACGCTTGGCCAGAGTCTGTGCAGTAGGTTGAAGCATGGCTCGAAAGTATCACGTCCTAGCCTATCCTAGCGCAAGGCTGGAGTGACAGGGGCAGGGCTGCATGACATGCAAGCGATAAGACGCGGGCGTACTGTGCTGACGCCTTCGTACTCGGCTGGGGTACATGGCAGTTCATTTTCAGCTGCAGCTGGTGTGCGATGTGCCAACGCATTGCATTGAGCACGCTTTATTGTCCGGTAGGGCTCGCATGCGCGTGGTGTACAGGTCATTGATGGTGTTGAAAAATGCGGAGATGTTGGCGGACAGGAGTCCGCGAGCCGCTATCGAAAGCTGCTAGCGGATCACGTGAAAGCCCCATGGATGCTAATTTTGATTTCCCAAGCACCCGTTTCCTCCACCACCGTGCCGAACCCATTAGTTTCCAGCCATCTGGCATTGGCAGAAGGGAGATCAACAAGCAAACGAGCAGCGAGCCGCATTGCAAGCCCAGACCTAGTAGCACTTCCGCGGCTGTTCCTGTGTGGCCGCGCTCGTAGGCCAGTCGTATTTCATCTTGACGGACCTTGTTTACTGCCCCGGCCGGTCGGGACTACCGATGCGGCACATCGCTAGCCCTGTATCAATGTGGCTTGCGTCGTCTCCTGTTCCTCGTTTCACAGTCACAGAAAGCCACCGGCGACAGCGATGCAGGCTTCACGCCATGACTCCACGGACATGGCGACCACCTGGCCGTCCCACAAATCGCCAGCTCGTGTCCAGCCACGACTCTCAAGCCACAAAGTGTACAATCTAGGTCTTCTTGGAATGGCTACAGGTTTACTGTGCCGCCAATATTCCCAAGCTATTGAGCCAGCCTAAGCGAGGCGGTGGGCCTGCAGCGTACCTGGCAGACGCCCTGCTATCAAGACTAGCACATCGTGGGATTGGGCGATGCCTCAATTGATGACAAGGTATAAGTATTGAACCTCATCACCTCCATTGTCGATCATCACCAGCAAGCTTCACACAGTTCCAACAGGCATTCTCCAACTCTCCTCTTCTTCCAGAGTCATCCACTGTACCCCTGTCAAGATGCGTTACGCCCTCATTGCCGCGTCTGCTCTTTGCGGACTTACCTCTGCCCTTCCTCAGGTGATCAACATCGAGGCTGCTTTGGCTGTGCCTGTCCCAGTTGAGCACCTTGGTCCCAAGGTCGAGGATGCTCCCACTCCAGTTGCCTACAACCAGGCCGCTGCCGCCGAGTCCGCTGCTGCGGTTGTTGCTGCCGATGGTGTCGAGAAGGTTGCCAAGCGAGAAGTTGACGATGGTCTTGTCCTTGCACCCGTCGACGCATGTGCTTCTCTTGCTAAGCAGCCAGGAGGGTGAGTTTACCTCTTATGCATCACCCGTTCTATGCTAACCACTTCACAGTGCTGCCACTAAACCAGGCGATGGATCCGTTGACGCATACAAGTCGAATGACAGCACCTTGAGGAAGAAGGCTCAAGAGGCTTCCACTCCTACCGGCTACACGAAGGAGTTCAGCGATGAATTTGGCTCGACTGAGCAGATCGGCTACTTGACCTACAAGATCATCGAATCTGGCGACTACGACGTCAAGCAGTGCGCCGACTTCTGCGACAGCGAGAAGTTCTGCCTGGGTTTCAACATCTTCTACGAGCGCGACCCCAGTGTCGACCCCACTTCCAGCTGCACGAACCCCGAGCCCATCACCAACGTCAAGTGCTCGATCTACGGCTACCCCGTTGCCAAGGCATCTGCCACCAACCAGGGCCAATGGCGCGAGCAGTTCAACGTTGTCATTGTCGGCAGCAACGGTTACTCCAAGCTCGACCCCACCTGCAAGGATGCCCCCACTGTCGCCGGCTTCAACGCCCCTGAGAACCTCAAGGCTGCCATCAACGCACCTCTCATCCAGAAGAACGGACAGGATTACGACACCTACAACGGTATGCGTCTCTTCAACGACGGTCCCTACGACCCTAAGCTCTGCGCTGCCGCCTGCGACTCTCAGACCGCGTTCGACAAGGAGCACCTTGCTGACGTCAACGGCAACTACAAGCCATGCAACTTCTTCACCAGCTACATCCTGACCAAGAACGGTGTGCCCCTCGGTACCTACTGCGCTCTGTACACCCAGTACTGGGGTGCCGAGAAGGCCGTCAACACTGGCTACTACTATGGCGACGATGCCTACAAGGTCACCTGCGCTGCTTCTTACACCGCAACTACTCTCGACAGCGGCAACAAGAACGCTCCCACCGAGATCTTCCTCAACTAAGCGGCAGTAGATGACTGGTATGAGACCGGTGGAGAAGTCTGGAACGAGTAATATTCTTAATACATGATAGAACGTTGCCATGAGTATTAGCGTTGGTGGTGTGTAGATTTCCACATAATTTTAATGTCATATTCAATCTTCAACTTCACATCGTCCCTGCTTGCACGTGCTCTTACCATGATCATCTAGCCGGTCTGACTTCTTCCACGCTAGATTGACTTTTCTGCTCAACCCAAAACGCACGAATCTACATCAATGTGCTCTAACATGGGCGCGGGAGCCTGATGTTCTTGTTCTAGCACAGGGAAATGTATCAATCTGCTCGATTCTGGGATTCTGCCAAGTGTCCAACGAGAGAGGCTCTGTTTCCCCTTGTTCTGGCAAAAGGAAAACGTATTTCGGGCAGCCCGAAATTCAAGTTGAAAAATCGGGCATCTCGAAATTCCTGCACCAAAACAGCAATCTTTGTCACATGGAGAGAGTACTAAGCTACTCGTTTTTCAGTGCAGTAGGTTTTAAGCTTAATTTCCTTGTTCTGGCAAAAGGTAAACGTATTTCGGGCAGCCCGAAATTCCTGCCCTAATTCAGCAATCTCTGCCATAAGCAGAGAATATTGAGCTGCTCGTTTTCTAGTGCAGTAGGTTTTGGGCTTAATTTGTTCTGGCAAAAGGAAAACGTATTTCGGGCCGCCCGAAATTCCATTTTTTCTCCTCAATGCAATATTTTGAAGTTTGATGTTCTTATTCCGGCACTGGGGGAAAACATTGAACCGCTCGGTTTTCTTCGTTCTCTCAAGCAGAGATGTCAACAAGCAAGCCAAACAAGCCTGAGGCTTTTAGCTTATTTGACACGCTCATTGGGCACCTCAAAGCTTGTTGCCTATAATCGCTAGGCTTATTTGAGGCTTATTTGATAGGCTTGATATATTAAGAAGGAGGCTAGTAAGGAGCCTCTTGCTAAGGTCTCATCTCCGTTCTAACGTCAATTCTTCTTGATAGAATCCACGTAATTTGTTACTTCTTATCGATAGAGTCTATGTGATCTATTACGTGATATACACGTGACCAGTTACCTTTACTATACTGTGCACGTGCCCTAACAAGTACTTGCAAGCTATTAAGTAAGCCTTCCTCTTTAAGCTTATTTGTTAGGATTTTACTGCAAGAGAAGCTTGCTTATTAGGCTTGCTCACAGGTCGTCGGCTTGCTTGAAAAGCTTGTTTAGGCTTGTTTGTTGACATCTCTGCTCTCAAGGCAGTCATTTCAAGCAGTTTGAATTTACTTATTCTTTCAACGTGGTATTTACTTTGCGGGGAAAAACTCCCCGACGTGAGTAAAGTCAAACGCAGAGAGCGCGCACACACACAGCAGAAAGCGTCAATCGGGGACAAGAACATGGCGATCGTTCCAGCAAAGACATGCATCGAACAAATCACCAGTCGAGCAAGAGAAACCAGTCAATGGATAGAAACACTTGTTTAGCAAATTGTGTGCAAACGAGGAGCACATGGTGTTGGAGGCAGTGCATACCTGTCAGTGCTACTAGACTATTTGCTGCGCTGCGAAGTAAATGTAATGTCGGGGACTAGATGCTTAGGCGATGGAGGTGCATAATTAGCTCTGTATGACAACTAATATTCTGAGCTGGTTTGGAAATACTAAAATACACCGCTTCAGCTGAGCAGCTGTGCACAACAGTAGGCCATTGTTACTTCCCTGTGAATGTGTTTCCTAGATGAGTGGAAAGTCGGTGAAAGAAGGTGAGTAACCGTGTCACTGCGAGATATTTGCTTCACCACGTCGCGAACTTTGCAGCGAAAAGGCAGAAAGTCGGTGTGAAGCATTTGCCTTGGAGCGAAGCAATCTCGCCCTTGAGCAAAGTTTAGGCCTGGTGATGCCTGAGATGACAACTTCGCGGCGAGGCGTGGGCGAAAGCCAAGCCTATGCGTACGTGTCACACGAGATAGTTGCTTTACTGCGAGGCGACCTAGACTTTGGGAAAAGGCGTGACATGAAAAAGTCGGTGTAGACTGCGTTACTATGGGATCAGCGAAGCAACAAGTCGAACGTGCGTTCAAACATCGCTCATGCGTTGCAGGAAGAGACATGAACGAGGAAAATCGAGGCGGCCAGGACATGCATAGTCATTTGAGAAGTAGATTCATTCATTGCATCTGCTGATTGTTGTAAAGTGAACCCATACGGAACGCCACCAAGTCGTCATGTCCATGTGACCTCAGATGAGCTCAGTAGTAAATGAGGTGCCGTGGAAGTATGATCGAACATGTGCCAGACAAAAGAGATGGTCTGAGAATGCAAGATGGAAGAAAATGCGACTATTGCGCAAGACCTGGCGGCAACTAGGCGACTAGAAGAGTCGATCCAGACCGGCATCCATGATGGCCTGAAACTCCACGCGGCGCTGGCCAGCGATGCTGCGCGAGTTGGGCTTCGCATTGACGGCGATGTAGTGTTCCTTGATAGCAAGGTGAGCGTTCAGACTGTGGAACGGCGCGAGGACATCGAGCATGAAGTTAGCAGACTCGTTGTCCTCAGCCGAGTCGTGCCAGTGAATAATCACGTCCTTGAGGTCCGGAGCTTGCGACAGGATCTTATGAACGAACTCTGAGCGCTGGCGCAAGAGAGCCGGGAAGATGGCTTCAGCACAGCCCGTGGTGTCGGCACGGAGCCAGGTTGTGTCCCAGGAAAAGAGCACTTCGACCTTGCGCACGTTCTCCATGGGGCTGAAGGCGGCCTCGGTAATCTGGTCAAAGGCTTCCTCGAAGAAGCTGGTGTGGGCGAAGGAGCCGGTCGCATTGATGCGGAGGACGGCCACGTCGTAAAACCAGTTCTTGGCTTCATTATTGAGCTGCTTGGAGGCGAGAAGGAGTTGGACGGGAGGAGGGCAGTGCGTCAGACGCATGAAGTTGGGGATGTGACGCCACTTTCTGGCAGGAGCGACAACGGGTACTGGCGGCGGAGGAATCGGCTGTTGAGGTGCTGCAGCTGAGCCGCCTCCACCATGGGCTGCTTCATCTGCTTCACCGTCGTCCTCGGCGTCTTCCTCGCCATCTTGATCCTCCTCAGTCATGGTCTCGTCGCCATCCGCATCTTGGGAGCCTTCCTCTGTTATATTGGCGGCTGGGGCATTGGCCCCGTCTGCTGCGACGCCCACTTCCTCTTCATCAGCGTTCAACTCGGGCGCATTTGCTTGGTCGTCTGCGGACACATGTTGAGTCTGGGTCTGGGGCTGGGTTGTAGTGGGAGCGGCCGAGGCAGGCGGCGGAGGCAGGACGGCATATTGAGCTTGAGTGAGAGCTTGAGTGATGGCGAACTGAATTGCCTGGGCTTGATCCGCCATACCGTCTCCGTCTCCGTCCCCATCCTGATTCTCCTCTTCGTTGTCGTCCTCACTCTCGTCATCTTCGCCGTCCTCACCCTCGTCATCTTCGCCGTCCCCATCCTCATCGTCCTCGCCGTCCTGCTCCTCCTCGTCCTCGTCCGGCTGTGGCACGTCGCTGTCTTCTTCATCGTGCTCCTGCTGGTAGACGACAGTCGGGGCCGGGCCGGTGGGGTTGGCGGCGACGGTGGTCGCGACAAGCTCCTTGACTTCCTTCTTCTCAAACCAGTGGCGGAGCAGATTCTTGGGCTTGGTGTCGCCCACGGCCGCGTATTCGAAGCACTTGTGTCGAAGCTCCAGCGGGAGGCTCATAAGCAGCGAGTCGACCATATCGGTGGCCATGGCGGGCGATTGAGTTGACTCAGGCTCAGTCGAGGTGTCGAGATTGCACGGCGGTGGAGTGGAGGGGCCAGAGTGCGGGCGACTGATTGTTATTGCGACGAGCTTATCTAGCCTCGGGGCTAGCTAGCCGGTGATTCCAAGGCGAAGGTGAAGGTGAAGGTGAAGGTGGTGGCCCTGTTTGGTCCTGCTGCCTGGGGAAGCAAGTGCCTTGACGCGGGGCTGTACGCTGTGTCTCCTGCCACGCGAGGCCAACTGCGGGGCAAGCCAGAGGAAAAGGTGAACGCGTCGCTCGCTGTGTTGGATTACGGTGCCCCATTTTGACATGAGTTCGTCCTGAAGTGCACCTGTGAGTGGCCTGGCAGTTGGCATACTAGGGCGCCTTGTTGCCTGCGCTTTCCTCCCTTCGCGGGCAGTGCTCACTATTGCAAGGCATCATCCATGTGTGTAAAATTGTTGAAAAAAGGCTCCAAGGCCAATGTTTACCTCTACGAACAGCTACAAGTACGGCCTTTCTTTGTATCATGAAGCCGTCTCAAATGACATCAGAAGTAGCACCGTTTATCGCCAATCCCCGCGTCGATCAGCGGCCTCAGCTCTAGCGCGTCATCTTCGTGACGCCCCGCTTATCATGTGACTTGGCCATTAGAACGTTTGTCGCGCTTGTGCATGCTTCTAACCCAACCGGAACTCAATGCATGCGCTCCGAAAGTCCCCAAGGTGCCTTCATCCACTCGACGTGGCTCCTTCCGCCCTTCTACTCCGCCGTGATTGATCAGCCGAGTCAAAATGTCAGCATGTACGAGATTCGCATCGGACATATCGGATAACTTCATTGGACACGCGGAAGAGACCAAAGACGCCCGGCTTCATAGAGACGGTGGACGCCTTGCGGCGCAGTACTTATAAGGTGGCAGCCAACGTCTACATGAGATGTGGTATAGTCTTCTGTATTGCTCATAAACTCACATCTCCTTTGCCTATCACTCCAACAGCACATCACCATTGACAATGAAGATCCCCGCTCATACGAAAATTGTGATCCACCGCGGCGCAGACCGGCCAGGTCGATACATATGGTCGCCGTTTGTTACAAAAGTCGAGTTTCGCCATCGTCTGGCAGAACTACCATACAGCTGCGGTGCCGGTGGCCCTAGAAACGGACCAAAGGGCAAGGTTTGTAGCCATGTCCCCTTCATGTTCTCATTCCTAAGCTCAAACTAGATACCATGGGTTGAGGTGTCTATTCCTGGACAAGAACCAGACACGTTGGCGGACTCTTCGCTCATCACAAAAGACTTGGTAGCGAAGGGCCTCGCGGATGATTTGAACGCACATCTGACTGTGCAAGAGAAGGCTCAGGATCTTGCAATTCGCGCAATGCTCGAGGATAAGCTCTTTTTCTACAACGCCCGTGAACGCTGGGTGGATAACTTTTACACCATGCGCGACTATAGCATGGCCCAGCTGCCGTTCCCGCAACGATACATCTTCGGTTACATGGCGTATCGCGCCATTCTGCGAACGCTCCATGGCCAGGGCACTGGTCGCCTCTCAGCCGAAGAGGTCCACTCCTTCCGCAAAGAAATCTGGGAAAGCGTCACCGCAATTCTAGAGGAAAGTCGCAGGCGCGCAGCACCGAGCGAGTGCTTCTGGGTCTTGGGTGGTAAGAAGCCAACTGAAGCTGATACAACGGTATTTGGCTTCATCATCAGCTCTTTGGTTGCTACTGCTGGTCCCGTGAACAAGCAGTTGGTGAAGGACGAATGCCCTGCAGCCGTCGAATACGCCAGGAGGATACATGAGCGGTACTTTCCCGACTATGAGATGTGGGACTAGTGCACTTTCCGTCAGTGTGGTTCCTGCCACTTATGCAGAGCAAATGAGGGTATCGCATCGCTGAAGGAAGTCGACCGCCAGCATCTCTTCCCTTCTTATGTACCCACAGCAACACTAGCGTTTCTCAATGCATACTTAAGCAACTTCTGGGTGGCTTTTCACCATTCTTCTTCCACATCATCATCACCCCATTCCATCCACTTGTCCACTATCAAGTATCCATACCCACTTCATCCATCTTCATCAACGCAGCCATCAAGCGGGTTCCATTACTCGACCATCCGCTTTCATCATGAGGAACACAGTCATCCTCTCCGGCGTGGTCGCCCTGGCCTCCGCCGCCCCTGCTGCCATGGTTGACAAGACGGAATCACGTAAACATTGGTACGTGGGCACGTTGTCCCCTTTCTCCTCCCCCCATCAAGGACTTCACTGATTCTTTCTCATCTCCAGGGGCATTGCCTGCGGTCCCACGACAAATTCCGCCGGGGAAATTTGCTCTTACATGCGTCGCGCCGAGGCCACTCCAACATACGCCGAGCACAAGTCGACTTCTCATTCCTCGTCCGAGTACAAGACGACCCACTCCTCCACCAAGTCTAAGTCCACTCCCACACACTCGAAGACCAAGCCCTATTGGTCGGAGCACACCCCTTCCTCCAAGTACACGCCTGCCTACTCGAAGTCCACTCCCACCTACGCGGAGACCACACCGTACTGGTCGGAGCACACCTCTTCCTACTACAAGTCAACTCCTACCTACGACGAAACCACACCATACTGGTCGGCCTACACACCAGCGGTCTCCTACGAGCGTCGCGGCGAGTACAAGCCTCCCCACTCTACTTCTACCTACGCGGAGTATGAGCCGTCTTCATCGTCATACCCGGCCTACAAGCCATCTTCGACCTACTCTGGACACAAGTCGTCTTCAACACCTCATGCCAAGCACGAGTCGTCTTCCTCGTATGCGGAGCACACCAAGACACAGTCTTACGGTTACGATGACTACAAGCCCACCCACGACCGCCGTGGCAACTACACCGAGGCCAAGTCGACGCCGTATCAGCATTCCGTCTACTCCATCTACAGCCCTCCTGCTCACACGTCTGTGTCCACGCCACCGGCATCTTACACCTCAGCTTACACTTCAGCTTACACTCCACCGGTGCATGTCTCCACGTACACCCCACCGGCGCCTTACACATCGGTGTACAGCCCACCTGCACCATCGGTCTATACTCCTCCAGCATCGTACAGCACGCCGGCTCAAAAATCGTCGTACACTCCTCCCGCGTCATCAGTGTACACTCCGCCCGCATACAGCTCGCCTGTTCACAAGTCCTCATACAGCTCGCCGACACCTCACTCATCCGTGTACACTTCTCCCAGCCACACGTCATCTTACGCAAAGCATGTCTCCACAGCTTCTTCCTACTCTACATCTGCTTCCAAGTCTTCCTCCAAGTCGTCGGTGACGCCCCACTCCACTCACGTTACGCCCGCCAAGCCCACGTCAGCACCCACTTGCAACTTTATGAACTCTGAGTGCATCGACTGCATTGAACACCCTGGAGCTTGCACTGTAAGTCCTGCGCCAATACCCTTCATCTTGTCTACATGCTGACATTCCAACACAGACCTGCAACTTCATGTTCAAGTGCGGCGAGAAGAAGCAGTGCACCTACTTCGGCATTGCAGAGACCATGACTATGTGCAAGGAGATCGGCAAAGAGTGCGACCAGCCTTGCGACGACGACGACGACGACAAGACCGACCTTTCGGTTCTTGACGATCTCAAGGACTACTATGACGACCTTCCCGACTATCTTCAGGACGACATCGAAGACGCCATCGAGCACGCAAAGGATGCTGCCAAGGAGATCTGTGATGAGACCGATGGCAAGCCTCACATCTGCGACAACATCCCCGATGATAACGAGGATGACGACGACAACAACACCGAAAGCAAGCCTGAGTACAAGCCTCACGCCGACAAACCCAAGCACGAGGACGAGAAGCCGGAACACCCCAAAGGCGGCAAGCCTGCTCACGATGAGCATGAGGGCGACCACCCTTATGGCAAGCCCGAGCACGACGAGGACAAGCCCGAGCCTTATGGTGAAAAGCCTGAGCACCCGAAGGATCACGACGACAAGCCCAAGTACCCTGAAGGACCCAAGCCGCAAGGCGACAAGCCCAAGCATGACGATGATGAGCCCAAGCATGACGACGGCAAGCCCAAGCACGATGACGACCACGGCGACAAATCCAAGGCTCCCAAGCCTGAGGAGCAACCCAAGGGCCCTCACGGTCCTGACGGCAAGAAGGCGACCGATGGCAAGTCCAACTAGGCTCGACACGAAGGAATGAATGATGGACAGCGTTTTGGCCCCTTTGCTTGAGCGCTGCCTTGTTGACGGATTTTGGTTTTGTTCTTGATGGCATGTTTCGCTGCGCACGCGTTTTTGTTCTGGCTTTTGCTATTGTTTCTGCGCGCATGGACAACTGGTGGTATGGTTTTATGAGCATTGTTTGCAATTGAGTTTGTTTTCCTTCATGGCTTTTGGCGTCGTCGCTTGTGGCTATTGTGCTGTTGTTTGTGGCATGCTGATGCTGTTGGTGCAGTGCGTTTATCCTGGCAGCAACATGCATCTTGGCAGTTTGGTAGTTAAGGTAATTGCTCTTTTCTCGAACTGTAGGCTTGTTATCGCCTTCATTTCCTGGCGCTGTGTCATTAGGTGAAGCATGGATGTTTTTTTTTGGGTGGGGGGGTTTATAAAGTTTTTGGATGCAGAGCTGATCAACAATATGATCTGTCAAAGTGACCCGTGTACATACACTTCAAGTGGTCAGGATCATGTGGTCTCTCATTCAAAGAGATGACTGTAGCGCTGCTCGTTCATCCACGTCTTCGTTTTGAGAGTGCTTTGCGAGTTTGGTCGACTCGATTCTAGGACTCTCTCAGAGATAGCACATAATCACTCCATGACAGCCAATAATTTTTAAGGACATCTGGTGTGATGATCGTGCACACCGCCCTTCCCAGGCATCCTGGAATCGACTTGGGGGTGCTTTGCGAATTCGGTCCGGCTCGATTTGAGACAGTCTCAAAATTGGCACATAATCTGTTCCTGGCCGACAGTCAGGGCTTTTGTAAAGAAGATCTGGCAAGGCGATTGTGTGCACCGAGGTTCTCAGGAGGTCTGGACTTGTCTTGGATTCACTGCCGATTCGCATGTTCCTAGTATAGTTCTCGCGATCGAGGAATAATCTAGATCCCACCGCAGAGCACACGCACAGCGGGTGTTCCCTTCCGCGAAAAAAAGGCCCGAACCTAGGCTGTCTTGGACCCAAGAAGTGGAAAGGAAGCTTGGAGCATGTAGTGCATGAACACATGGCCACATACGAATGACAGAGTTCAATTACCACGTACCTGAGCACAGATCGGTCTCAAATATACCGAAAGCGTTGACCGTTGAGTCCAAAATCACGCAAAACACTACACAGTACTCGTTCTGCCAAGACAGTGTGTGAGAAGAAGCAACGGGACCTTTTCTCCGTGGTCCGTCCCGAAGGACATGACCCTGCTTCGATGACTACCCGAAAAATCTTCGCAAGACCTGCGCATTTTTGCCTTGCGCGCAGGCCTTCGAAGTCCGAAGAAAGGACGACAACAGCCGTTACGCGTCCAGTCGATCTGATCAGCGCGTGAAGCACCACTCTGGCTCCTTACGTTTCGGCGAAAGAACAATACGTCAATTAGCTATCATCACGACTTTGATGGCCCTGTTTCTCTGCCTGGTTTCTTTTGCTACTGTTGCGAGGCTATTTGAGTTGTTGGGTGCAACTGCAGCGTGAGCTCAATTGAAGTCCGTGCTGTAACGTTAGACCCTTGAATTCGCTAATCGAGTGTTATCGCTCTTGAGTCTAGAGTGTTTGCCTTACTCGATGCTTCAGAGTCCTTTCCCTGTGTGCCCTGATCCCAAACACCCAATCGCTTCTATTCGAAAACGCTTTTTCTGATGATCATACAACGATCGCTTCACAGAACTCTATGAAGGAGCCATCCTTGCCCTTACCGAGCGAAATTAGGCTGGCCGATGATTGCCTGGCACTCTGCGATTGACGTTGCAAATAAGCGGGTCTCACGACCTCTCGCCTTCGTGTGAGAATAGATCGACTAACAATTATGACGAGGTTCCTGGTGCTGTCTGTTTCTCTTCCGCGGTCATCTCTTTTGCGCTTTTGCCCGGCTTTGAGCCGAGAGTGCCACTGCCGAGGCGTCCTTTCTATCACTCCTCAATCCCTTGGTCGAACTCTATATCAGCGCTACTATTCTCGTTCGCGAGCGCAAAAAAGGAGGAGACCGGTCGATGAGTGTCTAGCACCTTGCGATTGACGTTGTGACTGAGCGGCTCTCGCAATCGGCGGCCATCGGTTAGCGTTTCCGCTGACAAGCTTAGCCACGTCAAAAGCCCCGTACGTCTTTCAAACCCTATTCGACCGCTAGACCCCAGCTGTTTCGAGGGCTGGAACATGGGCTGATGTTCTCGGATGCTTCCTCCCTCATTGCTTCGATCTGTCTGCCCATGGTGGTCGTGCAGAGTGGAATGCGAATCGTCGTGGATCGCGAGCTCATCTGAGCTTTCATCTGCTAGGTTTCAGGACATGGTATTTGAATTTTATTTGAATTTATCCAAAGCAACATCACCATCAAAGAACGTAACACATATGCCTCAGGAACCGATAACAATGTCCAAGAGACGTGCTGATGCTCATAAATCAAGTGATCTTCATCGTCCCCAGATTTTCTGTGGTGTTTTGAGGGTCTGATCGATCTTCATCGACGTTGCATCCCGCTACTGAGGCAGTCTGTGCGAAGCTTTATGCTAGTCCTCACGTTAACTGACTCGCCCGCGAGTTCACCAGAAATCCCATTGTATACAGATCATCTACGTAATCCGACTCGGCTGGAAGCCGATTCTCATATGCTTCTCAACAAGGATGTGGTCCAGATCACAGCTCTAGCGCTCTCTCTGCCAACCTCAGGGACTGAAATCGAGAACTTTATCTTAGAAATGTTTATTTGAGTACTACCATCAGTCGTTTGATACTCCGAGGCGAACTCTAGTGGCTACAGCCCAACCATTGTTCGCCCAACATGCATACAGCCACAGCTAGGTCGTTCGCTGCTGTTGACAAAGGGGAAGCGGGTTTAGGCCCTGACCTCTGCATGGGGCCATGCTCGACACCCTGGGGCGCTGCAGGCTGGCTCGGTACACACATCCGATGGCACAGGGACATATATAAGGTCCGAGTCTCCGCACACACATCCGATAGCACAGGGACATACATAAAGTCCGAGTCACCGCCTGGCAAACTAAACGCTTTATTCACTCACCAGCCTTTAACACCTCATTCAATCATCAGACCAAACACGTCTTTCACATACATTCCTTCATCATGCAGGACCTTGCTTGGAGAGAAACCCGACCTGGTCGCTGGGAGCGACCTCAAAGCTACCTCGAGAAGATGAACATCCTCACCCGCAATGTTCCAAAAGCTTTCGGTCGTGATAACTGGGCCAAGAACGCAGTCGCCAAGCTCAAGTTTGATCCCTCAGTGAAAGATCCTGCCGAATACCTACGAACTGCATGGATACAAGTTCGCTACAACCATCCTGAGATCGCGGCTTTCCCTCACAACGGCAACTATGTGTACCGCATTGGAGACGACGTATCCATCGCCCTCTGGGTATCAGCCACCTTTTCGGTTGTCGAAGATAAGACAGTAGACGAGTTGTTGGGTCGCATCCCACGAAACGAACAAATGCAGTGTTACTACCTCTCCAAGACTAGTGAGGTATTGGTCTGGTCTCCACACTACCGCGTTGATGCTCGAGGTGCCATCTTCTGCCTCAACCACTTGATCGAATCAATAGCGAACCTGGACTTCACCCTTGTCTTTGGTGGATGTGCAAAGAACCTGACCCCAAGCATGGAATCCACCCTCGGTCTCCAAAACAAACCGACACCGGAAATAGAGGCTGCCGTCAAGAAGCGCATGGATGCTTTGAAGCCCCACAGACCAGTCCTTGACATGACCCCAACTATCTCGTCCGCTAGACCCGGCTACAGCCAAAGATATGTTATCAAAATGTCTAGCAGCGAGACCACCGAAATCATCTCCAGCTGCGCGAACGCCAACCTCGCCATCGACGTCGTGCTGCACTCTGCCCTCATAAACTCCGTCGCCAAAATGGTGCCCACCACCGAATCCCGCAGTTTCATGGCGTCGTTCCACTCCAACCTCCGCACACTCATCCCCGAAGGCGCCGCGCCAAAATACTCTCCAATAAGCTATACTAGCGTCATCACCACCGAAGTAAAAGTCTCTCCGAAAACGAACTTCGGATCGTATTACAACGAGCTCGCGCCCGTTTACGCAAAAGGCTACGCACCATACCTGAATTCTTCAAGTCTCTTCCACGAGCGCCTGGCAGAGGAACTATACGCCCCGGAATCCCCCAAGGGCGAGACAGAAAACCAGCTGCAGCCTCGCTTCGCATACCTCGGCACTGTCGACGAGCAAGTAGCCAAGCGCGTTGGCAACGGCCTGGTCGAAGTCACAGACTTTTGGCTGGGTGCGGAGACGCTGACGATGCGCATGATGGTGCATACGTGGATCTGGAATGGCGAGCTGAATCTGAGCGTCACATTCAATGAGAGCTATTGGGACAGGGCGACGGCGGCGACGCTGCTGGACGGTATGCGGGATACGTTGATTGAGTTGGCGCGTGAGCCGAAGCAGATGATGCCGAGTGCGAATAAGTTTCCTTCGTTGTCGAAGATGATGAGGGCGGTTGCGATTTAGTTTTTGAGTTGGCTACTTTCTATGCAGGCACTTTCCTGATATAATAATATATACCCTCTCTTTGTTACTGAACCACTGGATCGAAGACTGCTGTGTTTGCCTGATGTCTTGTGGTTTGCGCCAGCAGGGCTGCTCTTCACAACAGATTGTTTAGCGGTTTTTGTGGTGCCAGAATAGGGGACGGAAATATTGCCCGCTCGTTGACCTCAAGCAATGTGCAAGTGAATCAACGAACGTGATGGAATGTAATCATGATCTTAGACGTTGAGGTCTTATATTTCTATTCTACTGTATGTACTATAGTCAGATGAATGCCTGGGTCTCCATATGCAATGCCCGAAACTCCAGCGCTCAAAATTCATCTCTAATGCTCAAATATCTGTACTTTCATGCGTGTCCATTCAAGTTGCCCTGTCTGACCATCCATGTGAGGAGATCGACCTTTGTGACAACAGCAAGGGCCCTCGGCTCTCCGTCTACCCTCTCGGTAACAACCGCGGCACTGTTCCACTCGAAGAACTTGTTGAGATCACTCAAGCTTGTGTCCTTGGTGATCTCGACAAATTCCCTCCTTGAGCCAGCTTTCTTGCCCTCATCAGCACCATCCAAGTGCAAGCGTCCGAGGTCCTTGACGACTTCATTGAGCTTGCGGAAGTCGAACATGACGTCCTCGACTGGCGATTTGGGGTTTGCGCGACCAGCTGCGATGTAGGACAGCAGGTTGCCGAGAGTGACGAGACCCACGAGGCGTGCTTTGCCTGATGACGAGGAGACAGAGACGGGGAGCTGGTCGAAGCCCTTCTCGCGCATCGTCTCGATGGCTTCACTGCATGGGGAAGTAGCCGAGACTGTGGTGACGGGCTTCAGACGCAGAGAAGCAATTGTGGCGCCGTGGAAAGTGTCCTTTTTGGCGATCGAGTCACGGCGCGAAATTGACTGGTTTGCACCGTTTGTGTTGGGCGTGAGTGGTGGTGTGGGAGGGAGAAGGTCGTTGGCAGCGAGCCAGTCATCGTCGACGAACTATATTCTGTAAGCAAATGGGTGCAGGTAAAAGGAGATTTCAACATACCTTGCTGAGATAGCTTCGGATCGAGTCTGGCAGTACGACGACCACAACATCGTCCTTGGTCAGTTTCATATCCCTAGAAGCTTCAACAAAAGCAGCCATAGCACTGCCGCTGCTTCCACCGCACAGGATGCCTTCCTCGGCGATCAATCGTCGTGCGTACAGGAAAGAGGTTCGGTCGTCTGTCTTGTACCACTTGTCCACGATGTTCTGCTCCAGCACATCGGGAATGAAGTCGTAACCAATACCCTCGACCTTGTAGCCCTCATTGACACGATCCTGGTTCAGCGATTCAGGCAGCGCCAGGATACTGCCATGAGGATCGGCAGCCACGATTTTGACATCGTGCTTGTGTTTCCGCAGACCCCGAGCAAGGCCTGTGATGGTGCCGCCAGTGCCCGCACCAGCCACCAGACAAGTCACCTTGCCCTCGGTCTGCTCCCAGATCTCCTCAGCTGTGCCGTATTCGTGTGCGAGTGGGTTGTCGGGGTTCGAGTACTGGTCGAGGATATGAGCATTTGGCAGCTCTTTTACAAGCTTCCTCGCTACACCAATGTGGCTCTCGGGGCTGTCCCAAGCAGCACTAGTTGGTGTTCTTATGATCTCGGCACCGAGTGCCTTCAATACCGCCACCTTCTCTGGGCTCATCTTCTCGGGAAGAGTGATGATGGTCCTGTAACCCTTCACAGCGCCGACGAGCGCTAGACCGATTCCAGTGTTTCCAGAGGTAGGCTCGATCAGTGTGTCTCCAGGCTTTATGCGCCCGGACTTTTCGGCCGCCTCGATCATGCGCAGGGCAATACGGTCTTTGACTGAACCACCGGCGTTGAAGGCTTCAACTTTGACGTATACGGTAGCCTCGATGCCGAGAGACTGTGGGATCTTGTTCAGGCGCACAAGAGGCGTGTTGCCGATCTGCTGGGTAATGTTGTCCATCACCACAGGTGGGATGGCGGGGCGAGTTTTGGTAGACATGGTGGTGGTGGTACGAGTGTTTGTCTTGTTGTGTAAAGTATGCTCTACTGAAGAATAGACAAGGCTGCGCTCAAACTGCTGTTCAACTTTGCGCAAGAGTGGAAGACAATGTCGTGATGCCCTTGCAGCTGTCGCAAAGAAAACGTGAAAGGCTGACCCGCTTCTACCCGCCGCCACTTCGCCGCCACTTCACCGCTCGGCCCCACTACGGCTCAGCCTTACGCGCTAACCGAACGCGCTTTCACGAGTTTTTCTTTCACTCATCGCCCAAACACGGCCAAAGTGCATCATCAACTACAATTATATGCAATACACGCCCGATCATTGCTGCATCCAAATCCGTTGTTTTGCAATGCAGCTTAGGATTGCATTTCACTATAATGGCAACTATCTTCACGCGCTGACAGGAACTTCGTTGCCAAATATTTGCAGCGTCTGCATCGAACATTATATTCTACTGATACACCGAGAGCTCGACGATTGCTTCCAGATCTTTCAAGAAGCATGCTGTCCGGTCGTTATATGGAACAGTAGTCATATCAAGAGTAGTCATTCTACCGGAAGGCTACGATAGGGACGAGAACATAAAACGACTTACCGCTCGTCTCCGACCACAGAGGTCACTGGAATCCGCTTGATACGGTCGTGGTTGACGATCCGCACGTATCATTTCTCCCGCCTATATTCACTCAGCATCACGCCTCGGAATGACCAATTCCTTCATCGAGGTGACTGAACCTTGCTGATATTTTATACATCTCTTCACTTTTTTCGTCCCGTGCTCGCATAGCTCACTGTCTTCCTTCTACTTCCTTTGATTGCTCAATTACCTCTTAAATTGCGTATCTTAAATTACCAGCGTCTCTCAGACAGTTTCTCTTGTTCTCCATGTTACTCTTTATTCTGGATCTCTCGATCACTAACCATATGCATACTCCAGCAAATTGTGGCGCACGCGTTTTGAGGAAACTTATCGTCTACTGAAGTGTGCAATTGACTCAATTATGCAACTAGCCAAAGTGTGCAGTCGATTAAATTACACGACCAAAATGTCTCAGGAGAAGATCACCTAAACAGCTAGCTCATCAGCACATATAAACTAAGTCTTCCCCATCTTCAAGCAATTAATTCATCATCTCTCTCATACTTTGTGGTGAATTATGCATTCGAGTACAGGACAAGATCGACTCACAACATGGTTATGACAGTCGAATCCAAACGAACTAGAAACTCGTCTATTCTATCTAAAGGCCTTGCATGTTTTATGACTGGTCGATGGAAGTAGTGCTTATTGAGGAGGTAAGCGTGCCCATTATCAATGTCAGCCACAGTCAACGCTTACGCTGTTAGACAGCTCGATCCACCAACCATACACACGTGGACTCCAAGCATACGAACTATTGCAACCAAATCCCCCGGCTAAGCAAATTCTGCAACCCCGGCGATCGCGTATACAAACCACATATCCCTGCCGCCCATCCCACCCAAGCGAATACGTCTCGATATTGACCCGCATGGCGATCTGCACCGTTGCATGCAAGCTAATCACCCGCCTTGCCGGCATCTAAAGCGCAATCCGCCTGCCGCACGCGAGGGCGTACGACAACCTCGCTTTCCCCACATCCGCATACTTCCATCTCGGCACCCACGTCCCACAACATGTGATAAGTGCCGGAGTATGCGGACTCAGTTCGCGGATGGTGATAAGCCGTGCCCGGAGTGGAAGGGTCGGCTCGGTCGGTGGCGGCGCTGGGCGCAGGCTGAATCGATGTTAGTCTGCATGACGAAATGTGGTGGTGTGGTGTAAGCTTACAGTGAGAAGGTGTTGAGGGCCCGATGGTGTGGATGGGGCAAAGGCAGGCGCTTGACTGGCGGTGATGGGGTGGATGTGGATGTGGTCAGCTTATTATACATAACGAGGTACCAGTCTCCCGGGCTGGAAGTGAGCAAGATGACATTGGAATTGAAGTTGGTGCCAGTGATTCTCGGGGTACACGTTCCTTATTAACGGTGACATGCAATGTTTAAGAGGAGAGTTTCGAAATGAAATTCAATTGGTGCGAGCTATGAAACTATGATGCAAAACTAGAAAATCCAACCAGGAAAGCAACGCATAAACTAAGAAAGAAAGCAAACATGATAGAAAAGGTTGAGTGCGAACTCCAGCAAAATTAGACTATGCAAAACTCAAAACGCGAACGGAACAAAGGAAAGATCGGAAATACAAATAAGTTGCTGGCTTGCTGGAAAGCCGTACAACGGAGGCGAGAAGAAAAAAACCGATGCGGTGTAAGGAACATCGTTCGATGAGCCGAGAGGACTCATCGACCTTGAGACTCTACCTTGCGTGCTTAGAGATGGAACTTGATCGGATCCATGGCTTCGTACTTGTAAGGCCTGTCAATTGAGCCATCTTGATGACGCTTTGTCAAAAGAGGAACATGCCCATCCCACCACTCGCCCTGCGATAATGTCAGTGAAATTTACTCAGTCAAATTGGGGAGTTGCTTACGTCTTCAGGTAAGCACGGTACAACGATCTTTGTGAGGCGGTCAACTTTCTCCTCATTGACAACCTTGTTGAACCTGAGTGAGCGGATTTGGAAAGAATCGTGGAACGTGTCCTTGGCCTTTTGACTAATCTCAGCTGGGTGTTCGTAATTGCGTTTGACCCATATTCCCTCCAGGAGATTCTGAATATGAGACAGCAAACTCTTGATGCTCTTCTCCGAAATCTCATGACGAAAGACTTGGAAAAGAATGTCTGGTATAGTTTTGTGTTTGGGACCATGACTGCAAGGTCGAATTCGATGTACAATAGCTTCTGGGGGATTTCCAGTGAGACCTCGCTGCGCATTCGGACATCGTAATACTCAGAAGCTGCTTTACTGGTGTTATCGCAACCCTTCGCAAGTGGTGTGATGCGCCTATTTTCCCAGCCTATGCCGGAATGAACATAGCATGTGTCTTGCTCAACTCACAAGGTCCCGCCACAGGCAGGGATGCAATGCGAGACTGTATGAGAAGATCTATATCCTTCTGATAAAGATTGGAGTCCGCATCATGATCTTCGTCAAGTTTACATGAGGTTGCCATAGAGACAGCACACATCGCCTTCGGTCCGTTGCAGATCTGTGGGCACCTTGTACAAGGTTGTGGGATCTTTCGCTAAGCCGACTTTCTGATCTTCAATGAGACCTTCGGATTGAATGGTGATGTGGTCCTGGTGGGCACGAGAAGTTGTGTGTGTGTTGACGGCGAGAATGTCCTTCATGCTCTTGAGTTCTTCTCCATTGAGCACCCTCTTCCACAGGCTCTCCCGAAGCTTGCGTGAATACGCATATCTCCAGACTCCGTCCTTGTATTTTGGTAGCAAGCAACACGAGCGCGCTTACCGTCAGCTGTGAGAGGGACAATTTGGATATCACCTGCAGCCGAGCGAAGAAAGCGCACGGAATTTTGGCCAGTGAGGTGTCTCCATTATTTTCATTGTAGGTGTAGTATGTTTAACTAGGTTGTCTCTCCACGAAGTCGTAATCGTGCGCGCAGACCAATCGCTAGATGAATGCATGCTACATCAGTCTCGGGAAGCGACATACATGCACACACGATAAGTGTTCATGAGAGAACCTTGTTGAAACTTCTTGTTATGAGCAAAGATACTATCACAATCCGAACAGACTAGCCAATGGTGACTTCAAAATCCGGAAAGACGCTGCTACGATGACAAAACAATCGTCAACTACACATCAACATGTAAATACCAACGGGAAAGAGCACAGTAACTTCGCAGCATTCAAAGTGTTGAAAGAAAGAAATCTATTACCAATCTACGATACCTACAAAAGCAAAAATACCAACGCATAACACCAAAAGCAAAAAAAAACTCCAACTACTAGTACGATCTATGGGAAGCCAAAAGCAAGACGTGAAACAGAACCCAGGAAACCATCGCAAACTCCAACGTAGCAAATTCGAAACCCAACAGTACAAAAGGAAATATCGGAAATCCACAAAAGCTACAGCCATGGCCGCAAAGGACGAGAAGAGGAAAGAGCGCCGGAGCTCTCAACAAATGCGAGCGAAGCATCTGCAGGAGCAGCCATGGCTAGCTCAAAGATAGAACATCTTGTTGTTGAGGTCTTGATGCCACGGGTTACCAACGCTGGGACCATCGTTGAGCCCCAAAGTCTTCAAAACAGACATTTCGCCCCAGCAGCCACCACGTTGTGATCATCCTCGACCTTGAAATTTCTCGAGAGGACACTCGCTTCCAGCTTGAAGGTATCGTAGTAATAATCGTGCACTCGAGCGGCGAGCTTGCTGGCCCAAACCAGGGGCAGAGCCTTGGCGGTCCGGTCTTGCTGTGAGGATAGCTGGGAGCTCTCGTTTAAGTTGATTGTCTGGTACATATTGTGGGGAAATGGTGAATAGGTAAAGTGGGTGCTCATATACCAGTTGTTTCAGTTCCGCCTCGTCAAAGCCGATTTCATTCTTAAGCACGTAATACTTGTACTTCTGTGCTTGGCCGACGTTTGTGCCAAATACGATCTCAGGTGCCGGGGGCACGGTTGCTGCGTCCAAGTCCAGCTTCGAGGAGAGTTGAGAATCACGGAAAAACGTGATCTGGGCATTCTTGTTGTATACCACGCAAGTGATGCACGGCTGTTCAAAGCCCGGCCACTTCGAATTGAAAGCCGCTTTGATGCCTTGGTATTCATGCTCGATGGTTGCGTTGTTGTCGAAGTTGATACCGCTGCGGTAGAAGAGAATGTCCTTTGGAGGTTTCTGAGGATTTGACCAAGCTTCAAAGCGCTTTTCCATCATACTTCGAAGGCTAAGAACACGGGGAAGAACCGGTGCTGTCAAAGTCGTCTTGTCTTCTGCTCCACGTGTGGTGTATTCGTCGAAAGTCTGCTGGATCGTGACAGATCCAGGGAATTGCAATGCAGTAGAGTCTGTGCTCGCCACCACAGCGGCGATAGAGGGACTGTACGTTTTATGGCCATCTCGTGGGCGTCTGGTATGGGCTCCGACCACCATGAGATTACTCAAATCTATGCCTGACCCAACATCCAAAACATTCGTGCTATAGTTTGTGCCGCCGAGCTTGAAGTTGCACTTGTCCATGACACTTTGTGGGAAGTACGGGTCATCATTGTTGCGAGTCGCGATGCACTTTCGCATGTAGTCCTTGGTGACATCCACGAGTAGAGTGTTGGCCTCATAATCTGTAAACTTGCGCAGCTGCTTGCGAACCATACTAGATGACTCCATTAAGCCTAGAACAAGTCTAGTTCGGTTGGTGGCAGTCGTACCGTGCAAGATATTGTACAGCTTGGTTTTTGAATTCTTCTTTTTTTGCACTTCAGCAGCAGTACCAATGTCGGCAACTTGCGCCTGTGCCATCACAAGAGACGTGTCATCCGACAGAGGCAGCTCTAAGCCTTGCCTAATCCTCGTGAGGAAGGAGGCGTGAGTACGGCATGCACCTGTCACGTTGTCTTCGGCGACTGCCACGTTGATGGAGGCTTCAAAATTAGACCGAGCTAGAATCTTCTTGGCTAATTCAGCGGGCTGCTGTACAATGTCTCGAACATTGGGGACGAAAACGACGTTATTGGCGACTTCGAAGAGAACTTTTCCCATCGTGATTTTGCTAGCGTAAGTCAGTCTCACTGCAATGGCATCGTGAAGAGTAAATGCATACCTGGTTGCGCATCTGTACATTGACAAGTCTTAAGAATTGCTGTCCACGCTGTCGGATTATGGACTCGTACTTGTGAGATAGCACAGAACGTGCAAGGCCTCTGCCTGCTCGGGTGAAATCCTTGTGGTGAATGGGCTGGGCATGCTCTACGATCAGCATCTCTAGCGGTACCCAATGATCCTTTCCATCGGATACAAGGGGAAGCTCAGGGTACTGGAGTTCTTGACTGGTAGGTAGAACGCCTACGCGAAAGTTAGTATGTTCATGACTACAGAACCAAAGGTTACACTTACGCTCGTTGAAGAATGAGGCCACGGTGTATGTCTCGGTACCAACATTGAACTTGACATCTTCCGGTATCTTGACGTCCGCGATCCTAAAAAGACGACCACGGTAGGAGTTTTTACTGTCCAAGAGTGATGCCTTTTTGCCGGGTTCCAGGGGGTCCTTTTCCACAACGTATTTGCATCGAACCTGCAGGCCCTTTAGAAGACCCGCAAGGACAGTCAGATGCTCTAACGGCTTAGAAAGCAGGCCGTTTTTGCCAAAAGCATCAAACAAGGCCGAGTGCAGAGAGCCCTTCGGATCATATGCAACGAGGTCGAAATCCAAATGCAGACACTTGTGATCGGTGTTCAAGCTTGGCTGGATGCGCAAGCCAAGCGACAGACCTGAGCCAACTTCCATGGGGACTGCTCGCTGAGAACATAGGAAAGGATTGATTTTGTTGGGGCCATTGATGACGGAGGGGAAGTCTTGGATGTAACAAGTGTGCCTGCTCGTACCGGAAGGATCGTCAATCTGACTTGTTCTCATTTGGATAAGGGAGTCGAAACTTTTCCAGTAAAGCTCTGCTTTCTTTTTGTCATCAATATCCTTCTGGGGAAGAATTTTGCAAGCGACCGGACGATGAGCAGCAGCCTTGCTGGCAGCCTCCTCCTTACTGTCAGCCTCTGCCTTCTTCGCCATCATCTTGGTGTGATCGAGCTCAGTTTGTCCAGGCACCAAGTTTTGAGTCAGGGCTTGTGTTTCGGGGCTTACCGGCACGACCACCTGATCCAGGGTTCCATTCCCATCTTGATTGATCGCAACGTTAGCCAAATCATCGACTTTGATCGTTTTTGCGATCATCTCCCTGACGGCATCCTTGCGCAGTCGTTTGTGCGCCACGGCCTCCCAATTGTCAATCGGCTCTTGCGCAGATGTTTTGGGGCACAGAGTCTCCACTGTGGCGACGAAGAGAGGTGGTAGGTCCGTCAACTCATAGGTTAGCCGTCCAACGGCAGTCTTCGAGTGTGGATTGTTCTTGATCACAGAAGTGGTGGGACGGTTTGTTGGAGATGACAACATGCCACAATAGCCTGTGGAGGCGTTCGCCTTGACTCCAGGCTCTTTGGATCCTATCAGCAGGGTTGACGATGGTGCCCGTTGTGTTGTGAGGTCTCCACCAGCTACTGAGCTCGTCGTGGTACCAGGGTCGCTGAACGTGCTACCCGCTGCGGAAGGAGCGCTTTGATCCAATGAGCTGTCGGTCTGAAAGCTTCCCTTCCTATTAAGAGGGTTAGGCTGAAGCAGTTGATCATCTTTGTTCATTTTCGACATGTCGCACAAGTCAATCTAATCAAAGAGAAGTAGAAGACCGGGCCAATTATCGTGCTGGATTTGATTCTTCACAGGGCGTCGGAGGGGTAGTTACTTATACTTGTCCTGCGCTTGCTAGCTCTCTCCGTCTGCAATCATGCGCTATGTCTGGAGGTGCGGATGACATAGTGTACATGCTGCTTGCGCTGGTCTCGCGATATTCTTCCATGATCGACACTTGATTTGCGATAAAAGTCATGCTCGCACGTGCATGGTGATACACTGCCAAGCAAACAAGACGGTGAACTCGTGGGTGTAACAAGCATACTGCGTGAATTTGGGGTATTCGCGATGCCTATGAATAAGTGGAGGTGTAGTTTGAAAGTCCAGAAGAGACTGGAGGTATGGCATCATGACGGAAAAGAGAAAGAAAGCGCGACCTAAGCCACCACATTTCAACCTACGTGAAAACATTCTGATATCTGTAACTTTCAGCTTTCATCTTTAGATGCATTATTGAGTACTTACTACAACTATTACACCCTTCTATAGCAGGTATCCTTTATACACAAACCCATCTCCGTTGCCTCCGAGGAGGAGCATCTGGACGTGATCGCCTTTCTCGAGCCCGCCCTCCCTCAAATATAGCTACTGGGCGGTTTACAACAACTCCGCAATCCACGCCCACCACCCCTCCACATCTCCCCTCTCCTTTCCCTGCACCACATTCCCCCCAACAACACCCACACTGGTCCCTACTTCTTGCATCTGCGTAAACTCAAACGCCCCCTCTCCGCCTTCCCCAAGCCACTCCTTCTCCTCATCCACCTCATCCTCGCCCCCACTCAGGGCCGCGCCTGCATCCCTCAACGCCGTCGCGCGACCCGCTCTGACCTGGGTAATCGCCTTCTCCAACTGCACCTTGACCAACCCCGCCGGCAGCGCAGTAAACAGATCCATTTTATTCGCGGCGATCAGGACCGGGATGCCAGGCGGTGCTTTGCTGGACGTCGCGGTTGTGTAGCGCTTCTGCAGGGCGAGCAGGATGTCGTGCAGGTAGCTGGCGGCTTCGATGAGCCCGGATTCGTCGGCGAGCGAGGCGGCGTCTACGACGAAGATGATTCCACGCAGCGAGTTGGGGTTGGCGAGTATAGATGTTGCGTGGTGTCGCAGTTTGCCGTGCCCAGGCGTGTCGAGGAGCAGGAAGTGCCGCGCGCGCTCGAAGGCTGGGTCGCCGGCGGAGCGGAAGTGCGAGGAGGCGGGGATGTGGGGGGAGGGGAGGAGGGCTTCGATTGTGAGGGGTTGAGTGGATGTGTGGGTTTGGGCAAGGGAGTTGCGTTCGGTCTGGGTGGTGTTAGATTTGGGTAGAGGGAGACGGGGGATGGCGTACCAGTGTGGTGAATGCAGTCTTTCCGCCGCCACTCGGGCCAACGAGAAGGAAGGTGGGCAGGCTTGTCGACGCCGCTGCTTTCCGGTATAAGAAGCTGTGCAGCAGTATCGGCAGGCCAATTGCGACGAGGAAGGTGATCAGGATAGTACTGAGGTTGGGCGAAAGCGCTGCTGTGAGCCAGCTGTCCTCGTCGTACCACGCCATGGCTTTTCAAAAAAGACGACCGAAAGTACAATACGCGTTCCCGAGTATGGTTGTAAACAAAGCGTGACGTGTGATGTGTACGGTTCGAGCGCGTCGGGGGTGCGTGATGGTTTAGCGATGACGTGACAAACTCAGGGCAGCGGACATGGCACTTTCCGCCTGCCCTGCGAACAAAGTTTCTCGCGTGGACGGGGCGTTCGTTCCATGAGTCGCCATCTGCGCCCGATCCGCGGGGAAGACGGGAGCTAGTCGAGCTTCCTCTAACCTCACCTCTTCATCGCTGCATGCGAAATCCTTTGCCAACACAACCAACCCTGCGCCATGCGTCGCAGCAGGCGCTTGTGGAAGCGGTGGACGCACTGGGTTCGGGATTCGCGAAATTTGCTCAAGGGCGCATGTTGGGCGAAGGATGGGCGCAATGTGGGCCTGACTCGCGCAACGTCAATCACAAGCACATGGCAATGGCGATGGCGACAGACACAAGGGTAAAGAGAAGGGCCGCCTGCATTCGAAATAACTATCATAAAGCTTTTAGGGCAAGGGCTATGTAATCATACAAATAGACAAGGGGCCGCCGTTATCGTCATCCAGTTCCGTGTATCGTGTCGTTTTTGCCGTCTCTTTCGTGATTGCCCCCCACATGACTGTGCCGCTGTCCCCGTCGCCCCTTTTCACTCGCAGAAACAAACGCAAAGAAATCCATGGCCATGACCCATTACTCATACAACCATAAGTAGCTGTTGCTTGCCGAGCGCGGCAATGACAGATCAATGTCGAAGCAGGCCAGCCGAGCAGCAGCATGAAAGAGAAGGGTATGACCGCTGCCAAGTGTGAATTTAACCCATATGCACCATGCGCAATGCATTAGCGCCCATGAGCCCTTGATGTACCCAGCACCGTTTTCGCATCCCATCATGCGTAAATCAGGAAGAACATAAGAAATTGCCGACGCCCCAGAACCATACACAAGGAGAAGGGGATATGTCGTTTATGCGGGTCGTACACCTCATGACAGTGCGAGCCGCTGGGTGTAGGATTAAATATGCCGTGTGATGAAGGAAAACAGATGAAAGAAGAGCTCAACAAGATCGGAACACCGTGTCGTAGGAATCGCAGTCGTGACTTGTGTTCGATGCCGTAGGACAAGACTAGGTGTTGAGGGGACGCATTCGAATGGGGTAATACGCAAAGCGTTTCACTGCGGCGGGTAGTGCACAGCAGACATGCCATACAGGCTCTTTGTCGCGCAGGCTTCACACTCGCCGCTTGACCCCGGCCGACATACGTAGGTGTGTTACGATCAACACCGTCCCTGGCGAGGTCGCTATTTGACTCGTAGAGCTGTGAGCTTGGTCCGTCTTCGAAAGGATTAAAATGCATTAAGTAAAAGAAAACCGCCGCCGCGATGCCCAAGTCTTAGTGGGCTAAAACATTTGGATGTGTGATCGGTGTAGGCAAGAATGGTGTGAGCTGAATCTTCGTGCCTAGCCATCGCATATGTGTGCGAGGCTGATGAAACTCAAGTCTGCGGCGATCGGCCGATAAAGACTGAATATACTCATCGGTGTGCTCAGTACCCAGTGTGAGCGTGGACATCTGGATAGTAGCCGCGGCTACTCTCCATGCCGGTGAATCTTCCACAGCCACCAACTTGCATGCCTGTGTACGCGGTGGCGTGGCCGGGATACTCCTCTTTGACTGATCTCCTTTCAGGAAGAGGAAGAGTGCCTTCGGCCTTGGTAGGTATGCCATCGTACAGCGCAGATGGATAGTACTGGTAATCGTGGGGAGCATTCATCATCTTGGCGTCATCCTCGTCGGTCATGTGCTGGTCGCCAACAAGCCCTTCCACGGGCCCCCCGCTCATGGAACTTGCAGAGCTGACTGAATGACTGCCTGCGGGGCTTGGGTCCAGCGAGTAGGTGTTCCCGCGATACATGCTTCCGCCCATTGCTGTGCCACTTCCCCCAGAAAGGCCGTTGCCATTGCCGTAGCCATATGACACACTGCCCCGCCCACTCATGCCGTTTTGGCCAGAGCCCCCGAAGCCTGAGCTTCCGGGGCCCCTTGTTGTAGCATTGTGAGGGCCTTCGTTTTGGTAGTGGCTCGGTGACCTTCCGCGAACGACGACGGGATGTGACAGCTTAGCAGCAACTTTGACCCAGCGCGGCTCGGTGTCCCTCGGGTTCTGGACATTCGCCCAGAGTTCGACGATCAAATGGTAGTATTGCTGTTGAGCCCTACGCTTGCCATTGTTCGCCGTGGCCGACTTGAACTGTATGCGTTCAAATGCGTGGAGGGAGTTGCTGCTTGTATGACTTGCTGGCGAGTACTGTTGTGAGGAGTCGTTTTCGGTCTGAAGCGGGAGCTGGGGTCCTGGAGCGCTTGGGGGTTGATGGAAGTTACTCAAACCATATGAACTGTGGTCGTGATTCTTGCCAGGAGGATTCGGCGCAAGCAACTCCTTCTTCATTGGAAGTTGTGGCCCCTTGTCACGTTTGGGTGTATGTTGTATCAGCTCAATGGTCTTGCCGGCCGTGCCATCTACGGCCGCCGCAAGCGATACAGCCATGGACTGGATTTGCTCATGCGGTTTACCATTTCCTTGATCCAAGAAGAGCCTTGCGTTTGGCGTCCATGGGTTCAATCCAAAAGAAACATTGACAGAGAAGTAATTTCTCCGATAACATGTCCAGACGCCGTCACCAGACATGAAGAATCCCTTTTCGATCTTTGCATCGATCGTGGGAGCTACATCAGCGCCATCGCTTATGATCTTGTGATAGGTCTCTTGAGAGTTGAAGGGGGGTGAATCGCTCATGTTACTAGCATGGGCGTATGAGGAAGCCTGGATGCCTGGTACCGTATGAAGTCAGAGGCATGGTAGTGGGCAGCACACTTTCTGGGTGTGTCAAGGATGTGAGTTGATATCGAGAGATGTCGAGAGTAGCGAGGTGACAAGGGCGAGAGAGTGACGATGTAGACTAGGCGTTGCGGTGGTATAATTATCCCTAACCGACGCAGCCTTGGACGTTGACACGTGGATTGCCCAGGCTAGGTGATCTTGCCTGAAGTAACATACTTGGCGATGATGAGAGGATCAGTCCTATAGTATCGCTGTCTTGCTGTGCATGCATACTTCTCGCGTTCTACAAGCACGAATGCGCCACAACGGGTAACTTACAGGCGTCGACCCGTCGACATGCTGAAACCAAAACCGGGGTAGTTGCTTAGAGGATAGCTGTTGTCGGCGTAGGCGCTTGCTACACTTGGAGCGAAAGAAGCGTATGAGTATGCTGCTGCAGATGACGCGTTGGAACTGGGCGAGGTAGAGATGGAACCAGACCCTGAGTCAGAGAAGGCAGCTCCAGTCTGGTAGCTGTGGACGTCAGTTAGTCAAGCCAGCCAAAAATGTTAAACAGCCAAAGCCAACAACAGTGATGTGTAACCAGGGGATAGGGTAGCACGGTATATGTTGTCAATCAGGCCAGGGACGGTACGGCATTACCGCTAGGCTTGTCGTGTGATCAAGGTGACGACCAGCCTGTTGGGAGAACCGAATGCGCCACGCATCCGGAACGTGTGCGACAACAGGTAAGATCAAGGACATTGACGACGTGTTTGTTTCGGCGATAGGGGAGGCCAGAGCTTGGGCAACACAGGCGGCGAGGCGTCGAGGGATGCACGCTGGGGGCGGCTATGCGCAGGCAGCACTACGGAGCTTGCTATGCCAGGCCGGGATGACAAGGACCAATGAGAGAGAGTACTTACCCTGTGTCGGGACGAGGTGCGCTAAATCGGTGCACACTGGAATTCTGAGGAAGACCGGTCGCTAGGATCCCGTCGCGCCTTAGCTGTTCGGGTACACGAGTTGCAGAATAGCTATGATGTGCATGAGAACCAATCTGGTCGATGCATTCCTGATCCGAAGAGAAGTGGTGTTGATTGTCCGATGCCAATGACAAAGGAGCGTGAAGTACTGCTTATCCCGTACGTTAGCCAATCAATCTGAGCAGAAGGCTGTGTCGTTGAACAGGACGTAGGACAAAAACGGACAACGTGCACCCGTGGGCGATAGAGAGACGGAGAAAAGGCGCGCGTGGGACGTCGTGGTACAAGGGGCTCCGCGATCGGGTGGCTCTGCAGACCTGGCGTGCAAGTGCGCACCACATGCAGTGGTCGGGATAAAAACAATGGGCCCACAGTGTGTAGCATCAAACAGAAGAAAAAATCAATCAAGTGCCCTGGCCGCGTTGTGATGCAATATAAGAGGCAGCGTGCGAGGAATGCTGGGCTGTGGAAGAATGCGGAGAAGCGCGCCAGGTAATGGCTAGAGGGTGCAGTGCTTGGAAAACGAACAATTGCGGCACTCGCAGGCCAAGGGCCCGCAAATGCTTTTAAGGCTGACATAACTTACCTGGGTTCATCATCGCAGTGATCGCTGCAACGCCCGTCTGTATTGCCCGTAGTGGCCTGCAGATACTATGTCCCGTTCGAGAGACCGAGTCTTACGCTGCGGATCCGACACTATGGGCAGGATCAACGGTGCCCGGCTGTGGCGATATTTCGCGCTGCTGACGAAGGTCTGCTGCTGCGGTCGATGCTGCTTTTCGACTGCAATCTTGCAACCGTCCGCGAAGCAAATGGCCCGTCGTAAATGGTAATGGTGGACGTACTTCGGGATGCCGGACCTGATGCACAAGGGTGGCAGTAACGGGAAGAGGATGGCCGTGGAGGCTCGTCTAATGCTCGTTGTTGATTCGCTTCAGGGCAATCTGGGGCGGTTTAGCCGGCACAGGGGCAGGATCCTCGATTAGTTGCCGCTGCGAGTTGCTGGTGGCTGCAATCCGTCAATGCTGATTCTCGGCGTGTCCTGGAGGTGTGCAGCTATTGCGAGCTGGCAATGCAGTGTGTACTTTATCCAGGAGATTGGTTTCGCGAAGCGCACTCGTTCTCAGCACACCAATCATTCACCTCTGGGGTCTGTCGCAAGGCTTAGTTAATGGTGGTTTGTCGCGGTGAAAGTGAAGAGGGCAGACTGACAAATTTGGGAGTTTTGACGAAACTGTAACGCCGCTTGCTTTTGTCACCTGTTGCGGCCGCGCGACGCCTTAAACCCTGGGGTTAAACGGCTTCCGTCTACGCAGAGTACCAGACCGACAGGTGCGCTTTGCTTCTTCCCGCAGTCTCCACAGATCTCGAATCTCGAGCACAGACAGGTACGCACTTTGATCCGGCCAGTTGGTGCCTGCAATCTCTAGTTGCGACGTAGGCGGTGTGGGTGTTGTCGCTATTGTCGCCTCGCTGCGACCTGTCAGTCCTTGGTATCAAACAAGGTACTATGTTGCAAGGTGGGTGGAGCTTACAGGGTTGTTCTGCAGTCTGCCAAAAGAAATTTGTGGCGTTGGGTGATTTCGATCGTGGCTGCTTCGACGAGGATGCTAACTTGTCGTGAAGGCTCCGTGATCTGCACGGTGGCCAGGTTTGTGGATCGGGTCGACAGGCCCCTCTGTTGCCTTGCGCTGGCTTCTTATTGTATAGAAGTGGACCCAGCTTTGGTCAAGAGCACGGACGAGCAGGTGCAAAGGGTGGACGTAATGTGAATAGTGGGTATCTTTGACTCGAGTTTCGCGTTGATCAAAAGCGTGAAGGCTTGAAGCATATATGCACGGTGCCTATATCCAATTTGACTTGTTGCTGAGGACAAGTAGTACAAGGTTGCCGGGGTCCAACAGACTCGTGATCTTTGTTTACGAGGCTGGCTGGTAGGGTACCAAATTTCAGCAATAAGACAATGGGGAAATATATGTAATATGTGGTAGAGAGGAACTGGTGACGACGGAGGCCGAAAAGGACGATGTGATCCAAGGATACGAGATCAGCGGTCAAATGAGAGCAGGCACATAGTGGGAGGGCAGTAGAAGTACAGTTGGCAGAGCAAAAGGCTACTACTGCTCAATACAGGGTAGGGTGGGCTGGGAAGCTCATCGGGTAGTTTGGCTGAAAGAAGAAGTGCCTACCAAGCAAGAATAGCCTCAGAATATTGTTAGGATGCTGGATCAAGATTTCAGCCCCAAAGAAAATGATCCGTATCGCCCTGCTCAGACCATGGCCGTTTTCTAGCACCACGGTAGCATTGGAGAGCTGCAGCAGCGAACCTTTCCGCATCGAGCGTCAGTATATCTCCGAGACGTCAGGGAGGGATGGTCTGCCCCGATGCCCAGGCTCGCATCTTTCTCGAATCGTTGGCGGTACACTGCGAGCTTTGCATTCCTTGCACCGGGAGGATGGGGTCTATTGGCTCCGGGGTCCGTGACCCATGAGCTGTGGGAAACTGGTTGGCTCCTCAGGCTGAGGCAACACAGTCCCGTGCAGCAGCGATGCAGGAACATTGACCACGACACCACTCTCGAATGGGGGGCCGACTCGACACGGCAGGCAATGAGCCGGCCAGCTGGGACGCTGATGTTTCATCTCGATCAGCCGCCCAAGAATAACCCTTGAAGCGAACAAATGATCAGAGTTTGCTCTCTTTGCCACGGCGGGCGTGGATTGGGTCGTCAGTGGCCGCGGCGTCCAGTCAGCGCTTGGGCGTGGATGGACCAAGAGCAGGCTGGTGGGAGAGCGCCACGGGCCGGCAGCCGCGTGGCAGACGACAGGTCGTCCCGCGGGTGAAGGTGAGAAAAAGGGAACGCGGAGGACCAGGAGAGCTTAGACTCGAGGCCGATACCTGTCACAGCGCGACGGCGACAGCACTACCTTGGCCGCGAAGCAGCGTGAAGGGGACTGAAGGGAAGGGGAAAGCCACCCACACACGCAGACACGGACACTTACAGACAGACACAAGCGCCACAGCGCGCTGGGAGAGGCCGTGGGTGCCGCGAGCGGTGGTCGATGGTTGCATCGGCTGGGGAGGTTTTGGCTAGAGGCCTCACTGCGCCATGAATCCATGAATACGATCCGGGCTTTCCCTCACAGCAGGCGCACACACGAACCCGGCAGCGTGGTCGACTGCGCAATGCTCCGAAAGAAGGCAGAGCCAGTCGTTGGCCGCGCCGACACAGACGTGCATCCGCGCGGCGGCACACGGGTGAGAAGGGAAGAGGGTGAGGGAGAGCACTAGAGACAACGGGGCTGGAGGGGGAATCTGCAAGACGAGCGGTTTCCAGGAGCGCTCTACGCCCTGCTCCCTAGTGAGGCCGACGATGAACGGTGAGAGGCGACGGCCGAGCGAACTCGAAATGATCATGGCAGATGGGAGGGGCGCTGATGGGGCCTTGGGGGCGCTGACCCGCTCCCTTGCGCCAGCTCGATTCCGCTACAGGTGCGATTGGGAAGAAGAGCGATGGCCCGCAGGGGATGTTGTTGGGAAAGCGCGCCCGGTGACGTGCAGCAGTGCGCTTCTGCTTTCCCCACCCGAGCGCGCGCCTTGCCTCTTCGGGCCCTGGCGCCTTGGCTGCATCCGCCGTGCAGCAGACGACCCAAACCTCCCATACCCTCTCACCTTCCATGCCAGGCCGCGACGACAACATCATGACGCCGTCAAGCGCGTCCCTTGCTGGCCAGCGATAACCACGCGGGCAAGGTGACATCTCAGTCCCAGACTCCATAGCGCTCATGTGTCTCGCACGTTGCGGCCGTCCGCCCTCCCAGCGCTCGGGGCTGACCGCCGACGAGCTATCTGATTCTCGCATTGCTTGCATTCCTTACCTTGACAGCTCCTCCAATCGCTAGCCCACGACCAACCTTCTGTCGCGGAGCGAGCCAGCCGGGCGCTGGGCTGGCCGCAGGCCCCAACTCCTAACTTGAGACCAACTCCAGCATCGATTTCCAGCCTGCGTAGATCATCTGACGCATCTCAATGGAGAATGCAGAAGCAGGGCCAGTGGAGCGCAATGTTCCTCGAAGCCTACCCTATCTGCGCGTTTCTAGCACCGACCAGAGCATTTCACCGCACAATGGCACGACAGCCCGTTGGCGTGCATCTGGAGATGGTGGCTGACCGGGTGCTCAGGACATGATGGCTTCAAGCGGTCGTCGTAGCTTGTCATAAGGTCACGTCGCTATCAGCTCCTCTGCAGGGCACCCGCTGTAGAGGTACAATGACCTGCAGCTTCCCGCGACCCCGTGACGCCTGACGGCGATGGTCGGGCGTCCAACCACCTGTCAGTGTCCGATAACTTATGGCGACCTGCAGCAATGCCGAATTTCAACTCGGAACAGTTAGGGACGGGTTGATGCATCCTTGGATGTCTCAGCCGACTCGAAGAAGACTGAAGGAGATGAGATCGTGTGGACAGCGCCCCACCACCTATTGCGTCCTCGTCGTTGCACAGATGCTGTGTATCTCGGCCCTTCTGATCACTGCGTTTCCACAGTGGCCTGATGTGATGCCAACTTCTAGCAGAGCAACGTCTTTCAGCAGCGGTACGGCCCGCCACTGAAGCAGTGAAGCAAGACGAGACCTCTTCAAACTGCCTTGTGTCCTGGTGTACTTGCCACTGCATCCTATGCCTCTAGGGGCTAACATTCTTTGCCGATGCTAGCATGTCTGAAAGCGCATCGTCAAGCACCCAGGCATCTGGTCGACTCGTCAGAGCTGCTTCGTATACGGATCATGGCACCGGCAGTCGAGTCAACAGGTTTCAGAACTAATCGTTTCCTGGCTGCCAAATTCCAGAGCTACGGCTCTTTGTCGTACATGCCTCGAGATGGCTGGTCTGAAACTTAGAAGCAATGGCAACATCACGCAACCGAGCTGTTGACAGCCATGCCTGCGCCTATACTGCAAAGTCTCCGCAGGGCTATCGGCTCCATGCTACTACTTACGCAAACCATGGATGTGTTGTTGACAGCTTCTTGCTAGCCGCAAAGACACACAATACTGGGTGAGCTTTGTGCTGGCGGCACATCGGTCGTGGACGCCTGCTGACGGATCGTCGGCTGAATTGACAAGTAGCTCAGTGATTCCACTCTTGAGACTCGCACGATTTCATAACTCACAGACTTGACGGACGTCTAGACGCGCTCTAGAAAAGGGGCCAGTGCGACGTGCGAACACAAGAGACGCCCCAGTGCCACGGTGGCCTTGAGCGAAGCATGTCAAGCAGTAAGCCACCGTCGCTTGTGTCTTTTACCTGATGGCATTGGCTAACGATGAGAGCCTTCATCATTAACCGCGCCTTTGAGAACGGTAACCCAAGCCGCAAAGCTCTGCCAGATGAAGCTCGTACTCCGATGCTAAACTCTGAAGAACATCTGATGTCAATGTTAAGTTTTGGACGATCTCCACGGACACTCCGGTAGCGAGACGTTGGCGTGTCACGGCGCGGCCGATGGCATCGAGAATGTCATAGCTGCCCACGTTGGATCGCTAAGTAAAGGTCCCAGACTTTGAGCACAAGACCAACTTATGATTGAAGAAGCTGGATTCTCTACTACTTCCACCTGCAAGTGCTCGAACTGCTTACTGCACCTGCTAAGGTACTTATCATGCAATCAAACACGTCGCTAAATGCAAACCACCATAGCCAACAATTTTTGGCTTCTCTTCGACTCATGTTCGACGATCCGCTGCGCAGGGACCTAGCGGCTTGTCCGCTTTGATTGCGCGTACCGCTATGAGCTGCCTTTGAACGACACTCTCGGCCACCTCCCGAGAACAAAGAGTACAAAGAAGCCGCTGTATGACGGCCAACCCCTCAAATCAGCGCACGAACGATTGGCCTGTGCGGACGCCGTGGAAGCAAACAACATCGCTGTTGAGGAGCACAATCCCATCTATACCAGTTTAGGAGAGTCCTGAGTTGTGTCGCTTGTCACTGCTATCGAGTGGCCCAATCCTGCTCCTGTGATGTCAAACCTAAGCCCTAGGCGTCCTCGTGGCGTGCCAACAGCACGAGCAGCATCGCACTTGATGCCTAAACCGTCCCAGTTCTACAGCTGGTATTCTGGGAGCATCCCGTCAACGGCGCCACAGTTGTGCAGCATGCGGATGCTGTATTGTTTTCACAGCGCCACGAACCGCCGCCCGTGATTGCAGGAGTTCAACGGTTGATCGCCATATACTAACATCACGCTCAATTTATGTCGAGGCCGGCGCACTCATCACAATGCCGCTACCCGGCGTCCAATTGCTTGCCGTCTGACCGAGGCCGTGGCATCCAACTGTCCTGGATCCTGCAGGCTCGCTGTGATCTGTGTCAGCCGGGTACAGCATTCGACCGGCGACAAGCGCTTCAAGTGAGTCGTCGTAATCGTTCTCTTCAAGCAGATGGGATGGGCTTCTGAATTGCGGGTTGAGTGCAGAAGGAATTCGAAGTGCTAACTGCTTTTCCCAGAAGTGCTGATCGCTGAATGAGGCATCGCCAGGGGCGCAGTACTCCCTCATCACCACTGCAGCTGTGTCGTTGATCTCCCGAAAGTTTCCATGTCAGTCTCACCGGTCCTGGTCACTATCGAGGATTGAGAGTCGCCTCCGACGGTATTGTCCGCCGCAACATCAGTCTCAGCCTTCAATGCCTGTCAATTTCCATCTTCAACTCAGTCCAAAAATGCCACTTCAATCCCATCCCGTCCAGACTGCATGTATGCACACGATGGTGTCGTTGTGCCCATCACCCTCAGGTTTGGAAGTTTCGCATCTCTCATCCTGAGTCACAATGACATCCACAGGATCTGGTCCAACCCCTATCTGACTCTCGATCACCTACCTGACGTGCCTCCCATGACACTTCTCCCGAGCACATGGAAACGCACTGCCTGGCCGCGCAGCAGCATCTGCCTAATTTTTTGCAGCAGGCAAGAAACCGGCTTGCTCGTGCACAGAAGCGCCTCACTTGTGCCCGTATGATGTCTACGCCGCTAGCTTCTGCTGTGAACGTCTGCTTGGCGCGCAGCACAACAGGGTCGGGACACGTACACGAAGCGTAGCTCTCCTCACCCCTGAGTCGATCCCGCCAAGATAAATGCCAACACAAACGTCTGCTTTGAACGGTTATCCTTGTTGTGGGCAGACGATCCGTGGGCGCGGAACAAAGAGGAGAGTTCGGGGGTTGGGGCATGCCCCTGATTCAGGCGCGAAAGTTGGCTGTGCTGGACTTTTTCCTTTGGAGCTGAAGCTGAATGGGGCAAGATGTTGATTTCGGACGCTCTTTGTTTGAGAAAATCTGTTTGTGTAGATAGTTATCATTGTTGTTTCATTGTGCATCTTGAAGTCAGCCACGCCCCGTGAAGTACACTCACTTCTCGCTAATTTTGGTACCGGCGTGAAATCGCGACAGTGCAATGTTGAACATACGCCATGGAAGTTAGATTTGCGGTCGCAAGGCTTTGGGAGTGTAAGCCTGCGAATAATACATCTACACTAAATTTGATACAATGTCCAATCTACGTGAATGTGAATTTGTCTTCCATCCACTTCTATCTAAAATGCTCTTTATTCATACGTCTCGTGTGAAGCTATCCAATCTTCTCCATTACTTCGGTGGGTCTGATGGTGTAGCTGAAACGCTCAACGCCGCCACTGCGCAGTGTTGACCGCCCGCAGCCAGACTCACTCGGTGAAGGCTACTTAGCAGGACATCCTGAACCACCTCACTCTCAAGCTCGGCCTTTGAGAAGTGTGTACCAGTCTGTATACCCAGCATGAGAAGCAAAGCGACTGACTTCCAAGGTTGCCAAACGCCTTGGAATCTTCGAGCGCTGATGTTTAGTTAGAATTCGAACCAACGCCCACTTTCTCTCCATCACTTCGGACTCCCAGCCATCCTGAACCTAACCTCCTGCAACAAAACGTACACGACCCAGCGGCAATGATACTCATTTACATAAAGAGCTGTTGTCTCGCAACTCTTCGTCCACCCGACGCGAGCCCACACGTACATTTTTCCACCTCGTCCTGCCGCGTGCAACGCCTCGACTACGACGAAGACACGTACATTGACGTTGATCAGACTGTGCTGCTGCTTACAACATCATACACATTCAGCGCTTTCTTATGTCTTAACGGGAGGACATGACGGAGCGGCTAGCAAAACTTCGGATTTCTACGACTGAAATTGCCAGCGATGGAAACACGTAGGGCGAAGGAGTACTGAAGCGTCTTAATGGGTTCAAGTGTCATAATGGCAGAGCTCTGGGTGTTGTCGACAAATGCCCAGCGCGACCTGCTTGCGTCGTCGGTGGCTAAGAAGGATAAGGAGATGTAGTGCAAAGAGAGACTGGCTGCCAATGCTCCAGCGACTAAAGCGTGGTATTAGAAGGTCAATGCGAGCATACTAGCATGTTGCGAGATCTGTGGGAGTTACAAAAGTAGTGATATATCCATGGCATACAACATCCCCCAGAAGTGTCCATCTTCATTCTAACCTGGGTATACCCATACATCCCAAACGCCAATTCAATTCCCCATTCAAACAAACACGCTCTCAAGTACATCCCCCACCCACGCATCCCAACTCCCCTTCCCCCTAACCTCCTTCTCCAACCCCTCCTTCTTCCCCTCCCCCTGACTCTCCCACCACTCCCTCTCCGCCCTCTCCTTCGCCCTCCCCACGACCCTCTCCTCATCCTCCACCCTATACAAATCACACTTCCGACACTCCGCACACTCCGCGCCGGGCCGATCTCTAAAATGCTGGCAAAAGTGGCTGTACCCCTGATCCGCCAGGCCCTCGCGGCACACATAGCACATGCTGTAACCGCACAGACACACGAGCTTGTTGCAGCCTTCGGATTTGACGAAGCCGAGGTTGCATTGCGGACAGGTGCGTTTTACGGCGTCAGTGGTGGCGCGCTCGAGCGTGAGGCGCAGAGAGGTGAGTTGTGAGGAGTAGCAGGTGTGTGGGTCGTGCCAGGGGGCGGAGCAAGTAAGGCATGAGGCGCGGGAGCAGGTGGGTGAGAGGCATTGGAAGCGTAGGCCGCGGCGCTTGAGGTGGATGCGGCGTAGGGCGGATTGGATGGGGGTGTAGAAGGGGAGAGCGGCGGCCGCGGAGTGGGAAAGGGAGATTATCATGGCTGTAGATGAAGACTGTAAGGGCAGCGAAGTAGCTGGGTGATGAACAGCAACAGGGTATTGAGTAGTGGGGGCTGATGCCACGGTGCCAAAGGAGAGGTAGCGAGGTTGGAATCGTACGTTCGCAAAGAGATCGCCGTCTCTACACGAAAAGTCGTCGAGTTCAGCATAGGAGCAGAACGGGCAACGGACGAGGGGAAGTTGGGACTTGATGAGTGCTTCGTTGGCGAATCGCTCATCGAGCTTGTCGAAAGTATCTTGGCCGTCTTGCTCTTCCAAAAGAGCACGCTTGACGAATGGAAGCGGTACGCAGCCTTTACAGTCTTCAGATCCGTCCATCATCGGAGCTACACACTTCAGGGTGCAGACTTCGGTGTTGATGTTGCGCGCCCAGCCCTGATCGTACAGTGCAGCGTTGATGGAATGCCGTATGCAACGGAAGCAGATATAGTGACCATCCGCATCGCAAGCTGACATCTGCTGCAGCGTATTGGGGATGAAGCAGCACTCGCAATCGTACATTTCGCCTTCCTTCTCCGCCTCTTCTTCATTCCACTGCATCGCGAGTTCGAAATCCTGCTGCAACTGCTCCCTCCTTTGCTTCTCCTGCTCCGGCACAATCAGACTCTCGTATAGCTCCCTGTTCAGTTCATCGCTCTTGGTCTTGACAAGCAAAGGCAGCCGTGGGCGATTCGTCCTCGGATCAGCCGCAGCCCAGATCACCAGTGGATGATCATTCGCAGTCGGCGCTTTCCGGCGCATAAGGAAGTTTGTAATGCTCGATCTCCAACTCCTGCTCGACAGTCCCAACAGCGTAGGTCGTGCCTGTGTATAGCTCCAGTTGTACTCTGCCAGCACCGCCTTGATAGTCGAATGGCTCAGACCCTTGAACTCCTGGTACAGCGCCTCCTTGGCAGATTCTCGATATCGTATAGACCGGAACGTGTCCTCGAGCGCGAGCGGCTTGCCACGGGTATCTCTTGGCTCATCCACCCTTCGATACTTGTACGTCTGCGCCGTTTCCCGTTGCTCTTCCTGCTCCGCGGGCATGCGATACCGGCCCCGCACATATTTGTGGCCATGCTTCAGCAGCGTCTCGGTTATGACCTGAAGCCTGCTCTCCTCGCTGAAGCTTGACAGCATCTCTCGGAAGACTTCGGGTTGTATGTCCGGGAATATGTCCGTGAGGGCTTGCAGGGAGACATTGAGGTCGCGCAAGTCTGGCTCATCGAGGCCGTGGCTACTCCCCGGCCGTGTAGGAATAGCCGCTTCTTGTGTATTCGTCGAAGCCCGTCGGATAGTCGGAGGCCGTATGAGAGAGGAGAAGACGGACGACATGGCGCTACATCTGCCGAGACCGTCCTGGACCGAGATGAAGAGAGTCGTGAGAAGTTCAAATAAACATTACAAGGGTATTGAAAGAGAGTATGAAGGGCGAAAGTGGGGTGAGTTTGGAGAGCTGGAAGTTTGGTGTTGTTTGGTCAAGCCCAGGGTTCGAGTCGGACCGCGCGTCATAACCGAGACCCTGCAAATCACGCCTGAGCACGTGCGTCTTCTTACACACCACCTGCAAACTTGATGACTACAAATGATGATGAGATTTCTTTCTTTGCGCACAGATCACGACATGAGAATTTTCAGCTTGAAAGGCATCATTGTGACAGGTTCTTCTTGACTTTCGTCCAATTTCAAACTACGCAATGAAGTCACACCCCTGAAGCAAAGTACATACAAACCCCCGAACTCCATCCCCAATCTCCATCCCGCAAATCACACCCAAGCATTTCCCTCCAGCTCAACCCCGGCAAACTAGTCGGCCTCTCCTGCATCCACTCCCACGTAACCTGCACCCTCCCCTCTGAAGCATTCGCCCAAATTCTCTCATACACGCCCTTCTGAATATCCAAATACGTCACATTGCACGCAATACATCTATCCCTCATTACCAACGCATGTTCCGCGCCCTTCCCACCCTTCCCATCACCCATCCAAACATTAACCCAACGATTACACAGCGCGCTGGACTGCCACGAAATCCCATCAGGTAATTCGCCTTGCCAATCGCGCTCGAGCGATGAACCACCAATCTCGCGGACAGTGTCGAATAACACCCAGGATATCGCGACGGCGAATTCATTGTCGAGGATTGCAGGGAAGCCGCATGCCCCCAGGCCCGGGTTGAAGAACGTCAGGTCGCCGATTTGTTCCCCCTTGGGTACGATGTTCGGACTCACAGAACCCGTGGGGATAGGGAAGGGATAGCTGTCTGCACAGGATTTGGATGGGGGTTTTGGGCCTTTTCAGGGCGGCGGTGTGGCGGATGAGAGACTGGCGGGAATGGTGTTTGCGGGGAAGAATTTTGATTCGTAGTCAGAGTTCAGGGCTTGGGAGGGGAAGGTGAGCATGGGGATGGAGGACCAGGGGGAGGCGGTGTGAGGAAGTCGTGGGTTGGGAGGACGCCGAAGCCGGGTGGGGTGGTTGTGTTGACCAGAGGAAGGGCTGGTGGTGGAGTGGGTATGTTGGTAATGGGAATGACTGGTGGAGTAGGAAGGTTGGCTACTGGAACGACTGATGGAGTGGGTATGTGGGCGACAGGAACAAATGGTGTTTGCACGGGGGGTGGTGGTGCTTAGCGCTTGGCTATGCCAGAGGATGTAGCATCTCCCGAACCCAGCTGCGGCCAAGTGAACCCATCCAACGTCCCATTCCCCCTTCTAACCCTCCCACCCATCACTGACAGGCTTGCTGGATCCACACACCCCTCCAACCTTCACATACTTCCCCAGCTTGCCACAAAATTCTTCCACTGTATCCACGAATCCCGGGATACCCTTGATACCGCTGTCTGTCGGTGTTGGCATGGGCATTGCGCAATCCCTCTTCGCTTCGATGTATATTTCATACCATTCTTTTTCTCCGAGACATGTCGCTGTGTAGTCACAAGGGGGAAGTGCGGTTGCACACAATGATTGAGCGAGTCTATTGGCCATCTCGTCGTCTTCGGAGAAATGGAATCCAGCTGGTTTGTTGATATAGACCTGTCTCTCGGTACAAAGTCCTACAGCGAAATTCGCGAGGTCCAAGTACGCTTCTAAAAAGCTCAATTTCTCGACAGGCCTATCTGGAGCGGTAGCTGGCGGAATTCGCTTGTGGAACAGCGACGGTGCTACGATTCTAGGTGCTGCGGCATTTGCGATCGGAGGTCCTGGTAGAGGTTTCTCGTTTGAGGTTTTATGCTGCGTTGCAGTGGTTGTTGTGTATGGATGGTGCGGAATGATGGTTCTTTTCAGAATGGCATCCAGGTCTGGCGCAACATATAGTCCCTTCAGACCCCTTAAGCTCGTTATTGCCACACTTCGCCGCTCCTCTCTCATATGTCCGGCATAAACTGTACTTGTAAGCGTCACTATCGTCGTTGTCGTACACAGCGTCGTCTGATCGGGCGCGTCAAAAGCGATCGCTTCTTCTCTCTCCGTAACCGAGTTCAGAACTTGATTTGACACAACTGTAGAGGACGTCATCTTTGCCTTTGGATGGTGACTCATATGCAACGCAAGTGTCGTCGGCTCATATGTAGATGTCAATGATGGCGTAGTGAAATCCATGCTCGGCGTTTCCGTCACAGTCACACCTTGCGACGATAGACCAAGAACTACAGTCACCATTGTACTCGTCAGAGCCCTCTTTTGTACCGCCACCGTCGCCAATACAATCCCTGCAACTGCCATCGCACCGACGACAAAAGCGAGCAAGAACCAGAAGGTTCTGTGATTGTTCATATTCTCCTTCACGCCTTCCTTGTCTTCGTTGCCCGTCAGGGTGTCTGAAGTAGAATACGGGCCCGCAGAAATATTCCTCACGAGAGCTTTCGTTTCGCGCTTCGGTGCGTATCGACCCTTGTTCGAGCCGAGTGACAGATTTCTCGTGGGCTCGGAGCTTTCGGCAGGGTTAGTGAAGTAGTCTTTTTCGACCGTGTCGGGGCTGTAGAGAGATTCGACGTCGAAATTCCGGGCGATTTTGTCGTCGACTTCTTTAACGAAGGATGGTGGAGCTTCGGTGCTGTAGTGCTTCAATGTTCCTGGATCGATTTCTTCAAAGTTGTCGCTCGTGTGAAGACGCACGGTCGGCAAGCTCTTCCTGATGTGCAGAGCTGGTGGGATGGCGGACAGATGTGGTAGGTGAGGCTGTGAGTTAGTCGACGGGTTGGATGAGTTGTGCGAATCGAGCGGGCTGTAGCCCTGGTTATATCGTGAACGGCCTTCGAGTTGTTTCGATTCGCTTGGGAATTTTCCTAATGTTTCAAGTGATGCGTGTGAGGGAGTGCCGGGTTTAGGTGAATATGGTTGCGAGATCGTGACGCCTTGGTAAGACTTCTTGGCTTTTGGAGAGTCTTTGCGAAAGAGTGAAGCGATGGGCATGAAGTGCTACATGTGCAAGGTAATTTGTAATGAGTGCTCAAGTGTGTAAGTAAAGCTCTAGGCTTGAGACTACGGGGTACGTCAATGCAGCGGTGAAGGCAGAGATGGAGAGTAGACTTGAAAGTGAGAAAAGGTAGAGTAAAGGAGCGCCAGCCGCGTCAGATCAGCATAGTCAGAGATGACTGATGAATGCGAAGATAGTCATATAAATCAGAGCCACGCCCAAGTCGTTGTCACCCTACCCAATGCGTGATCGGCCATCTTGTCAAACATGGCAGGACTAACATCGATATCAGTGGGTTCACATCCAGTACCTAAAAAGTATCAGCATCACTTGTGTTTCCGTCCAGTATCAGTCAAGACAGAATGCCACTCACACCTATCAATAACAGTCACGTCAATGCTGACTGACTTGCCGGTCCGCTCATCCACTCTCGTAGCGCGAATCTTTCGACCGCACAGCGGGTTCTGATTCGGGTCACTACCTGTCTGCACCGCATCGAAGGTATAGTGCGACACGGCGACTACTGCATCATTGTCCCCCGAGTCAATACCGCAAGCGCCAAGACCCGGGTCATAGTATGTAAGGTCTCCAGTATAAGTCTCGGCACCGTTCGGAAGAGGAAGGAATCTCGCCCTGCAATGACTGGTCAGCATGCGCGCGTGGATCATGCATGGGCTCTGTCATACTTCTTCGAGCCACCGCTCAAGCCAACCGCAAGACCAATTATGAGTGCCAGAAGGCATAAAAATGCGACGAGTATAACGATAAGTAGAGTCCGGCGACTCCGGCCAAAGTATCGCTTATGCGGCGGGAGCACGCGATCAAAGCGATCCGACAGCGCCCATGCTGTTGCGCCAGTCCCAGCACCCAAGAACTTGCGCTTCTTCTCGCGCTGCGCTTCCTCAGGCGCATCCCACGTCGATTCGACGCTCCTGGAAGTAGTCACCTCTTTCAAATGCGCCGGCGACGGCTCGCCAATCTCCTTCCGGGGTATAGTGAATGTGCTCATAATGTTTATGTACGGCGCGTAGAGTCGCGCAAGTCGTGTAGTGTATATGGGTGAGTGTGGGGTATCTCAGACAAGGGAATGTGGCATTATTATAAGGCAAGGAGAGGAAAGAGTGGAAGCCTACTGCGAGGCATGGACAATGGCGTCAGAATCCGGGGTCGAGACGCGGTGTGGAGAAGGATGCCACCCATGGTTCGCGAATCGCAGAATCGCAAAAGGGGTCTGAGCGGCTTGCGGCGGTGATGGCTCGGAGATGGACTCGATGATCGCCGAAACGGACCGAGGCGTCTGAACATGGCATCGCAGTTGCCAATGTCAGTCCTACCCAACACTACACTCGGCCTCGGCCAAGAATTTATCTCGCGTTTTACGTCACTCTCCGATTTTTGGTTCTTTCACCAAGAACACGCATCACCGCATCGCACTTTAGTCACATCGACACGAACCGCGCCATACTTTCCGCTTCCGCACTCACCACCTCACCACCTCACCACCTCACGCGACCCGCAACCATGACAGAACAATCAATCAACATACCTCAAGTCCTCGTTTTCCTCGTCGTCATCTTCCTCGCCTCACGATGGTACCTCAGCAAGCCATCCGGCGCACACACGCACGCAGCTCCCGCCCGCTCCACACCACGCATAAACCCCGCGCAAATCGACCAGATAGCAGCAATGTTCCCGCAACTGAGTCGGCGAGACATCGCGTGGGATCTGCAGAGGAATGGCGGGAATGCCTCTGCGACGACGGAGAGAGTGCTTGGTGGACGCGGACTAGATACTGTGAGTTCTACAGTTGAAGTCGGGGTGGACACTGCGCTAATGAACATGCAACAGCCACCGCCGAGTTTCAACCTTCCCACGCCTGGGCCTACAGCACAGATACGCGTTACGTCAGCGCGGCCAGCGTCGAAGCCCGCTCAGCCGGATCTGATTACACGGTATAATCTGTCGTCCAAGTTGGCGCAGAGCGAAGAGCCGGCCAAGGAAGAGGCACCGAAGAAGGCGTGGAGCGCGGATAAGAATGAGAGGCAGATGAACTTGCAGCGCAGGAGAGAGGAAATGATTTTGGCGGCGAGAAGGAAGCTGGAGGCGCAGGAGAAAGGGAAGGCGCCTGCGTAGACGAGGTGACGGGTGCGTGTACATGTTATTTGTAGATGTGCATGGTTCAAGATATACATTTTGATTCTGGCATGCAACAGACATGGTGAAACTCAAGAAGCTAGTTGTTTACGAGCTGGCATGTGACAACTCACACATGCAGATAATGCTTCTCAGCAGCATAAAGCCCTCCAGCTATGACAGATAAAATTGTCGTTCTTCATTATATTCATGGTCCATATGATCATTACCCGTCCCCCCCAAACCTCCCCAACATCCCTCACCTAAACTTCCTAACCTCCTTCACGTTCTGCACCCACCTCGCATCCCTCCTCTCCAACTCCACCGCCCTCCTCTTCCTCTTCCCCCCCGTATCCGCCGCCGTAACATTCCCACACTCGGGCGTCTTCAACCTCTCGCCAAACGTATCCACCGCCCAAATCAGCACGCCATTACTCCACCCAAACCCCTCCACCACCTCATATTCCCCGCCGCCACCCGCCGCATTTGTGCTTTCATCCGCGTACTTTTCGAAAATCGTCCCGTTGCCCTGCGCGCCAGGTAATTTGGGCACGTCTTCCGTCTCCCCGCCGGTTACGCGCCACGTGCAGTATAAACTGTCGAGGTAGCGTTGCGCGAGCGAGAGGGCGAGGTCTTGCGTCCAGACGTAGTCTTGAGTCGTTTCCTCGTCGTCGTCTGCAGTCACTTCAACGGGCGTGTTGAGCAGGCCTTGCATGAGGATGTACTGCAGCGGTGGCCAGACGTTTGGCTCGTCCCATTGCTGGCCGGTGACCAAGTTTGTAGCAGCGATGGCGCCAGCGCGTGAGTTGAGCAGTTCGGACACGCGGGCGAAGACGCGGCGCATAGCAGAGGGGTCGGATTTTATGCTGGAGGGTGCGGCGCCGGTCCAGAAGGGGTAGAATTGGGAGATTTGGAACCAGATTTGTTGGCCGGGGGGCGCGCCGGTGGTGGAGAGGGGAGTGCTGGTGTTGTCTGCGAGGGTGTAGATATTCTGAGAACTCGAGGTCAGGTTGTAGTCGAAGTAGCTGTAGTGTTCGGCGTTCCAGAGGAGCGTGGTCATTGCCTCGCTACGGTTTGCTGCTCGGCCGGCCCATTCGCGGGCGGCGCTGTAGTTGCCTTCGCGCTTGTGGAAGTCGGCGATTGTAATTTCGTTATAGTACAAGATCGAATTCAGGTCCACAGGGAGAATGTTGATGGTATTCAAAGATCGCAGAGGGAAGGAGTTGTCGTTGATGGCATCAGATGGGTTGGCGACCCAACGCATCGAATAGTCCCAGCCTGATTCCGCCCCTGAAGCCAAGTTGGCGTATAGCGTCGCCTTCTGGGTGTCATTGAGCTGTCGGGAGTTGTTGAACTGTTCGCCTTCCTCATTGAAGTATGTCTGGTTGTTGGCGGTCACGTAGTCCTCATAGTACGATTCTGGTCGTGGTTGTGTATTTGCAACCGCGTAGTGGTTCAGCGAGTAATTTCTTCCTCCACGCTCGAGCGTGACGGTTCGATTGGTCACCCAGAAATCGTATTCCAATTCCAGAATCGGCAGGGCGCGTTCGAGCAGAGTGTAGTTCTGCGTGTACTCGACGTAAACTCGGACCATCTGTGTAAGAAGCGGTGGTTGTGAGCGATTCTCGTAGTATCTTCTGGCGCCATTCGGAACGAAACCGATCTCTTCGACAAGATCTAAAAAGTTTTCGATAATGTTCTCAGCAATTTGCGTAAAGGATCCTTGAGTTCGGAGTAATCCTTCGATAACCCAGAACGAATCCCAGTAGTAAGGCTCGCGGAATCGACCTCCAGCTACCACAAATGTCCGGTTCACAGGCAAAAACGAGCTGACACACCCAGTGCAGTTCCCAGCTCCGACATATTGCCGCGTCAAGTCCGGCCAGATGTCAATAACTTGGCGAGTGAAGTCTTCAACAACGGAGCTGTTGACGGCTTCCAGAAAATCGGGCTGCACTTCTAGTTGGTCTTGCTGGAGTGGCTCGAGCTCTGAGCCGGCTTTGCCGAAATAGGTAGTCAAAAAGTTGTTGAGCGCGGTATTGTTCTGGATAGGTCGTGAGAGATTCTGAAAGGCTGCGAGGACCTCATCCAGCGGCCGAATGGTCGGTCTTTGCTATGTCAGTTTGGTCTCAGCTCAGTTATGTAAAATCCTTACAGATCAACAAATGTCTTCGAGTCGGCGAATGGGCGCGCGAGCTCGATCTCCCTCAAGAGGTCCCCATAGCAGTAAATTGGCGAATCACACGGCGCTATGACTGAGCCATTGGTGTACAGTGCTGTCGTCAATTGCGATCCTGCAAGCAGTGCAGCGCTCAGTGGGCGCATTGCTATCTTCATTCTGTCTCTAAATGATCACAACAGCAGACCAAATGCACGGATACCAACGAGACACAGATCAGGGCCACGATGACTCTTTAACCTTCCCGTCATGTTGCCCTGACTAACAAAGAACCTTGTCGGCCCACCAGGCAAGCAACGTAGGTGGCGGTCATGTGGGTTAGCGAAGCCGGGGACAAACGCCCGTACCCCTTGGCATTTCACCGGCCTGGTATCGAAGCGTGACCTGTGCAGCATTTTAGGTTGTACCGGCAGCGGCCTGGCTGCAAATGTGGTGACCTTTCCCCGCAAGATGGCGTTGCGGCTGTTTTTGGAGGCTTAGCGTGATGTCATTGCTGTCAGATCCGGCTCACCCACGGAACACGAACGAGTCACAGCGTTGCGGAGCGGTGTGCGTCATTTGATTATCATCGGCACAGTTGAGTACATGGTGTTTGATGAGGGTTCACGATATCCGCCACTGCTGCCCTGCACTGTTGGTCTTGCGATACAGGAGGACATGTACTTTCACTGAGATGGTGAGTGCTTCGAATTAGCGTGCTACGGAATGCACCACCATGTGAAACTTCTCACAGTGCCTTCATCACACGCAACGCGACCTGAAATGCTATTCGGCGCACAGTATATAATCTCGACTAACTAATCATGTTCTAGTCTGTTTTTCAGGCTGCCAGCCACTAGCTGTAGAGTGTCGCATTTATCCAATCGTACCTATGAGATCCTGGTACTTGAATACCATGTATCACTACTAGTCGAGTTTTAGCCGCCTATTCAATGGGAGTCCAGTCTGGATCACAGCAATGGCTCCTATTTGCCCTGACCAGAAGACTTTATACGCTGCAGTGACAATACCATTGTCGTTAATCATCAAGACTTTTGTCTTTTGTCTTGCAGGGTCTTCCAGATACAGTTTGTGGAAAAACTCAACGATACCGTGCCTCATCGGTTCGAAATCTTGACTTCCTCGCCCTCGAACAATCACCTGCCAAGTCCACTCTCCTTCCCACCATCCCCCGATTGGGAATGTCGAACAGCGATATCGCAGAGATAGTAAGCCATCGAGGTTTATGAAACCGAGGTCAACGATTTTGGCAAGCTCTTCGCAAGCATCTATACTGCAACAGTCAGACAAGTCCTGTCCGATGGCAGGCTTCAGTTCCCATTTCACATTGGGCATCTGTTCCTTGATCTTCAACAAAGTAAGGATATCTAAGCTAGCGCCAAGGTCATTCCTGGTAGCGCTTATGAGGACATGAACCTTTGACGGGCATTGAAAATCACACACAGCGTGCGAGGCAGAAGCAAATGTCTCCACGAAAGCAGGCAGGTGCTCGAGCGGAACCTTTGCTGCTGCCGCGCTCCAGTAGATTGACCGGAACTCATAATGGACTTGCCTAGAGGTAGTGATGAGGCAGCCCACGTCTTGATCCGGTACCTTGTCAGCCTTGTCGACCCCCAGGTTGTCGACAACGCAGGCATAAACCATATTACGGAGCTCCGGAGGAAGTTCCAGGAATCGGAATGATTTCTCCATCGGAGAAGAGACATCTTGAGAAGATTGAGTCATGGTATGACCAGATCGTGATTGCTGATCGTCAGAAATGTGAAAGAGGAGGTTGAGACTTTTCGGGATTTATGGTCAGGTGAAGGCCAGAAGTCAGGCCGGGATTTATACTGATGGGGCGGACACTAGCGCGAATACAGAAAACAAAGCCAAGTATATAATAAAGCATGTGAAATGGTACAAGGCAAGGCTGAACTTAACAATGAGCATACACAATGGGCCACGAAATCCAGAGTGCTTTAGTAGATCAGTTATCCGGATAGTCAAGGACAAAGTTTAGCTCACTTGCCCTAGGTCTAATTAATCTTAGATAAGGACTTACAAATTCACCTTTAATCTCCTTAACTGCCGCTCTAATAAAACCATCTTCTACTCACTTCCTCTTGAGCTTACGACTGCTACGAGCCGACAGTTCCACCTATAACGGCTCTTCGGTCCTCCAAAGGTATCTCTCGACGACCAATCCCCTTGCGTCTTTCACATCGATCATGACTATCGTTTCTCTAATATCCTTGGGATTGTTGAGGTGTACCACGTTTAGACTTCTAATGTTGGCAAGAAATGGCAGCACATCAGCAGGGGGTTTTTTTTCTCGGTCGTTGAGCCGCCTTTCTTCTTTCGCATTGCTATCTGCCATTCCCATCGCTATAGGTATGGCTTAGTTCTGTAGTCAAACATGCGGAGCACATCTGATTCAAAATTGCGTAGATTCTCTAAATAATTCGGAAGCGACATCGCCCGAAAGACGACGAGGCGGGTTGGACGTCAGCCACTGGAATATCTGGCAAAAGTCCCGCCCAAACTCTTTCACAAATTTCCGCCATGCAGGTGGATGACATGGGTCCCGTAGTATCAATTTCCATGACACTCTTCGGTGTTTGCGTATGGCACATAGCAGTGCAAGTCTATCGCGTGATGTTTGACTGAGAAGGTCGTCCTCGTTTACACCTACTCTGACCTTCCAGACTGCGCTAGATCCCGGATCAGAGTTCAGAAGTGTGGCAAGTAAATCTAGAAGATCCTCTTCGATTTCACCTGTCGCCAAAATAGCGGTCGGAACTCCCTTCTATTTGCTTGCACATTATGGTCAGGGCAAGGTCGGTATACTTGCATCCGTGTTTCCATCGGACAATTTTCCGGGTTTCTGCAGATGCGGATGCGTAGATCATGTTTCGAAGCTCCCCAGTAAGATTCAGAGACGAGGAGTTGTCAGAGTTTGAAGCATATGAGGAACTTTCGCTGTGAGGCTGATCACCATTGGCTGTAGCGTCCGCAGAATTTGAGGCTGACCCAACAATTGGAATGCCATTTTGCAGCATAACAGAACGCCAGAGATTCGATTAAGTTGGACTGATGCTATAGTTTTGTAAGCATGTCGAAAGATATATAAGACGCCTTATACGATGCAGGGTGTTTGTGACAGTGTTAGTAGCAAACCAATCGATTCGTACGTCGCATGTATGAGTACAGTGATCTTGACGCTTGAATAACGGTTCGTCGAATTCATCCATCTATCTTCTCTTTCTTCGAACCCAATATCACCCACTACAACGCCCAGTTCTTGCCGATTTTCTTCCGCAGGACTCTATCACTCCTTCGACCATTGAAGCTTGTCAAATACCAGCCTTCAACATGCTTGCCTTCCATATCGCAAACATCTGTATTGATAGAGAAGCGATAACCCAACCGATGCAAATCTCCTTGTAGCGCAAAACAGTGCTTCCCAAATTTTGCGACTTCGCCTCAGCCCTCCTGTCTTCTTCTTCACAGTTAAATTCATGCGGGACCTTTGCGCCCCTGGTGGCCTCTCTTCCTCCAGTGGAAGTGAACATCCGAGATATACCCTGACTTCAAATCCTGCAAAAGTCTCCGTCTACACTAGATGTCGAACCTTCTCCCGCACTTTGTAGCGCCTCCACTACGAGGGGTGTTTATGACATCTCGAAACTCTAGAGAATGCCAAATAAGTATCCGAACGAATATTAGGCGTTAGACATATATGAGGGCTCAAGCCTTGAGTTGTAGCCTTTGCTAGCATAAGAGGAAGCATGTTGTACGAGCGGGTTTGCCAGATGCTACAGTTCTCGACGTAAATCTGCACCTTGAGCGGACCGGCTGGCATCGACTCCGGCTGGAAGAAAGTCTTTAAGAAAGCTGGGTAATGGTTCAACGTCACCCAAAGGTTCTGGTACTGGATTGAATTCATGACGGGCCCTTAACAAACAGGTGTCTAGAGGCTATTGAACACCACAAAGCTGACCATGCTAGGATCTTAATCTTTTAGTCTCTATCATTTTAAGTTGAATGCATGACATGTGAATCACACAAACCGTCATCTCAAACATCCTTTTTACTCTCTACCATATCCTAGCGCTGCGGTAGATTATTCGACTTCTTACCAGGGATCACGTGCTCGAGACGGACAGTCGAACGTAGTTCGAGGCTCTCGAGTCCAAGATTGCGGTGGCAAAGCTCAGCGAGGAGCTGGAGGAACGGGTATACATCGGGCCCGTGTGTAATTTTGTTAAGTGGGTCAGTGTCATTTGACATGGCAGATGAGCAAGATGTAACACATTCAGTGGAGCCTGTGTGGAGAAGATAAACATGCTCATATCTTGGTTGACCCCAGCGTCGGCTAGCGAGGACGAACAAGACTAATGGTTTGCGTTTGCTTTTCGGCTGGATCGTCGTAACATACTATGAACGCATAGTGTTACTCGCAATCCTCAGATCTTGCCGCTCGAGCCGTTTGCATATTTTCAAGTAAGAGCACGAACTGGGTTGATAGCGGACTTCATCGCTCCTAGTCGTTTGCCAATAAGTGCATAAGAGACTTCGTTCTGCCCTCGAAGCCACCACCATTTCACCACCAACCACTTCTTCAGATCAATCACATCAACAACAGTCAACATGATGCTTTACTTGATCTATCTGTTTCTCGCCATGCTTGCCCTTGTCGTCGCCAAGGTCCATCATCCGCCACCCCCACCCTTACCCTGCGGCAAGTCCAAAACCTGTGAGCATTGTTGCGGGAAGCATGTTGCCTGCCTCCAGGTAAGATGACGCGCCATTAGTTACTCATGTCCAAGCCAGTATTGACATAAATCTAGTCTTGCAACTTCATGAACCCCAACGGAGGTTATTGCGCCGCGTTATGTGCCAGAAGAAGCTGTACTGAAGGCTGGGCAATCGTGAGCCCGTCTCATCACTTGATCAAGTATAAAGAACTAATACAAATGAAAGTGCAAGACGGATTGCGACCTTCCTTGGTGTGACGAGAAGAACTGGGGAATGCAAGCCGACACCGCAGATGCATCAGTTCCCGGAACAGGCTCGAACATCACGGAGGCCCTCAACAACACTGCGGAAGACTCTCATGAGGGATAGGGCAGCCGAATTTTGAAAGAGAAATATCAGGACAGTCCTGTTTCCTTTGTCGAACAGCCTCTTCCAAATTGATGGCACAGAAGAACTTAGTAGCGAAAGCTAGCTGAAACTTTCTATCGAGGTTATGTCCTTGCACCCGGAAGGTGCTCAGGAACAAGTCAACCGATAGCTGAGATATCTAATGACATTATCGAGAACACACCCACCTACTATGCCTGCGTTTCAGTATTTGCGACAGCGTCCTTTGCGGATATATGCAATAGGAGATTCGCTCGCAATGCCAGGAGCAGCAATATATGACGTCAGAAATTACCATGTCTAGCCTGCTAACCCCACATCAGTTCTATCTTTTCGCCTTTGACCTTCGAGTTGAACCACTCGTATATCTCAACTTTGTCTTGCACAGCCTTCGCGCCGTCCAGCACACCACTTCTCGCCAATCTCTCCGTCGCAAACTGCAGCTCTAGCGTTGCCAGGTTCCTAGCTATACATGCTCGACTGCCTGCTCCAAAAGCGAACCAGTACTTTGACATTTCTTCCGTGGGTTCAAGCCACCTCTCGGGGACAAACGCAGTTGGGTCCGGGAAGATCTTGGCGTTGAAGTGCAATTCGTAGCCCGAGCATCCTACGATCGACGTGGCAGGAAAACAGAACTCCTTGAACGTCCATCCCCCAGCGGGCACGACGTGGGGCAGACGGGTGGGGTTGGCCATACTGATCCGCAAGGCTTCCTTAACAACAGCATTCAAGTAGGGTAGAGCTTGCACTTCTTGCGCATCCGAACCGCGTGCGATATTCTCATCCACTTCTTTCTTTAGCCTCTCATACTTATCAGGGTACACAGCTAGACTCCTCATAATTGTTGCAAGATTCATTCCGGTCGAGTCTGTGCCCGCAAACACAAGATCTTTACACTGAGCTTTGACTTCCGAATCACTGATTCCGACAGCAAGGAGCCGACCTGGATAGGTCAGAGACTTCGGTGTTGTGTTTGCGACGAGGTTGCTGACAAACTTGTCGACCAGTGTCATGCTGTCATCAGTTTCTCGATCCGCCTGCCATTTCGTAATGGCCCATTCCAGCCAAACAAACAAGACGTTTGGCAAGTAAAAGAAGCGCCCAACGGCGACGAAAGCATCCACAAACGCCGATACAGAGAGAGTGGGACCTTGTTCGCTAACGCCATCGTAGTTCTCGCGGAACAGATGAGTCGAAACAGCATCGACAGCCAAGCTCCGCGTCAAGTTCAGCACATTGACCGGTCTCTTGCTTTTGCTTTCAGACTTCAATCTCTCGATCATCCGGTCGACGCATGCCCAAATTGCACTCTCATTTTCCCTCAACGCCTTGGTTGAGAAAAGCGGCATAACAGCCTTTGCCCGCGCAGCGCGATGGTCATGATCTGTGGTGGAAAATATGGTCTTGTGTCCGTCAATGTCGAAGTTTGCGTAGCAATCTGCCTTGGGAAATCCTCCTTTGCTGACATAGATGGGCTGTATGGCATCGGCATCACTAATGTCTACCTCGTTTGGCGAGACCCGGACAAGAGGTCCGTAATAGGCGTGCAGCTCGTGAATGACGCTCGCTTCATCTCCGATGTAGGCATGATAATGAAGCCATAAAGAGGTTATCTTTGGTAGAAGGGGACCTTGGATATGCGACAAGGGATGGGCAAAGATGCGATATAAGGATCGGACGAGTAACAGAGCTAAGGGAGTAAGGAGGATTGTGAGCATTGGGTAGGCTCGCGAAGCACCCAATACAAAGTCAACGAAGGACATCGTGCTGATTGAGTCGTGCTGCTTTCTGATGCGTCTTTGATGTCAGCGCTTTATAGGACTTGTGGTTGGTTGAGTCACCACTGGCAGCATGAGTGGGGTGAATCGGCGCTAGCGGGCATTCGCTGATAAGAGATCGTTCATCGCCAACACGAACTCAACTCCATCACGGTACCAACCCATGTTTCATTGAGAAGTTGCTAAGATGATAGCAAATATGACTCAACGTTGCTCAGGACGCCTTTATAAGATTTTTAATCGTGCCCCTAATAAGTCGTCCACCAACAACTCAGTACTCTGCTACACATTGAGGGACAATACAGAATCACGTCGGTCTAGTTGAGTCTAGATCCCACGGGTTGCTAGTCATGCAAAAATGGAATATTCTGTCTTGCACACGAATTATCAACAGCGAAGGTAGATGCCGCGGCAGTTATCGTCACTCCTACCCGTAACGGGATCGCAACCTTACGACTGATGCGGCAAAAGCGTGATATGCACTTTCTCTTTCTTCTTGAATTCTCTTATTTCAATCGCAACTCAGCACCATAGAAGCTAGAGAACCACACTTCTATCTTAAGCTGCTCAGAGAACTAGATGATCTCGAAATCTTGAATCTCGAGTCGGAAAGCTTTGTACGCGGCGGGCAAGAAGGTTACAAGACCTACGCGCCTGAATTTCTTTTTTTCGACCAGCTCAAGAAAAAGTGCACAACATACAAACTTAGGGTACTGCTCTGTATGGTAGACTACGTCATCCTAGTGGGTGTTAGTCTCAGCGCTCAATACTCGCGTGGTGAATAATTACGATGAATTCCCTTTTCACGAAGTGTTCATTGTGCCAGTAATATCCTTCAGGGATGTTCTTTTGCTTTGCAAGAAAACATGCGTGGGTGTATGTTGTTGTATTGTTATCGAACCGGGCAACCCCCACCACTGCCTTTTCGTAGCCACGCGTACCGTCTATTTCTTGCGTTAGGATATGGACGCCGGGTTTTTTATATTCTTTCTATCCCACGAGTCATAGGAGTCGGAAAACCCATTCAGCTTGAGGTCTTGTACAGTGAAATTTTCTCGCACATAGCTTGGGGCCATTTTGATGGTGCTCAAATGTCCACAAACTTGGAGATGCCCGGCAGGGGTGATGGCCAGTCGTTCTGGCAGTTCCTCTGCCTAATAGATGATGTTTCACCCGAAGCTGGTTTCTTCTGACGGCCATCTCTTAGCACTCTCCATGGCGGCCCAGCTCCATGAAGGCATGGTAGTCAAGCTATCGTCGTCGAAAGATGAGCCTCCATTGAACCAAAGCAGTTGGAACATGAGGTGTTCTTCCCACATGTCGTACTTCGCAATGTGTCGATCTTTTTGATGACCTTGGTATAGTTGACCAATTCCTCTGAGAGCCTCAAAGCGATTTGAGGCAAATGTCAGAGACCTTGTCGTGTACTCTCCAAGCAAATAGGCCCAGTCTTTCAACCGATCGAAACCATGAAACGCTTATCCTGTTGTTGCAAATTCAAGAGATGCAATGTGGCATAAATGTGACCAAACGTTGCGCGAGATAACGCCCTCGAAGCGTCCAGGTTCTTCGGTCAAGGGACTAGCTGCTGGATGGTGATCAATCTTCTTTGTCCTATTTGGCAATTGCGTCATATTAAATGCTCCTCTATATTCCCCAGTCACCTTATACGGTAATTGCAAGACAGTAGAAATGGTACGCTCGTTGACAAAGAGGCCTTCTCTTGAGTCTTTCGCCCCCGAGGCGGCCACAACCAAAGCAGCGTTGTAGTACGCATCTCCCATCTTTACTGCTTCGGAGTGCCAATCCTGGCTATTGCCTTGTATGATGTATAATGCGTCGATCTAAACGTGTCTGATGCCAACGCCTTGGGCAAATCGCAAGGTGTCCTTGAACGCCTTAGGCAGATCTCCGAATGGGATGCCGCCTCGATGGATCTGGCGATTTCCCGATATCATTCGTAGCGGCCGTTTCTCAATAGAACCCCAGCAATGGCTCAAGGCCAGATATCGTCCTTTTTTACCCTTGGTCTCAATCAATTGAATTGAAGGTCGCGAATCGTCTCCTCTAAGCGCGAGAACACGATTTGGCATCGGAGTATCGTCTTACGGTGTGTAATTCTTGTGAGCATTGCACTCGGTCCGCCAGCGCTGAACCAGATCGCATACTTTGTTCATGTGCGGACTAAGAATCGGCGGCCGGTCAATCAGGGTTGCACTTGCCGGACTGCCTGAATATCATCGTCAGGAGAGGGGCACCTATGGGGTTTGATTTACACTCGCCTTCCTCGGTCTATACAACATAGCTCAAACCTTCGTCGTCGAAGAAGTGCTGACCCCAAGTAATAAATACACGTATTTGACAAGGGTCTGCCGGATTAGAGCTGAGTACCATTGTGCTTCTGTATTGTCGAGACACGCCCGGTCCGGATCTCTTCCAATCCGCTATACACACGTGCTGTAAGCGCGGCCAATATCGTTTAAGATTGATGCGCCGCACTCTGTGCTAAGACTCAGACGGAGTAGCAGCACCAATTCGCAAACTTGAGATATATCGCCCTTTTACTAAGGTTTCTGGATCACTTAATAAGGTGCTTCGATGATGGACAGTGTCTTTTGTAAATTTCCCTATGACAGATTCTACGAAGAAAAAAACTGTCCAGGTCTCGCTGTCAACGAGACTGATAGTCCCAAGATGATCTGCGGAGAAAGATCAAAGAAAGCAAGGGCTTTCGGGACTTCCATGTCTCATGACATCAGAGGCAAATATTGCCATCGCACACCTACAACTAAGCCATGGTCCTGCATACCCTCAGAGGCCTATAATTAGAGCATTTGAAGTTATTGATACCCACAGCTGAACCAAGGACCTATATACCTTCAGGGACCTATTATTCGAGCACTCAGGTCTCGCGCCCCTCCTCACTATTCTTCTGCCGTTGAATCGACCACCTCCGCACATACGCTGCGCCAATCGTATTCGACCTCATCACGCCCCGCGGCCTCTCAACCTGTTTCTCACTCAGCGTCCTAACCGGCTGCACCCTCGGTTCAAACCCCTTCTTCTTCCCCAAACTAATGGTCTGCTTAATTCCACCCGCCAATTCCTTCTTCAAGCTCGCAAAGCGCCGGAGCGGGCGCCACGGCTTCGGCCGCTGCTGCTCCTTGTCCCACTCTCTCTCGCGCTCAATAAGGTCCGCAAGATCTTCGGCAGAAGGGCCGTAGATGGGCTCGTTCCCAGTCAGTTTCGTTCCAGTTTGTGACTTGCAGTGAAGGCTTGCGCATTGGTGGAAGGCGGGTGTTGAGTTCCTCCACGAGCCAGGCTGGGCTTCCGGTGGGCTTGTAGACTTCCGGATCGACGATGGACAGTTGACTGTGGTTTAGATAGCGATCTGAACTGCGCCAGGTGCAGTTGCTGCCGGTGGGGCTGGTGTCTGATCCTACGGATTGCATGGCTCGCAGACTGTGGGATGGTTCGATAACGATTGTGGTGGCTCTTGGGGCAGAAGATCTGGATGAGCTCTTGGTTGATTCGCTGCATGTTCGCACGGGGGCGACAAGGTCCAGCAGTTGTGTTTCATCGTGGGTGGTCTCAGGGTTTGATGATGGGACTCCAGTTGCTGAGAAAGATGTCGACGTGGACCGAGGGCTTGATGATAGAGACAGTGGACATCTCTTCGGCTTGTAAGTACGAGGCTTCGATCCGAAAGAGAAAGGCAAGCTCTTGGTCGCATACGCTGGATGAGGTCTGATTGAAGAGGAATCCGGTGTTACACTTCGCTGCAAGGGCCTCCTAGACCCTAGAGATGGCAAGCGAGGCCGAGGCAGAGATATTGGCATGGTGACTGCGACCTTCGTTATCTGTGCGACGTTGAAAATTCGCTTTCATGGTAGGTTTCGGTGTCTGAGTTCATTCGTATCGCTTGTCTGCCCCCAGCGAAAAGTCGGTAGTCATAAACTGGCCCAAGTGCTCCTTGATGTTCAAAAGCAAACCATGCTGCCCATTGTCCGCAATCGGAAGCCCTTGTTAGAGCCTGATAAGGTGCTCGGATGCTTTCGTGATGCAGAGCCACGACTTACCCAACTGGGCATATTATCATGATTATGTAGCGTGTCCAGCTTCCATGACCTTGATAGGCTGATCCAGCATTTTCGTTCAATAGAAAACCATTGTTCTTATGGTTGAAAGCGGGGTGTACCAACCAAAGCGTGTCGGACGGGCAACGAAGGAGGTGGACTGAGGGGATCCGGAATATCCGTACAGATAGGCATTGTTAAACAGTGAACTGTTTACACGCAGAGAAGTTGTCACCTCCCGCCATGTCATTCGGTTAGGGCATCTCAGCCTCGCCCTTATTCAGTTACCTAAAGAGATTCGACCGTTCGAGATTCAAGTTTGGTGTCTTATTTGACGTTGGTCATACTTTGGGACAGATAGATCAGGTGAAAATTGCCGAACCACTTCGGTACATAGTGCTAGTATCAATCTCTGCCCGCAAAGTCTTGGCCGATAGAAAAACTACTCACAGTTAGTGAGACACGATTGCGCATGGAAGGCGGAAGGACTGACAAACCTTACTAACGAGGACTGTCAGCGCGGAAAGATCACCCCTTCTGCCCTTGAAGAGCTTGGCTTACACATGCAAATGCTATGAAACGACGAGTGAGGTGTTTGTAAAACGTATATTTGAACTTTTCATAAGAGGGATGCTACGAAAATACATGGCTCGCACGTAATGCACTGATTCTATCTACATCGCACAAGCAAAGGCTCCATGCATGTGAGGGCAATGCTGACCGGAAGGAAGATTTACACCGAAGGTGACACACAAAATCCGTCCAAACAATCTAATCTGCGTTGTCTCGCGGGAGACAACCGATTGAAATCCTCATGCTGTCCTATGCTAGCTTCTTCTATTGGTGATGTTGTGGCCGTGATTTGCTTGCACCAGGCAAACGCCCGTACTGTACGGAAACATGTCTAATGCTTTTTCTGAGTATTCTGAAGGGGAATCGTAATGTGTCCGCCGGAGTTTTCGTGATGTTAATAGAAATGTCACCCAAAATCAGCCCTTAGAACTCCGATGAAAATGCAAAGCTCAGCAAAACCACGTGATTGCTGAGCAAATCATCCTTGATGATTGTGATGGTTGATTTAGTTATTCGAGATGATGATATGTATAACGTCGTTTCGTAATGGTACACCAATGATACAGTGTTGGGGTTGCGGGAGCCGAGGCTCATTGATCGGGATATTTGTTTCGAGCGCTGTTCGTGGATCTTGATGCGAGGGGCGCAGGGTTTGGATATCGGGGTGGAACGTATTGTGGATCTGGTGTTGCAGAAGCAGGCTCGTCTTGTATAGGCGTGAAGAGACGCCGCATGTTGAGGGTAAGGTCGGCCAGCGCATAGTCGTCAGCGACAGTATTGATTGACCCCACGTCAATGCCTTTCTGAGCGGAATCAGAAGCAACGTAATTTCGGATTTGTTTAAGCAAATGGAAGACCTGTCTGCAACGAAGGTCTGCAGGCGCAGCCCATTCCTGAGGTCGAGAATTGCGAAGGAAAATCTGAGCAAGGAAATAGTAATGAACACCGTCCCTGCAAAAACCGGTTCGTGGCTGGTTGTTTGGAAACTGAATAGCCAGATCGGTGTCCCAGATCTTCTTCCATGAATCGAGGGCATTGAACGTAGATCGGAGTAGCTGCTGTGCTTGCTCGTTGATGGCTTTTGGTGGGGTTGCAGATCCGTCAGGCGGTGTGCTTGTGCCGCTTACGGAACCTCGACTGAGGAGCTGTCGCTGGGTGTTGTAGATCTGGTTGTGGAGAGCATGGATGAGTACTAGAAGGAGATTAGTATGACGTTGCAAGCATAGTGCTGGGATCACGTACTGAATTTCCCGAACACGTTGGTCGCCCGCTCAGGGAATCGGCCATGTCCGGCTCCATACAGGACTTGCAATGCTTCCTCAATACCCAACTGCTTTGCTCGCCGGCTGCCTGACACGTTGTTTATCTGCGCTGCCTGCCCTCTCAGGCCTAGTGCACTGGCACAGTCCTCAGCAGTTCTTGCTTCCCAGGCCGCATCGTCTGCCGGTAATGGAATCTTGAAGTCGTGCACGTCGAATTGTGGCTGGGTGTTAAAAAATATAGTCGAGCAGGCGTCAAGCAGGAGAATGTCGCACATCAGTCGTGTGCGCTTCTCATTTTCGATCCATGTTGCCCAATTCCACGTGTTGACTTCATCTCCAGTTACTGGTCCTGGCTGGTGCAGTGCGCTCGAGTTCGGGTGTCCACGTGGTAGAGGACGTAGCAAGCCAGCACGACGGGCGATGCTGGCAATCGTGCCGAATTCTTCGCGAACTTGCTGCCGTTGTTTCTGAGATCCGTGCCAAAGGAATATAGCGTGGAGTAACATAAGAGATTGCAATTCTTCAATGTGTGCAGGAGTCAATTGGAAAAGGTCACCGGTATGCTGCTCAGCCTGGGATAGTTTGCAAATTTGACTGGATCTCACAACAGCTGCGCGGACAATGTCCATCAGCCAGCGGACATCCTTTGCATCAACCCTGTCCGAGTAAACAGCACCGATGCAGCACATGGCCAAAACCAAACCAAGAGTGGCGGTAAGCGGGTCGAAAGTTGGCGCGTGGACCAGGGGCCAATGGGCGTGGTAGTGTCGATATTCATGTAAAAATGCCCTCACATTATCACCCGCCAAGCATCCTCTAAGCATGTTGTAGGCATCCGCCTCTTTCGAGCCAGGAGTCAAAGATGCCGCGTTCGGAAAGCAAAAGGCCACAAGCGACTCCGTCTTTTGCTGCAGGGGGTTGGTCATAGGCCGATCAAGGAACCAGTTGTCAACGGCGGAAGATGGGTCGACAAAACCGGGAGTGGGCGAGAATAGCCCCAACAATGTATCATTTGGTGTATCATCTGATGTCTAGAAGGGGCCGGTCAGAACCGAAGGAGATTGTTTTTGGTATGGGCCACCTGCCGTACTGGAAGTCATAAGATGCGAGGCTTCATTGAACGTACCATTCCGCCACAGCGAGCTGTCTTGTCCATTAGACAAGCCCTCTACGTTGGGCAACGACTGAACCCCATAGTTGCTCGCGTCCGCGCCCTCTGTCTTGACCGGCATTCCGTTGTTCGACATGGCGTTGTTAGCAGCTGCAGCCGCAGGATGCTCGTAGTTGTAGTGGTTGTTACCGCCGTTCACGGCAGACGCGTTCTGGTTCTGTTGTGCCGCGTAGTCATTGGACAAGCCATCCGGCCGAAAGTCGTTGAAATTCAGACCGCGGTTCTGGAACTCGAGCTGAGACATGCTGCGCCTGTTCTCGTTGTCCATGCCGCTGGCGGGCCGTATCAGGCTGTTTGACCGCGAAGTGCGCGCTGACATGGATTGGTGGTTTGCGATGGAAGGCAAGCTGTCGTTGAAACCATTAGGTCCTACAGGCGGCATCTGCGGCATACCCATTGAATAACCGCCATCTGAGTATGGCATGGAGGTGTTGGGCATGTTATGCAGATACGAGTTTTGCTCTGGACCGGTGGGCTGCCTGTTCTTGAGGTGGTTCTGCGCGTGCTGCAGGTGATTCGCACCAGTAGGGTTACCCCTCCGGATCGAGCACTTTTGGAAATGGCGCTTCAGGATGTCACTCCTGCTGAAAGTGTCTTTGCAAAGATGGCAAGAATAAGGACGCTCGCCGGTATCTGGAAGCGTTAGCGCGAGACCATGGTACATGAGACATTTGACTTACGGCGGAGTAGATGGCGCTTCAGGTGCTTCAAGTGCAAATACGTTTTGTTACAATGCGGGCACTCATATTTACCCTCGGCGTTCTTGGTTGCATTTGTGGGTGTCTTGCCCGCCGCAGGAGCGGGCCGGCCAGGATGCGTAGGCAGAACACCGCGTCGTCCCTGCTGTCCAACAACATGCAGCGGCTCGGGCTCCTGGTTTGCAAGCACTGGAGGGTGAGGATATAAGGACGGGTGCGTCAGACCCATTCCTTGCGTCGGCGCGAGTTGGTGTGAGTTGGAGTGGGCGCCTGCCGTAGACAGAGGCGGGGCCTGCGAGTACGCGGACGACATGGGCATGTACGAGGACGGCGAGGGCTGGAGAGGCCGCAGCGGCGGGTGAGCCATGCTGGCACTGCCATTGGGCGCAGAGGTTACAGGCGTGTGAGGCGTCTGAGGGTTGCTATTGTGGCCGCCGTACGACATGGGTGCATACGGCGCAGCATTGTGGAGCGGCGGTAGTACTGGCAGCTGGTTCTGCGCGCCGTTATAGGACTGCTGGTTCAGCGACTGGTACTGTGGCATGCCACCAGGCTGGCGGAAGCGGTCTCCATGATCCATTCTCAAGCAGATGTGGCGGGGATGGTGGGTTGGGAAATGTCGATGAATGCGCGACCAATGGGTGTTGTTGGTGGTGTCCTCATCCGTTGTAGCTCAGGTCCGGCTGGTGGTCGTGACAGCTGCTGGTGTGCCGAGGGGAGACACAAGCAACGACAGTAACACGTCTGGAGCGCGTGTCGACGAGAAGCTTTGTGGAGCCGTGGGGGTAGGCTGGTGATGGGCAGTCGATGCGCGGCTGGTTACCCAAGTGGAGTTGAGGTTCCCACAAGTTCGCGGAGAGGGCAAGAGGGATGGTGTGGTGTAGTGTGGCAAGCGATGGGTCCTGCTGAGAAATGTGTAGTGGTGAGGAATCTTGTCTTGCGCTACTGGAGGAGTTTGTCTGGCGCTTCGCGTGCCGCGCGAGTGACAAGGGCGTTATGGATCGGCGGCCCACTCACCCTTGAGGCTCAACCGATAAGTGCGGATAGTCCAAGTGGAGTCGTCGAAACGCAAGGCTTCCAGGAACAGTTGCAGGATACTTGACCACGGAAGAGAGCCGAAAGGTGCAGTTGGGAAGACGGGTGCAGTGAGCGCAAACGAGTACCTGGAAGAGCTTGCTAGGCAGAGCTCGGCGGAAAATTTGAGCGAGATGCTCGCGAGCGGATTCCGCGCTGTAACCTGATTTCCGCACTGCTTATCGCCGGAGCTTGCCGGAGGCTGGGAAGGATAAGTTGAGAATTAATCCTGTGTCGGATGTGAAAGGTGAGTGGGAAATGGGAGGGGAGGCGGAAACGGCTAGAGATTTTCAGTCGCGAGATCTGTCGTGCCAATGGCGTCGGGGCCTGCTACAACTGACAGGATTGGCAAGTTTAGGAAAGAGCGACCCCGGGACGTGGGAGATGGTCCGGGCACGTGATAAGTACTGAGTTTTCAAAGGTCCTCCGGCATGCTAGTAGTATCGAAGCCGTTGGTGCCATGAGAAGATGCTCGGTCGCAGTGACGACAGAGGGTCGCTAGCACAATGATGCACAATAGGCGCCCGACCGCCTGCACACATATCTTGGGTGTTCAAACACATGATATTATTATCAAGTACGCGCCTGTTGCGCGGACCTGAGTCGTGCATTGTTCAGCTTGTATCCTCCCATCAGACTGACGCCTCTACAGCGTTTCGTGCGTCCCTCCGTACGAGCTGTCGAACAGATATCCTTACACAATACTCCTACCATCATCTCTCTCTTCATTACCCATGCCAATGCTGCACAACGCCCACGATGCCCGGCCACGCCTTGCCCCAAACAGCATGCCATCGCATCGGATCGGAGTCCCAGCGAGTGACAGCAACTCACCCGAGCCCAGTCCCGAGCGAGGCCGAGCTTCGAGTTGTGCTGGCGGCTGTGGCTTGTAAACCTTACCAGGGTGGTGTGCTAACTCCGGTTCCCATCAAAGACGTGAAAGCTTCCGGTGAACGCCCGCGTTTTGCTTCTTCTTCATAAAACTTCGGCTATCCTTCTGCGGCTGGTACTCCAGATTGCGCATTGTTGGTGCTATGGGATGCTTTGAGACATTCGAGCGTTCGTGCTGTCTCAGCCGCCGAGAGCGTGCGGATGTTGAGCGAAAAGTTCTCAATGTGCGTGACGTATCGCCGCCTAATGCGGCCTGTTAGGCAAGGACCCCTGCATGGGCCGGCAAAGATCTCGGCTTGTGCAACCCTCGATTGAATTTTGAAGCCACTGGTCCTTGAAACTGCTCTTCCAGAATGATGCACAGAAGCAGCGCCAGCACCTTGATCCCCGAGCGAAACAGCTGCTGCTGCAAGTTGACATGGAGCGCTAACACGTCTCGCAGGCTGTTCGAATGTTGAGCTAGTTACGCAATCTACGCTATGCCGCCCAGGGTTTGCTGAATGTTGAATTCAGCGCCGGCCAGTGAGCTTGCGTGCTGGCAAGCTGATCGTGAGCATGCTAAAAGTGGCATGCCGAGCGCCGCGGCTGACTCGTCACTCGACAGCAGGATGTGACACATCCGGTGTTCTTACCCTGGGCCGAGCACGACTGAGGTCACATCATCCAGAAGCTTTTTGCTCAAGTTCGTTGTTCACGTTGCATTTGTCGCGGCTTGGCAGTCTCTAGTAAATCAATCGCTGCGCCTAGATACGGCCGATGCTGCCGCATGCGACGACGAGGCGTCGCCGGCGATATTGCCGCTTTGGTGCGATAGGGAATTCTTCGCCCTGCCGTTGTCTGCGTGTTGGTCCTGGTTGGCAAGTTGTGAATAATGACGATGGAAAAGAGCAGATCCGGCCCCCACGTGTTTCCTCGTCCTAATCACGCATGGCTGCGCAGATGCAGGCACCTCATCTTCCCGTTTGTCCGCCCGAGACGCCAGGAGATGAAGGTGTTTCCAAGTGGCTGACAAGACTGTTGGATGCCACTGGCGCTGCCCACTTGCCCTGCATGTGTTCTGCATGTGAATCTGCGGAGATGTGACGAGCAGTGCTGAGAGATCTTGAGAGATGTCAGAATAAGCTCAGTCCCACACGACGCGGGAGCACTGGGGCTGACTGATAGATTTCGGCAACGCAGTGTGTGGCCCCTCTTTTACTACAGCCTGATCCTGCAACGTCCCAGGCAGGGAACAACGGCGAGGAGACGGGAAATGTCGTGCAGCTTTCGCGCCCGCTACACCTGCCTGCCTGCCTGGGCATCCAAACACGTACATATTCCGTTTGAAACTCGGGGTCACGTATTGCCAGCGTGGTTGCGCCACGCTGGCCTCGAGGCTGAAAGTCGGTGAGGCGCTGACAGTGATTATCCTCCCGGCGCAGAGGTACGAGCTGGGATGGCTGGTGAAACTTTGCCTGACCTGGTTGTCTGCACATGCTGGCCGAAGTTAGGCGGGTGAGTAGCTCCGCCTGTCGGGTTTCGAGTTGGAGTGACTCGTGACGAGGCCGGAGATGACGCCGCAAATGGAGTTTTGTGCATGCTGTTGCTTGCAACGTCAGAGCCTGCTCGACGTTGGTTTTGAGATGCGACAGGGTCTTGCGAATCCACTTCTCACGTGAGTCGTGACAGGAACGCGATGTGCGCACACACTCAGTCCATGCCTTTGTGTAGCGAGCCATTTGGATGTCTCACCGGACGGCACGCTTACATGCATCCAATGACTGCACGGCACGTGCCGATCTTCATCTGTGGACGCAGTAACGGGCTCTCTTCTCTCGTACTTCGGCCTCGGCGCGTCGAGCTCCCTTCGTCCTTGTAGTATGAATAATCGGCGCGACGAAATGACCTGTATCTGAGTAAGAGTAGATAAGGTTTCGTGTTCCGTGGGATGTATCGCAAGAGCGTTCAATTTTATTTTTTCGAAGTTCCGCGCGTCGGAGAGTCGGGGTGCGCATGTCCGACGGTCGTGAAGTACAGGCGGACATGCGCTCCGCTTTCAAGACGGCTGTAGTTTGTTCCAGCGAATGCTGAAGACGTCAATCGATGAAGAAGCGTGGCCCTGCGTACTCACAAATATCGTGGTGGTGCGCTGGGCGCAGACCGTCGAGCTTTCTAGAAGCCTCACAAAAGTAGGCTAGAACATCATCATAATTTCTAAAGGCAGACACCCTCTGAGTTGCAAGCCACGTAAACATCCATGAAGTCAATGACCAGATTTGCAACTATCCAAAGGAAATTCCTTCTTCGTACTCGATTTACCACAACTTCCTTCAACCTCAAAAAATCACCATCCACTTTCCGCAGAATGTCTTCTTCAGCAGATCAACCAAACCAGCCAAAACCCAAGAATGAATCACAGCAAAACCCCTCCAACACCTCACAAGAGCAAACAAGACCTCTCCCACTCCCCAGCCCCTCGGACGAATCCGACACAACCAGACTCGACATGTCCGGCGGCAGCAGTACCGTCAAACTAGACCACATGGGCCCGTTGGTGGTCAACAAGGACGGCACGCTATCGCGCATCAGCAACTGGGGGGAGATGAGCGAGATTGAACGGCAGAACACGCTGAGGGTGTTGGGGAAGAGGAATATGTTGAGGAGGGAGGCGTTGGAGAAGGAGGGGAGGGAGGAGAAGCAGGGGGAATAGGAGGGAAGTAGAGGGAGGACCAGGTACTGTGAAACAAACAGCATGCGGTTCAAAGATTCTAGACTGGGATCATCGGAGGACGAGTTGAAAGGTTGAGGGCATAGTCAACGAGCAAAAATGGAAGCAAAGGCACAGAGGTTGCAATGGTAGTACACGGGTTGATTTTCTGCTATATACACGGCCAACAAAAGCATCAATCAGCCCATAGCTTCTAAGTAGTACCTGTGTGTGTGTTGCGCTCAAAGTATGACCACTGGCCTTCTGGTGCAGATTCCTCGAGTGGCTCCCAGCTGTGCTAGGTCAGTATAGACTCATGTTCTTGAAAGCATCAAGAATACTCACACCTTGCTCTTGATCATATCATCGACCAACTTGTGCTCGCCCTCAGCGACCTGGATGACCTCTTCGATCAGACCAGCTCCCAGCTTGCTCTCCAGATCAGATATCCTGTGCACCATGTCAGCTTGGCCCTTCAGTCTTTGCAATTTCCGAAACATACGCATCAGTGGTGTACTGCGGCTCCGGGTCAAACTTGACTTGCGAGAAGACTCGCTCGGGGCTGTAGTTGACGTCGCCCTTCATTTTCTTGGCGTGGGGCAGACGCTCCTTTGCAGAGCGGATGCCCTCTGGAAATGACTGCACGACCTCTCCGTCCCACTCTGCCATGGTTGAGCGCTCATCGACTTCCTGGACCCTTGGGAGGACCAGAGTCGCGCCGCCGCTTGTGTGCTTGATGAGCTTCACAAGACCTGGGTCTTTTTCCATCTGCGCCTTGATCTTGTCCTCCCACTCCTCCCATCCTGCGGGCTTGGACTGTTCGACAATGGCGAGGCGGTGCTTGGTGAGGGCTTCGGTGGACTGGCGGTAGACGGACGACTCGGGGATCTGCTTGAGCTTGTCGAGGGTCGAGGTGTAGTGGTGCAGCAGGGTCGAGCGCGGTGACGGGTGTGTGAGGAGGCCTGTCAGACCCGTGGGGGCGCCGGCCTCGAGGAACTGGCCGGGCTTGACGCTGGCGAAGAGCCGTGCAGCTGCTCTCATGGTGGGTGGTCGTGTGCGCGTGGTGTGGCGGACTCAATGGGCAAATGGATTATCGATGCCGTCAACGGTTGGCGATGCGGTTGCGCCTGCCAAGCGCTGCGGAGATGATCCCTGTCACTCGGGCATCGCGGTCCCTTTGGCAAGCACGCCTCTTTTGGAACTCTGTCCCCTGGCAGCGACAACCCCTCTGACGCCGTCCACGCCGCCTGTGACACGCCGCCATCGCTCGAGGGCCGACTACCGACTAACAACCCTTACCCATCTTACCGGGGCTTTATAATACAGCAGTAGTATTGTCACTCGCGCACCGCTGCCACCACTTGGCAGCCCGCCGCCGCCGCCGCCGCCGCCGCGATGCGCTCCATATTCTACACCCTCCTGTCGCTGGCAACGCTTACTACTGCCCTTGCAATTGAGACGACCGCTCCAAAGGCAAAGGCCAAGGCCGCCGACGACGACTGGGAGGAGAAGCAGCCCGACACCATATTCAACGGCCAGACTGTGCCGCCCATGATAGAGCTGACACAACATAACCTCGACACGGAGATCGCCAAGGGAAACTGGTGGGTTGATTGGAGTCGTCTGCACCCTCGCATCTGACAAATACACAGGCTCGTCGAATTCTTCTCACCAAGCTGCCCCCACTGCATGCACTTCAAGCCGACCTACCAGACCGCGTACGAGTTCTACTACACCTCGAAGCCCATCACCTCCAAAGACGAAAGCGAGGGCGACTCGCTCAATTCCTTTACGCGATACTACGACTTCAAGTTTGCGAAAGTCGACTGTCAGGCATTTGGCGATGCTTGCGTCGCCCACAATGTAGCGAGCTATCCGTCGCTGTTCTTCTTCACAGATGGCAAGCTGGTGCAGCAGGAGGTTGGCGCCAAGGATATGGGCCATTTGAGCAAGTGGATAGAAGGGCTCCTCGAATCCATCCGTCCAGGGACCCGCAAGGAGGGCGGCCCCAAGCTACCCAAGCCTGGCGCGAAGTCGGTCGAGGCTGGCCCAGATACTGAGGACGTGGTCAAAGAGAAGGCAAAGGTGGATACCGAAGACAACAAGGCCGCCGTGTCCGCTGCGAAGAGCACTCCGACCAAAGCTGCCAAGCCTGCGAAGGCGACGCCAACCACCAAGGCAAACCTGGACGGCGAGGTGCAAATCCTTACCGCCGAGAACTTCCCCAAGCTCGTCACCGACTCCATGGAGCCATGGTTTGTCAAATTCTACGCACCATGGTGCCATCACTGTCAGGCCCTTGCTCCCAACTGGAAGAACCTGGCGCGTCAGATGCGTGGAAACTTGAACATAGGCGAAGTCAACTGTGACGAGCAGAAGAGGCTATGTAAAGAGGCAGGTGTCCGCGGATATCCAACCATGCTGCTCTTCCAGGGTAATGCGCGCGTAGAGTACGATGGTCTGCGGGGGATCGGCGACTTGATGAGCTATGCTGAGAAGGTTGCTGCTGTTCGTGCTGGCGTGCAAGAGGTAGATGCTGAGGACTTCAAGAAGATGGAGGAGACTGAGGAGGTCATTTTCACATTTTTCTACGATCACGCGACCACCAGCGAGGACTTCCAGGCTCTGGAGAGACTTCCCCTAAGCATTGTTGGAAAGGGGAAGCTGGTGAAGACGAATGACGCAGAGCTTGCCAAGCGCTTCAAGATATCGACGTTCCCACGTTTAATAGTTTCGCGCGACGGGAAGCCCTCGTACTACCCACCAATCACACCCAAGGAGATGCGTGACACCAAGAAGATTACCACCTGGATGAAGACGGTCTGGCTCCCGCTTGTTCCCGAACTCACCTCCTCGAATGCCAAGGAGATCATGGATGGCAAGATGGTGGTGCTTGCGGTATTGACAAGGGAACGCGCCGACGAATTCACTCGATCCAAGCGTGAGCTGAAGAACGCCGCGCTCGAGTGGCTAGACAAGCGCGAAGCTGCGTTCCAGGCCGAGCGTCAAGAACTTCGTGATGCCAAAAAAATGCGCATCGAAGAGGCGACCGACAAGAATGACGAGCGAGCTCTCAGAGACGCGAAGCAGATCCGAATCGACACAGAACAGCTCCTGAAGACTCAAGTTGGCTTCGCATGGGTCGATGGTGTCATGTGGGGACGCTGGATCAAGAGCACATATGGCATTGATGTCAAGGATGGCGAACGAATCATCATCAACGAAGAAGATGTAAGTAAACGCCAACTTCAGTTTCTTCTATCGCAGGACTAACATCTATAACAGCGCCACCGCTACTGGGACCTGACCAGCTCAGGCGAACAAATCAAGCCATCACGCGCCTCAATTCTCGAAACTCTGGGCAAGGTAGCCGTCCCTTCGCCAAAACTTGCGCCCAAATACACTAGGAGTGCATTTACCCGGTTCTTCGTCTCGACGAGTGCATTCGTGACTACCCACCCATTCCTTAGCCTGGGCATGGTAGTTGGTTTCTTCACCGCAATCGTGCTCATGGGCAAGAGCAGGAGCCGGCGGTCATTCAACAGGGGATTCATCAACCTCGGCGAGAAGGAGGGCCTCTTGGGCGGTAATGGAAACGGCGCAAAGCACGACTGAAGTGGCACATATGGCGTTTTTGGCATTGGCATGATTGTACTATACCTTGTTAGGGATCAGTGATACCGCGGCGGCGCATGATAAGAGCTGGAAATGTAGTGTAAGAAAGGACGTGTTAGGATATGAAATGATAGTTACTATTGCATGTCCATGGCGCCGGTCAAAACACGTGCTTTCGCGTGGCGCCCCCCACGCGTGCCCCACTACACTTGCCTGCCCCTCCAAACAAAGCTCAGCTGCGACATACTCGCGCATGCTCCCTCGACTACACATTTCCTCACTCGCAGGTCCCAGACGTCGTCTCCTGCTCTCCAGCACATCTCCGCACCACCACTCCAAAATGTCCAACCTCACCCTCGCAAACCTCGAATACATCTCGCGCGAAGACCTCGCTGCGCGCATCAAATCCACACAGACACCAAACCCCTCCAACCCCTCCAATCCCTCCACCGCCCTGCCCCCAAACATCGCAGTCGTCGATGTCCGCGACTCCGACCACATAGGCGGGCACATCCGCGGCTCCACATGGCTCCCCAGCGCCGAACTCGACTACAAAACCCCAGAACTGATTCGCACGATGAAGGATAAGGAGGTGGTGGTCTTTCACTGCGCATTGAGTCAGCAGAGGGGGCCGAGTGCCGCGTTGAGGTATTTGAGGGAGAGAGAGAGGTTGATTGATATGGGGGATGTTGGGAAGAAGGATGAGGGGGAAGGGGTGGGCAGTGGGAAGGAACAAAAGGTGCTGGTGTTGAAAGGTGGGTTTACGGAGTGGCAGGAGAAGTATGGGGCGGATGAGGGGTTGACAGAGGGATGGAGGAAGGACATTTGGGAGTGGGGGACGTAGAGGGATGCAAGAGCAAAGAACGGAGAGTGAAAACATGACGAATTCTCAAGATCAACCAGGGATTCATATGCTTGAAAGATTATGTAAATTCCCAACTACGACCAGTCTCTCTAGCACCCCTTCGCCCCCTCTAGGTCTTTAGCCAATCCAGCAAAGTTATTCTTCTCATGCTCCATAATCGCCTCAACCTTCTTCGCACTCGCGCTCCCCTTGTCAAACCGATACCCCAACCACTCCTTCACCAACCGCCTCGCAAGCTCGATCCCCACCACCCTCTCGCCCATACACAGCACCTGCGCATCATTGCTGAGCACGGCCCTTTCGACACTGAAGCTGTCATGCGCCGTCACAGCCCTGATGCCCGGTACTTTGTTCGCACTAATAGCCACACCCAGACCCGTGCCGCAGATCAGAATTGCGCGGTCAGCTTTCCCCTCCGCGACGAGCTTGGCGGCGGACACGGCGACGTGCGGGTATGCAGTCTTGTCGGTGGAGGCGGGGACGCCAACGTCTGTGACGTCCGACACCAGTGCAGATTCTTTCAGGTCCTTGATGATGGCATTCTTGTAGCTTACGCCGGCGTCGTCGCAGCCGATTGCTATGCGGAGGGGTGCGGCCATTTTAGAGGTCGGATGTGTCGTAGCGGCGCTCGAGGTAGCGGCGTGTGGAGTTGGATTTGACGTTGAGGTTGGAGGCGCCCGTTGAGGAATTGGACGACGATGAGTTGGACGTGTAATGTACGTTCCCCTCTACGCTGTCAACCTTCTTGCCCGTGTCTTTCACAATATCGTCGACGGCGCGGTTCACAGTCCTTTCGAAGGGCTTGGTGATGGTGGAGAAGTCTGTGTGGCGCTGCGTTACGAGGCTGGATTGGTCATCGGTAGCGGGATGTTCGGCGGCGGAATCGAGGTTTAGGGAGAAGAATTGGCGTTTGGGAGACATTTTGGCGGGATGGGGAGGTGGTTAAATGATGTAAGGTTCTAGGCCTAGGGCGCGGTTGAATGAGGGGCTAAAGAGTGTGGAGGGCGGGGATGGCTGGAAAGGGTAAGCCGGTGGGGTTAGAGGACTCGAGACGAGACATGTCGTGACGAGGATGGAGAAAGTGGTCGTTGTGATGGGCGTTTGTGAGTTTCGATGTCTTGATTTATTTATACTTCGCGCTTTTTGCTGGGTACAGTCTTTCTACACACTATTTCTTCTCATCACCAAACAAGTCCTTCTCCACCATCGATCTACAAATCGGATGGTAAAAGTCCTTGTTCTTCTCAAACGTCTCCACCGCAAGTTTCCTATCCGCCTTCTCCAAGAGCCTATACATCGGCCTAACAAACTTCATGCGCCCAATACGTCCTAGCAACTCTGCTGAAGGCTGATACGTCTCGGGTGCCTTGGCCATGAGTCCAGCAGACAGATACCTTGACAAGACCTCGATGTTCTGCGTCTTGTCATAGCCGTATGTGTGGCCGAGGAGATGGATTTGCTCGGCGCTGAATTTTTCTGCAAAGGATTGGACTTTCTCGAGAAAGACGACGGATTGGTTTGATACCCAATCAGCGACGTCGGAGTGGTGGGGCTTGAAGTCGCTGGAGGAGTTGTTGGTGATGAGGTACTGCCATTTGTCCGCAAGCTTGTAACAGCTCTTCACCATGGTCTGGTCAAAGTCGGGCTTTGGTGGGTATCCAGGAGCGTAGAAGAGCTTGTCCCAGTCAAACTCTGCGAGCTTCTTGTTGGCCTCGGTGTCCTTGGCAAAGAAGTCAATGAGGCACGCCTTGAAGTCATACGAGTCAATGGACTTGAACTTGAAAGTCTCGAAGTAGTGCGGGATGAAGTTGTCCCACTTGTCCTTGCCGAGAAGGAGCTCAAACTGGTAGAGCGCATGGAAGCCCTTCTCGTAAGGGATGCTAGAGAACGCATCATCTGGGTCTTTGCCCTTGAGATCAATGACGAGTTTGGTGAAGTCGTGATCCGCCCCATAGCGCTCGATGCTCTCTTCGAGCGCCTTCCAGCCGATAATGGCGGAAAAGTGACGGTGTGATTCGCCATGCAAAACACCCTGGATGCGTCGCTCAAGATAGGTAGTCCAGCCCTCGTTCAGCCAGAAGTGCTCCCAACTAGCTGCACTAACCAAGTTACCTGACCACGAGTGAGACAGTTCGTGTGCAATGACATCGATGTTTTGCTTGTCTCCAGAGATGATGGAGGGTGTCGCGTACGTCCAGACAGGGTTCTCCATACCACCGTAGGGAAACGACGGAGGTAGGATGAGCACGTTGTACTGTGTCCACTGGTAGGTAGGCTTGACGATCGACTCAATAGCCTTCATGAAAGGCTCGATCTCGCCCTCAAGCTCTTGCTGACACTCCAGAAGCTCTTCAGGCCCAGACCATACAGTGCTGCGTGGCCCAATCGACGCACAGGCCAGGTCACCCGAAGCAACCGCCATGAGGTAAGACGTAATCGCAACCGGCTGTTCAAAGGTGTACTTGAGAGTTCCCGACGCACCATCCTTCTTTGCCGGCTGATACTTGCTCGCCCCAGTAGGCAAACCAGAAGCCAAAACCGGAAGTGGGGAGCGCAGCGCAAAGCTGAAAGTCGACTTAACATCTGGCGTGTCCTGGCACGGAAACACAGACCGCGCATGATTAGCCTGACACTGACTGAACATATAAGGATGTTTCTTGTTCGACGTCTGCGCCGGCTCCATCCACTGCAGCGCTGTGCACTTCTCTGTCGTTGCAACAGTAAGTTCAATCTCCACCGTCTTGCCCTTGGGCACAGCCGCGGGAAGCTTGATCGTCAATGGACTGCCATACGGCTCGATGCGCTCTCCAATGCTGAACTCAGCGCTCTGGCGATCGACTTTGATGGCGGAGACATCGAGAAAGCTATCGCCACATCAGCCCTGCCTGCAATGATTCATATTGGTAGAAAGAAAGCAGATACACACCTCGAATCCAACACAACATCCACCTCCGCATCTGTCAAACTCTCCATCCTCAACACCACACTCCCCACCAACCTCTTCCTCTCAAACTCAATCTCAAAATCCAAACTCGTGTGCCGCGTCACATAATTGTGGTAATTGCTCAGCGTGTTGGGATCTCTTGGCGTGCGGGTCTCCATTTTGACGGGCTTGGTCTCCATGGCGGCAGGCGCGCGGTGCATGCTTGCTGTTGACAGTGGGAATTTAGTACCTCCGCCCATGTGGTTTGTGTGTTTGTGGGAGGGTAGGAGGCGAGAGGCAGGTGGTGATTGTGTAGAGATTGTGAGCCACCTGCCAATTCGAGGTTGATGAGGTCGGAGCGGGTTTGGGGCGTGTGCCGATGGGAAGCGGGCGCACCTACGAAGCGGCGAAATTGGTAGGTTTGCTCGTGTGAGGGATTGCATGTCATGAGCAAAATGCAGTGATGAACTCCGCGTCGGCTGTGCGACAAGGAACGGCTGCAAGATTGGCAGGAGTCGTGGTGATGCGCACGGTGGAAGGCTTAATGCGCTTAAGCTTCCAAGTACATCGGTCGCATCAGAGCAAACTGCAACTTTTGGCCAAAAGTCATATTGCAGATATATACAAGTGGTTCTGCAGGCAAACTAGGCCACAACGCTATGAACTTGACTAAACTTTCTATAAACTTTCCAGTGCTATGCTGTTTCGCATGCATACCCAAACGCCATGCTCCGCTCGGTCCATATTCTATCAATCCTTCTTGCTACTATCGCCTTTCCGCCTTCGATCTGTCAAGACAAGATTGAAATCCGGTCTGGAAGACTGGTACTGTTGTCCGATTGAGTTCGATCTCTGTTCTGTCAGAGCAAGGAGATCGTCGTTCCGTGCTCTGCCTCGGTCCCTCTCGTCATCGCCAATCTCAAATGCATCATCCTGAAGCTCAATGAGATCTCCCAAGTCGCCACCAACAGCTCCAAGAACAGGTACGGCGGACCTCTTGCCTTGACCAGGCGTGCCTGGTTCGGTGAGCATCTTCTGAGCTTGTGACCCAACTTTCCTCATCCAGCCCTCTATCGCGCCTCCTATCTCTTGTAAATCTACACCGTTGACAGGTGTCGGCGCCCCTGAGCCGCCATACTGATGCGACACGCCAGATTCTTGGTCTAGTAGACTTGCTGCCCATGGCGTGAAATACTCTTGTCCGGGTGGCGGTGCCATGCTCGGGAGGTACTGAGCAAACTTCTTATTCAGACCATCTTGTGCTGGCCCTGGACTTCGCACATTCCTCCCTAGTGTGCCCACACCACCCGGCCCATGCAACCCCCAGCCATTCCCTGATGTATTTCTTTGGCGACTGTGTGTAGATACGGAAGAGAGGGTGCTCGATGCACGCGCTCGTGTTGGCCGGGATGGTGAGCTGGTCACGGGGTTTGTAGATGTGGACGAGCGGGGCAGATCGACGGATGCTCGGGGCGTAGATGCGTCTGAGTAAGCGATGGACTTCCGCCGTGCTGGAGGAAAGAAGCCGAGTGCTCTTCGGGGCATGCGGCCAATTTGGGTAGGTCTCTTCTCGTTGGGCAGTAGCACCCACGAGTCGTGCTTCCAAGGTGGTTCGTCTGGGTTGGACGAAGCAACAGAGTTGCTTTCCATGTCTTTCTTTCTTGGTGTGCTCCAGCCGCTTGGGAGACCATTTGTGTCCGGCTGCGGTGATTTGCGGCTAGAATCCTCACCATACTCACCAAGGAGAAGATCCTCTTCAGGCAAAGCATCAGGCCCCTGTGCTGGGCGGCCCTTGACACCACAAGCGTCGACTGGCAGCACTACGATCTTCTTCGTCTGCACGCTATCGTTCGGCCACATGCGGTTCGATTTGCGTAGCACAGCTTGATCGCAGTTGTACTTGATACTGAGTCCAGCCATTGTATCCTGCGGTCGTACTTTGTGGATGTACACCAGGGCGTCTCGGTCCTCGTTTTCCCCGGGAGGTGCGGATGCGCTCAATCGCTCGTCTGAGTTTCTTCGCTTTATACGACCAACAGAGTCTGGCACAAGCCCCTCAGTGGCGTTGAGGAGGTCCTTGCGCTTCATCGCTCTGACCATGTTCTCTCTTTCCTCGTGGGTACCAGCGCCAACTTGGGAGGGTGCGCCTGCCGGACCCCATTGTTTGGGTGGCGGTGCACTGACAGAGGTGCGACGTCCATGAGTAGGTTTCCGCCTGCGTGTGCTGCCCGACTCTCCCTGGGTGCCCTCATTTCCAATGACGTTCGCTGCTATGCCTTGTAGAGTGGACCATGAGTTGCCGAATAGCCCAGACAGTGGATTTGGGTTTCGAGACCCTTTCGGGTTCTGTACGGTCGTAGATGTCGTAAACGAAGAGGACGGCTCTGAAGTCACGTTGAGGCGCGACTTGGTGCTGGCCCCAGGGTTGGACCTCCGCGCAGGCGATCCGTCCCTCGAGGTGATTCGTGACCCGCTTCTGCTTGCAGCATCGTCGCTATGCTCTGTTGAGTATATGTCGTCTTCCACCGAGATCAGTCTCCGCGTCCGAGGGCGCAATGTCGAGTTGCTCTTGGACGACGACAACGAGGCGCTATTGGTGGGGTTCATGGCATGCGCGCACCAGGCGGAGCAAGTGGAGCTGGAACTGCATACGCCAAAAGAGTGCAGCTGACGGGTACACGCATGGCACAGTATCACAATGGCATGGTAGTTGGGGCCAAGGTAAGGGGAAAGGAGAGTTGTTTGGTGGAGGCGTGGTCGGTGTTCGAAGCTGGGGAAGCTACGTAACGCGACTGCTTCAGTCGAATAAAGGCCGTGCACCCCCAAGCTTGTACATGCCATACTTCCGATCAGAAACGTAACGCCCCGGCTCATGAGAGCCTCAATGTAGCATTTCTTACGTTTGCACTCTATGCAAACGTTGTTTTGTTCGCCGTGTGAGGCCCATTCTCCGCATAGTTGTGACCAGCGATAAGGACAGATAACGGCTAGACCCGCCGCATGGCGGCACCGCCCTCGGGATAACGACATGAACAGTTGGCCCCACGGAAATCATTCAGAAGTTGACATCGATTCTCCTTCATCGCTATTTGGAGCATCGCTACGTGTTTTACAGCCATGCTAGCAAAGAACCGCCGTGAGAACGCCCTACGGGTATACAGAAATGCACAGACAATCATAAATCATAGCATACTTTGCAAACGCCGAAATCAGAAGACCCATCACCGAAACGGGCTTGAGCTTGTCGTCACATCCCCAGTCTCAAAGTCAAGCTCAAACGCATCGACTTCCTCAAACTTCTTCTTGATAGCAAGCAGCTTTTCCGAATGCTCGGCCACAGAGGCCTCTGTCGGCTCCTCATCGCCGTCGTTTCTGGCGTCATTCTCCTTGTCCGATGATATCCTACGGCTATATGTCTTGCTTTGCCTGGAAGCCGTGGCTTTCGTCCCACGAGCATTCTTCTTAGCAGCTTTTGGAGACGCGACCTTTGCGCTGCCTCTTTGACGAGCGCGTGGATTTGGCATTTGCAGCTCGTCCTGCTCCGAATCGATTGGTGTAGCTTCAGATGAGTCAATATCGAACTCGTCACGGTCGCGCAGATTGCGGTTCCTCCGTCGAGGCAGGAGAACCTTGAGCTGTGCAGTAGATATCTTTTGTTGCGCTTTTGACTTGGCGGTCCTCTTGGCCTTCTTCGGTGCCTCCGTCTCCTCGCCCTCGGACTCCGCATACGTGGGAGCTTTCTTAGACGGTCGACCTCTGCCACGTGTACGTGGTTGAACTGGAGATTGAGGGGGTGTTGCAACCTCGCGAACAGGACTGCTCGACATGGGCGATGCGTAGGTGTCGCTAAGAGGTTCTGGCTCATCTTGGGTTTGTGCGACAATTTCTTCACGTGTTGGCTGGATCTCTGGTAAACTTGGAGAAGGGGGTCTTGAAGACTCGACATACGCGCCAGACGGCGGATCGCATGGAGGGGAAGACCGTGGCACCTGGACAACGGGCGTCAGCTTCCGCTTGACACCTCGAGAACCAGAGCTGGATATTTGCGTGCCACTGTCATTTCGTGCGTCGTCCTCTGCCACGGGTTTCCTCACGTTCAGTGGCGTTGACTCTGCATGTGGGAGGAAGTCGTCAAAGTCAAAGTTGTCTGTGTCGTCGAGCCCACTTTGATCGTTGTCTTCCACATCGGTGGTCTGCTGTACCATACGCAGTAAGCTTGGTTGCCTGGCTCGTCTCTTAAAGTTCGTCAAAGCTAAGATGGAGGCCTCATGCGCTGGTGTCGCGCCCACTTTCATCGCGGATGGTGGGCGTGTTCCATGTAATGGTGATTCTGAGCCAAATGAGGAGAATGTCAAGTCTCCGAAGCCGCTTGTATCCCCTTCCTGGGCCGCCTCCTCTTGCGCGACTTCGACCGGCGAGCGCGTTGATGCTGACTTTGCTGTCGAAGACAATATCTGTCTACCTGACAATCTCGTGCCTCGTGTTCTCTTTGACGCCTTTGATGCCGGTGTGCGATCCTTGGGCGTTTCAGCTGGACTGCCTTCTGCAACTGGGAGCGCGCCAGTCATTTCCAGGTCCGCCTCCACAACAGGCTCATGAGTCTTTCCCAAAGGCTGTCCTCGTGTTGAGCGCGTCGTCTTGGACTTGACAACGAGACCGTCGCTATCATCGCTGAAGGTTTTTGCATTTTGTTTCGCTTTCGAGAGCTTCGTGGCGGCAGGTTTTGCGACTTCGGTGCGCGGGGCGTGCTTCGAGACACGCGTGGTCGCTGACGTGATCTTGGTCCTCTTTGGTCGCGGCATGGTTGCAAATAATTATCGATAGGCAATGATTCAATGTCGCGTCGGGCGCGATTGAGCGAGCGTGTTGTGGCGAGGATCCGCGGGGGAGTTGGCGCGGTGCTGGGAGATCAAGTGGTGACGCGCCGCCAAATGTTATCATTGCGCTATTGGAGACCGCACGCGAAACTAGCTTGGAGTCACGTGATAGCTACACTCTCCAGCTCGAAGCACATTAATCTCCACTTATCGCTTCCTTTGTTTATTGCGCGTTCAAAATGCGGAATTTCGATGCATCAATCGACGTGCGCTGGTACGCAAGATGAGCCATAGAGCGCTACCTGAAGAATGGCGTTGCATAAAGGGCTGCCTGGAGATAGATGTTCAAGGCATCAGCGTCGAGTGATACTTGACCCGACATTGCCTTTTCCTATCTTCGAGTAATCGTTCAGACTGCGAGTTTCTTCGAGCGCTGTTAGTCTAAATATGACAGAATCACTCGCCAAGTTCGAGTTTCCAACCTCGCTCCAGGAATATGCAGTGAATGCTGCAGAGTACTTGCATCAACACCCACAATTTGACGTGCTTTGCACTGGCATCGTCGTCTTCGACAAGGATGGAAAGATGCTGCTGGTGCAGCGCGCAGCTGATGAACGAGCCTTCCCTGACATGTGGGTAAGTACAGCTTGTTTTTTTTATTTGAAAGCTCAGTACCGCTGAGTTTACAAAGTCCCATGCTAATGGACATCAGGAAGTGCCAGGAGGCAAAGTGGACGATACAGACGAGACGCTGCTACACGCGGCTGTACGGGAACTAAAAGAAGAAACTGGGCTCGTTGCAACCCGCGTCTGTGGCAAGGCTGCAGAGTTCACGTTCGAGGATGGAAAACCAGGTCGACGGCCCGTCATCTGGCTGAAGCTCATCTTTCACATGGAAGTAGAGAAGCTGGACATTACTCTGGATCCAGTGGAGCACCAGCGGTATCTGTTCGCAACCAAAGAAGAGATTGAACATGAACTCGTTGGGGATGTGAAACTTGCTTACATCTCTGAGGAGAATAAGCGGATCAAACTTGATGCTTTTAGCCTGCTGAAGGAAGCGAACCCATCATGAGCCAGCGGATATGCAGGAATGTAGGGATCGGTACTAGAGATGCTTCGGTAATCGGATTGAGGGCAGGGGCAAGCAGAGGAAAAGTGTTGGGCTCCAAAGGGTTCGTAGTCCCGTCTGCGATTGTCACCTACACTTTGTATGTTTACCCTTATTGATATCAACTCTAGATGACGCACATGCCCAGTAATGCACATTTCACTGTCGTGTGATCAGCATGTGCAAAGCAAGACGATGTGCAGCACATTTGAAACTACAGTCCCATTATTCGCTCAAGCCGCGGCGGATAGTCCGGGGCCGACGAATCGAGCCCGTAAGCTGAGCACATGTTGAAGACGTCGGCAATGCGTGTGAGGGTATGAGTAGGTGCTATGCGAATACCTGTTGCTCAGCACAGGACATGTTTGCAAGGCTGGGCGTGCGAGCCAGGGTAGGCAGGCCGCGGGCTTTAGTTTCATGTTTGATGGCGATGATCGAGGGTGCTGCCGCAAACCCCGCTAGTCTGGGTGGTGCCTTCCGTGCCAAAGAGCTGGACTGGTATGCCAAATCCCCAAAGCACGACCACCGACCCGTGACGATTTGCGCTCTTGAGAAGCCGACGAACTCATGTCCGGGGAACATTCCTTCATGGCCAGCACAGCGCCCACGGCAGCGCAGCCACTGGCTGCGCAGCCTGCCAATGGAGGACCGGCCTCGTAGGTGTCGCGCGCTCCCAGTGCAAGACGGCAGCTCACAAGCAGACAGCCCTTCTGCATCGTCGCAATCGGTGCCGCCTGGACATCCCTCGTTCAGGAGACAGCGGGCCAGCAGAGCATGCGAAAGTGAGTCCCTTCTCCAAGTCTTGCGCGTCTCTCTACGTCCAGGGCGAGGGCGCGGCATTATATCGACGTTGTTGACGAGCCTCGGCACCTCGGTCGACTGCAAGACAAATGCTAACCACCACTCACAGCATGTCATGCGAGGAAAGTGAGTAATCATCCGAACGACGACGGCTTCCCTGAAACCAGCCCCTAACGCCGGCGCAGGTTCGCTGCGATGCTGCCTCGCTCGGCATCCCGTGCACCAACTGCACCGCCTTCTCCATTGAGTGTCGCATCCCCGCGCCGAAGCGCAAGAAGACGACGACAGCACGCGCCCGAGATGCTGACAGGTAAGGTGGCGTGGTGCGCCCCGTGGATGGCAGAGCTGACCGTCGCAGCGACCGTGGAGACAGCGACGCCCGCTCGCCAGCAAGTCCGTCTGCTGAGCCACGCGACAAGACGGCGGCCTACAATTCCGAGGATGGCACGCCGGCCACGACCGTGTCCAGCGCGTACGCTGCGCAACAGGCCCGCGACAATGGAACCTATGTGCAGTTCATGAAGCCAAAGTTTGCCCGGGCTCCCATCAAAGAAGCCGGCCGTGTCGCGTACCTGGGCGAGTCGTCCAACCTGTCGCTACTCGTGCACGACCGCTATGGGACGACCGATGTGGTGCACTACCCACTGCCTGAGAGCATACGGGGGACCAAGGCGCGGTCCAACGAGATGGACAACATGGAGATTGAGATTCTCCACCAGCGCGGCGCTTTTCTGCTTCCTCCGCGCGCGCTTTGCGATGAGCTGGTCGAAGCCTTCTTCAAGTGGGTAGCTCCCGTTGTGCCTGTCATCAATCGCGGCCGCTTCATGCGCCAGTACCGAGACCCCAAGAACCCACCTTCTTTACTGCTCCTCCAGGCAGTGCTGCTGGCTGGTTCACGAGTCTGCAACAATGCGCAGCTCATGGACTCAAGCGGGTCTACCACCCCCGCCGCAATGACCTTCTACAAGCGTGCAAAGGCCCTGTTCGATGCCAACTTCGAGGACGACCGCGTGACCATCGTACAAGCACTCATCTTGATGGGCTGGTACTGGGAAGGGCCAGAGGACGTCACCAAGAACGTCTTCTACTGGACCAGAGTTGCCATTGTCGTGGCACAAGGCTCTGGCATGCACAGAAGCGTAGAGGGGTCCCAGCTCAGCCGGTCAGACAAACGTCTCTGGAAGCGCATCTGGTGGACCCTATATAGCCGCGACCGATCAGTGGCCGTTGCGCTTGGCAGGCCAGTTGCCATTGACCCCGAGGACTCTGACGTTGAGATGGTCTCGGAAGATGACTTCATCGACGACGAGACTGACCATGCCGGTGAATTTCCTCCAGATCCAGTACATGTCCAGTTCTTCATCAACTACGTCAAGCTGAGCGAGATCATGGGTCTGGTGCTGTCACAGCAATACTCAGTAGCCTCGAAACACCGCCGCGCCAACGCCATAGACCTCACACATAGCGACATGGCGCTTGCAGACTGGCTGCAGCACTGCCCACCCGAAGTCCAATGGGACCGACAACACCACCACTTCTGGGCGGCTCTATTGCATTCGAATTACTATACCACGCTGTGCTTGCTTCATCGCGCACATATGCCGCCTGCAGGATCTCCAAAGGCTACTAACTTGGACGGTTTTGGTGAAGGAGAGCATGCTTACCCCTCTAGGAACATTGCCTATCAAGCCGCGGCCATGATAACGTCCATCATTGAGAATCTCCGGGCACATGATCAGATCCGGTTCACGCCGGCTTTCATTGTGTACAGCCTGTTCTCCGCTTTGATCATGCATGTCTACCAGATGAAGTCCTCCAACAAGTCTATAGTCTCAGCAACGGAGCAGCGGATCACAATCTGTCTGGATGCGCTCAAGGAGGTGTCCAAGGTATGGCTGGTCGCGAAGATGGTGCACACTCTGTTTGAGTCTATCCTCGGAAACAAACACCTAGAGGAGCGGTTACAGAGAGCCGCAGGCCGGAACCACCAGAAGAAGAGCAAGGTTCCTTCCGTGCCGCCGCCTCCACCGAAGCCTGCCGCTGAAGCGCCCAAGCGAAAGTTCGATGACATGGACCTTGGCTTCCCTGCTGTCAATGGGCCTCCAGCGCCCCAGGTCTCTTATGAGCGTTCGCGGCCGCAGACTCCTGCAGTCACGCCATCACGCGAGATGCAGCCTCAACAACCACCCATGCCACAAATGACAGCAGGCTCGCCGCAGATGAATCGACAGAACCACGACGCTTTCATGGGTCCCTCACGCTCGGGGACACGTCCAACAACACCTTTCAACCCGTCTTACTCGTACCCCGGCACACCACCTGATCTGTTCTTGATCACTCGCGACACGCCCAACATTAGCCAAGAGGTCTGGCAGAACTTTCAACCAGATCAGCTCTTCCCAGCCGATACCCAAGTCGCATTCCCTGTTCCCAACCACAGTCTTGTTGATCCTGCTCTGAGCCAGCCTCCGAATATCCCCATGCAGCAACAGAGCGATGGAAGCGTACCACCACCGCAACACCAGATGCCAGCTGGCCAGATGCAAACGCCAATGGGAGCAGGAGGCTTTGATCACAACAACCAGCAGGCGTGGGCGCAACAGATGGAGATGATGTCGCAGAATCAACAGCAGCAAGGTGCACAGGACGACACATGGAGTCAGAGCTCCGGCGGGCGGCATGCACCCATTGTGCCCATGAGTCTGAATGTCGATGATTGGTAAGTTACAGACTTGCACCGGAGCAGCTTGCATCGTTATCAAACTAACATTCTTGCAGGTTCAACTTCTTCGGTATCAACGGGGAAACAGACATGTCCCATATATTCCAGCAGGGACCTCAGTAGTACTCTTGTAATTTTCTGTAATCCTGTGTACGCTCAGGAGCACGTGTCGTATGAGTTTTGATCTTAGCGAATTGTTAGCAGGAAGGGTCAGCTTAGGCGTCCGGATAGCCGTGCTGGCGCCAGGGCGAATTCAGGTGTCACGTCTCAAATCAAAAGCAGCATGTTGTTTTGAAGCTTGCAGGTTCACATTGCTTGTATCAAGTACTATTGTTGCAACGATACTTTCCACACAGAGTATGTGTCTACCACAAGCAACGCACTTTTCGTGACGATGGCCTAGTCGTGTCTGATCATGTAGATGATGCAAGTTACCGGCCCTCCCCCGCAGATCGCCGTGGAAATTCGGAGCTAGTCCGCAACAAAACAAGTGGCTTGGCCATGTGAATTTGGAGGCTAAGGACTGGGCATCGCGCTGCACGCGACGTCGGAACAGCACCGACTATCTGTCGCTGCCCGTACAAGGCCAAGAGACGCGAAAACCAACACACCATTTGCGGCGTCGCAGCATGAATCGGCCAGGTGCGTCCTTTCCCCAATAATCCCACACAATTCAAGCACGAAGCTACTCCACCACGCCCTGTTCTCTGCTCTGTGTGGGAGCTCCTTCCGGTCACTCTGCTGCTTCGAGCGTGACGTCTGTCCGCGTAATTGACAAGCAGGGTTCCACGTACCTTCCATTGCTTTCATCTGCCCATACGTCAGCTCAAGCACGCATTCTTTGGCCGAACAGTACTGACCATCCTCTCGCACACAGGACCCGGCACACAAACACTCCGAAATATACCTTCCAACATGTTCCAGAACCAACAGAATGCGAATCGCGGCGCCCCGCTGGGCACAAATCGGCTACAGAACGGCAAGATGGGTGAGCAGCGCCGCAGCCACGTTGCGTACATCGGCGAGCGCTGACTGAAACTAGGCGGCGCATCTCAATGGGCATTCGGGGGAGCCATGGGAGGTGCCCCGGGGCTGTCAAATACGCAAGCACGAACGAACGGCGGCGCAATGTCAAGCTTCGCGCAAGCTATGAGCGGGTCGCAGCCTCACACCCCGCTCAACCTCGAGTAAGTCAGTGTGTGATTTGGCGAAGAGGGGCCATAGGAAGAGGCATCAGAGTGCGACGTCACTTCCTGAGCTCTGAATCCATCGATGAAGTCGAGCTAAATGGTTGCGATCACAGGGAATTCCCGTCGTTATCGGGCGCACCGCAGGCGCAACAGAATACTTCGGCGCAGCAGATGTGGGCGAACCCAACCGTCCGGACTGCGGCGCAGCAACAAACCATCGGGCGACCACAGGGCCAAGGACCGCAACAGGGACAAAATGGTCAAACATCGAGTCAACAAGCGCAAAGTCAAGGACAGGATGATTCAAGTCAGAGCCAATTCTCTGGTCCCGGCGACGACTATAGGTTCGGAGGCCAAGGAGGCGTCGGCCAGCTTTCTGGCAGTGCGCAGCCCCAGACGACCAACATTGACGACTTTCCACCTCTAGGCGGCGCAGCAGGAGAAATTGGACCCGATCGCAGAGCGGGTCTGATACAGAATGCTGCAGCTTTCGGTAACAGTGGCAACTCGGGCGCATTCCCCGGGCTCGGTCAGACTCGTAATGGCCTGTCCAGTCCGACTGACAGCCAGCAAGATCGGGTCCTGAATCCTACGGTTGGCGGAAGAGGACTGCCGGGTGGAGCGTCACGCGCGCCCTTCGAGAACCTGCGCTCAACACCAACGAACTTGCAAGATGGCAACCAACGAACGCCTCAACAACCCGGGAACATGGGTTTCCTTGGGCCTCAGATTGGCCGTACAGATCTTGGTGCATTAGGTCAACGGCCGCAACAAGGTCAATTCGATCAAAACTTCGGTGCCGAGAACTCAAGCTCCTCGCCAAACACGCAGATACCACTGTACAAGAAGCTTGCGGAAATGTCCGACACGGAGCGGTACGGGCTGCCTGGACTACTCTCCCTGATACCACTTGAGAGCCCCGATCACTCTTCACTTGCCATGGGCCAAGATTTGACGGTGCTGGGTCTGGATTTGGCTCGACCAGAGAATTCTCCACTCCATCCCACCTTCGGATCGCCTTTCGTAGAATCGAACGCCAAGCCCGTTATTCCTCCGGATTTCACTCTGCCTGCAGCATATACTGTGACGAATGTGCCGCCGCTTCACTCCAAGATGGGTAGCTTCTCTGCAGAAACTCTTCTAGCCATCTTCTACCAATTCCCCAAGGATATTCTGCAGGAGCTTGCGGCGCAAGAGCTGTATAACCGTGATTGGCGATGGCACACGAAGCTACAACAGTGGATGATGAAGGACCCAGATCTGCCACCACCAATTCGCACAACACCAACGCAGGAGAGGGGTTGGTATCTCTTCTTCGATGTGACGAACTGGCGGCGGGAGAGGGTAGGTTTCATGTCCAACTCCATGTAATGCAAACACCTACTGACCTGCGTACAGAGAGAGTTCGAGCTCAACTATGACCATCTAGATCAGCGGCATGGTAGCCCTGCCATGGGAGGATAATTGTAAGAAGGTACATCTCAACGGACCCTACGTCGATACGCACGATTTGCAGAGCCTGATCCAAGGCTGCACAGGGGCTGAGCGTTCCTTACCTCGGTAGTGCCCGGTGGCGCTAGTAATGTCTGTGAATGAAGATTCGCAGGCTCTGCTTTGCGTGAGCTGCGTGCTTTCCTCATCTTCACGTGTGGTCTCTCGTCATTCACCTTTCCCCGTGCCCAGCAAGTGATCCAGTGAAGGTGCGGGTAGTAAGTGGCAGCGTTGCGCCTTCCAGAACAGCTCAACGACCTCTTTCACTCACTCGCATGCCCTCAACAACTTTCACTCGCTTGCTTGCTTGCACTACGTATATCCCACCTTTCCCACGCCTAGCTTTCTCCCCTCCACCACTTACAATTTGCTAATCGCACTTCAATTCTCACTAACCACCAGCACCAACTCGGCAAAACACCACAACAGCAATGTCTTCCTCCCCCACTACCGCCGCAGGTCAAATCCGCCACTCCCTCACCCTCCTCGGCGCCGCCTGTCGCGAAATGACACCTGCCGGCGCAAAGCCCATTCCCCTCCATCCCTCGCGCTTCAACCTCCTCGCGCGCCCCGTCGCCGCCAGCAAAGCGTGCCACGTCTGCGCGCTTCCAGGCCACAGTTCGCCGAACATCAAGAGCACGGCCGCATGTCGGGTTGCGCTCGTATCGCTGGTAGGTTTTTGGGAAGAGGTGGCGACGCACATATCCGCGCTGTACGGCACGTCTGCGCGCTTCAAGGCTGCGATTGTAGCCAACAAGCCGACTTATGAGATGAGGCTGGATGATGGAGGCTTAAAGGGAGGGGATATTGAGAGCGTGTTGGTGGAGCGGTTGACGAGGGGATGGTTGCGGTTCGTCAGCCATGTGCAACGCATCAGGGCGAGGGTCAATGTTGTGCTGAGCGAGGGCGAGGTCGGGAGGTATGTGGAACTGGAGAGGAACTTGAATGGGTTCTTGATGGATGGGTCGACGTGTAAGTCACTTCAGTTGTCGAAGAGAGAATGAAGGCTAACTAACGTGTGCATAGTGTCGGATCTGTTTGAGAGGAGCGTTGCTGGGAAGGAGTGAGTGGTCAGCATCCTCCACCTTCCTGACGACAACACTTCAGCACATGGCAAGAATTACGGCAAGAGCCTAAATATCAAAGGAGTCAAGTGAGAAAAGTCATGTAAGCACGGCCAGTGTTAGATGATGTCAAAGACAAGTCCTAACGAATACCTTAGGCGAAGCTCTCACTACATATTTCCCACATTTTGCCCGGCAAGTCTCAGAGTGTAGCGTGTAGTGTAGCGATTAGTGCTCCGCATTTCATCTGCATCACCGGCCCGCCAGTCATCTCTTTCACACAGGGACTTTGCTAAGACACGTGCGTCAGTATGCACATCATCAAGACACATTGAAGCCCTCTACTGCGCCATGCAATTGCAAGCTCACGTATGATCGGTTGGAATCTTTTAACCCTGGAGTTGGCACATATTATACAGGTTGTGCTGAGGATGCCACGCGCTTATCTACTTCACCACAGTATCTTGGTATAGTGAACTCTCACCGATATACTGGCGGGGATCCGAATACAGCCACTACGAGCACTTCCCATCTTGTAATGATACTGCACTTCGTACGACGAGGCGTGGTATAATTTTCCATTCTGCATTGTCGAGGTGGTGGTGGCTGAGTCTCAGCCGTGGACATAAATCACGACAAGTCAGCTCGCAACCTTGCTCAACCAACTTTTGTACTCAATTCCACGATGGCACTAGAAACCGCCGCTGCTGTTATCGGTATTCTCGCAGTAGCGGGAAAGGTCGCCGAAATCCTAGGACCTGTCGTCTCAGCCTTCCGCGACGTCACAAAGCATACCGCAGCCGTACTCTCCGAAGTCAACAACTCGCGCACAATCCTTTCGGCTTTGCAAAAATATCTCAGTGGGCTAAGCAACAGTTCAATAGTGCGCGCAGAGTTGATACAGGTTGATCAATTGATTGCTGCGCTGGCCGATGGATCCTTACCACCTGGTACCACACGAGCAAGGATGGATCAACGACTGAGTGCAGATAGCGCCATATCCATGTTGGTCTTTGACAATGCTTCCAAAACATCCCTCGACTGCATCTCGAACTACTGTCGAGACGTACTGATGAGCGACAAGTGGAAACATGCTCGGACGCTTATAGTTGTCTTTCACAATGCAAATAAATCCACGAACGACGTCGCCCAGGGAGGTAAACGCCTCGCTCACAATATCGGAGCCCAATTTCCGGAACGCTATTCGGACGATGTTGAGTCTCTTCAATCAGCCATTGACAGCCTTGTAAGCAGATACTGGGCTTCCGTGCAAGCGGAAACCAACGAGTTTCGTCACCTGACACTAGGAGGCAACCCAGCCTACACGATACCTTTCCGCAGTCTCTCAGACTTCTCAAAGTATAGATCGATGTCGGAAGTTCTTGAAGATGAACCTCTGCTATTTGAAAATCGGAGCAGTACTTCTGACAGAATAGCGCCCGGTTTGCCACCAGTGGTTGAGGAGGGTGCACAAATTTCTCATCCTATTTTGCTTCCTGCATCGGCCTATGTACCGCAATACCACGGTATGAATCTTATCTGGGTCTCATTTGCTTCTTTACTTTTCGCGCCTCCAATTACTTCAAAACTAGCAGATGAAACTACAATCCTTACTGTCAATAGCGGGCTGCTAAGGAAGCTATGAAGTCAGCCGATGATCGACTAGGCGGTAAGAAGACCGGAATCAGGCGTTGCTGTGGGCGTTATGCAGCTTTCTTCCTGGACAAAAAGTCAGGTCAGATACTTCACGCCCTCTAAGTGATGGTCTAGCCTCTTTCATAAAATACCATTATTATGATTCCAAGGGGAGGACCCCCCTATTTTGTATTATGCAGCTTCATCCTCGATCTCCAGGTTCCCAACCTTGAACTTCTTCCCCTTCATATCCGCATAATCATTATGATTATGATAATTCTTCACTCTCTCCCGCACATACTCTAGCCCCCTTACTGGCGCCGCATCCTTTGCATCTTCCCTCACCAGTCCCAATCTCTTCAACAACGGACTCGGGGCAGGCTTGATATCGACATCATTCCCCGGTCTTACAAAGTAAAACAACCCCAATCTCTTGCCATGGGCTTGATCCTCTGGTGGTCGCTGCACTCGGTGAATGGTCGATTTCAAATATCCCGCCGACCAGAAATCCAACGTATCTCCGACGTTGCATATAATCCCATTATCGACGGGTGGGACATACTTCCACTCTCCAGCTGGTGTCTTGAGCTGTAAACCAGCGACATCCTGGCTCCAAAGAAGCGTCAAACTGCCAAAGTCTGTGTGTGCGCGAGACCACGTGTTAGCCACTTTCTCGTCATCCGCAGCGCTACGAGGATTATAGATCATATAGCGCAAATGGTCTTCGGAAGGATCCTGATACAGGTGCTGTTTTGAGAAGTAATCTTCTGGAAGTTCGAGAATAATCGAGAACAGCGTGAAGATCTTCGAAGCAAGGTCCAGCGAGCGGCGCGAAAAGTCCTCGATTTCGGGCTGGAATTGGCGGAGATAGGGATGGAAAGGTTCATGGGCGTTGGATGCAATGAATTTGGGCATGTTTACTGATTCGACATTGTCTAGGACGTCAGTGCTCATCACTTTCTTCTCGTTGGCGGCACGATAGCCGAAGTAGTTTCCGTTGGTGAAGTCGCAGCGATATTTTGGGTCGCCTTTTTCTTCGAGGGGGAGGTTGAAGTAGGCTTGGCCGATGTCGTACTGGCGGTCTACTTCTTCTTGGGTAAAGCCAGTGCCGACTATACTAAAGAACCCGGTGTTATGGACCTGATTGACATCAGCTGTCATTTCAAGGTACATTGTTCGAGACATACAGCATCTCGAAGGTCTTCTGCTAGTTTCTGCTTGCCACCTGGTTCATCAAAGGTCGAAAGATCAATGACTTTGATGTCTGCCCAATCGAGACTCTCTGTAGTCTTGGTAGGCCTCTTCCATTTTGGTATAGCTGGTGATTCAGGGTATGTTGCTGATGGCATTTCGGCGAGGTTGTGGTGGGATGCCAGTGTAGAATTTCGCCGCAGATAGCATTTCTTAAAATACATATACGCCGGTCTTATTTCCGGTGTCGTTAATGACATGTCGTGTTACTCTCAAAGGTGGAGGTGGTAAGCACGCAATCGCTCGCCAAGATTCGTGCTCGAGTAACCGAAGACCTCAACACCTTGTGGTGCATGCACATAGACGTTCCGGCAGAAGATAGCCGAAAGTTTTATCCAACTTAGGAGTCTGCATGTGACTCGCAGGATGTATAGCGACGTCGAAGTGGGTCGTTCACAACTTGCCAGGGACATCTGCATGCTAGAACTGTGTCTTCTGCAAGACAAGCGTGATGACGTGCTTGCAGATGTGTTGAGAGATGCTGGGTAGCTCTCCATGTAACAAAAACTTCTGAATCGTTCTCCGTGCAGGAATAAAGGCGTAACTCCTTGTACTCCTCAAGTGTTTCTCGGAGATTCACCACCTTTCGACGATGGCCACCGAAGAGCACCCAGATTTCGTTACGTCAAAAGAGGTTCAAGATATATCGAACACCAAAGTCAGTTCGAGCTTGGCCTCAGAAGCGAACCTTAAAAAAGCACACCGGAAAGTCGACCAGCGTCTGCTCTGCTGGTATGCATTCGTCTACCTCATCATGCGTATCCACGTCAGCAACATCTCAAACACAGCCATCATGAACCTCGAACAAGGAGCGGGGATCAAGAAGCAACTAGGCAACCTCTCTTCTGGTCAATGGGCATGGGCCCTGAGCATCTTCTACTACCCATACATGTTCCTGGAGCCTCTTGCCACTCTGATGTTGAAGCATTTCAGTCCAAATGTGTGGATGAGCCGGATCATGATGACTTGGGGTATCATATCGATGTGCCAGGGTGCGACACAGAACTATGCGGGTATCCTCGTTTGTCGATTCTTCCTCGGTGCTGCAGAAGCTGGATTTTATCCGGGCGTCCTCTATCACTTTTCTTTCTGGTATTCGACCGAGCGATTACCGCTTCGAATTGCGTTCTTCTATGCCTGCGGAATGTTCTCAGGGACTATCAGTGGACTTCTGGCGTATGCGATCAGTCACATGAATGGTGTCGCGGGCCTTGCAGGATGGCGTTGGGTATGTTTGTAGATCTGACGACGAGATGCGATACTGATGGGCTACAGCTCTTCATCTTGGAAGGCATTCCTGCCATATTCTGCTCAATTTACACCTTCTTCTACTTGCCGAACTATCCTCAGACCGTCAACTTCTTGTCAGAGGATGAGAGGGAAGCTATCATTGCCGATTTGCCAAAGCAGGCACCCACCATGGGCGCAAAGACATTCGATTTCGAGCAGATCAAGTCGCTGTTCAAGAGCCCTACCTTTGTTCCATTCCTGATGATCTGGATCACACACGGCATTGGTGGCTGGGGCATCTCGTTCGTGTTGCCGACCGTCATCTATGAGCTGGGCATCTCAAACACTGCGATATCGCAGGTCATGACCATGGTGAGTCCTTGGCCTCGATGAAGTGATGAAATATGACTGACAGAAACTAGCCTCCATTCACGATGGTGTTCGTGATCCTTTGCGGTCTAGCGTTCTTCATACATACCAAACGACTCAATCCATGGGTTGCTGGTCTTGGCGTTGAAGTTGTCCAAGTCATTTGCTACATCCTGCTCATCACTGTCAAGCAGCCAATTGCAAAGTACATCTTCGTCATGATCGCAACTGCTGCTTCTCAATCGTTCTTCGCCATCATATGGCCCGAGCGCATCCGCGCCGCAAGAGGCACAACGACTGCTGGCCTCGCTATCGGCATCACCAATGCTAGCTGCCAATTGATGGGAATTGTTGGACCGCAAATCTACCAGCCCAAGTTCGGTCCAACCTATCGGGTTAGCTACGTATGCTCCATCGCATTGCTCTCAACATGCTTGGGAGCCGTGCTGACAAGCTGGTTTTTCGTGACGAAAGATGACAAGCGAAGAGCGAAAGAAGATGCCCAGAGTCGACAAATCACGGCTTGAGATTTATCCGCACACTGTCTGGATGTATGGGCCAAGAGCTGGTCTATACAATCTAGCGTGTCAAGTTATAGTCGTGAAGCAAGACGATCGCGATCGTTAGCGTGAAAGATTCGCGTCAGCTCGGGAACGTGCTTAGTCCCCCTGTCGAGGCTTATTTTCTTCAGTTGTACCTCTCATCTAGAACAAAACATTGTCTTGCGCAATTCCATCATCGATCAAATCAGATTGGTTCAAATTCCCTTGCCAATCTGCCACACAATGCCTCGATTTTCGGTATTTCCTGCCCACTCTCGCCAAGCCCTGGCCACAGATCATAAAACTTCCGAGAGTCTTGTCACACGGTCGATGAATACATGATGTAAAGTAGGCGTGACATTATGCTATTGATTGACTATTTGGAACTTCTACGGCGCAGTAGTCGCGCGCGCTCTGTCGGAGAGCGTAACTGGCATCGGCGTCGCAGATCCAGATGGACGGATACTGCTGGAAGAAGCACCTCCGCCGCCACCACTTCCACCTTTCGGCTTCTGTACTACAGCCTGAACAACTTGACCCGCGGTGTTGGTGATGATATCCACGAGCGAACCAAGAGCATCGTAATTGTAGGTGGTCTGAGTAAGTCCTTGGCCAACTTGCTTCACACTGCCTTCAACCTCGGTCATGTTCAACTGTGAGTGGGTTAGCCCTCTGGACACCACATCTTTCTTGGTGGGTGAGCTTACCTTGAAGTTACCGACAATCTGCGAAAGGGCGTCACCACCAGCTCCAACGACTTCCTGGACAATGTTTCCAAGATTATCGACCAGGAAGTTTAGTGTCTTTCCATTCTGGGTAATGGAGCCGAGCTGTGCATTGTCAGGAAACCATTTTTTACGTTCATCAGTCTTTCTTACCAATCCGTCTACTGCGCCAATGACTTCGCCAACCAAGTCCGTTACGTTGCCAATCAAGCTGATGAGGAGCGGGTTGAGGTCTAGAGAATCAAAGACACGCTCGACAATGTTGACTAGGTTTCCAAGTCGGACAACGAGCTCAAGGTTAACATCGACATCGGCGATTGTGATGTTGACCTTCTCCACTGCCACTTGGACACCGGCATTGACTTGCACGAGGCCTGCAACCTTTGCGTTGAGATTTAGATCGGCTTGCAGCTTCTCTACCACCAACTCAATTCGACCAACGTGCAGTTCTGGGACCTGTAGGAGAACATCAGGAGGGCCATCAGTCGAGACTGACGGAGGCCTAGTTGTGGATGTGCCGTTGCCCCTGGGAGGAACTCTGCTGCTGGTAACAGGTGGGGTAGTTGGGCTTGTCGCTGAAGCAGATTGCGCAAGGACGTGAGTAGCGAATGTGAAGAAGATGCTGACGAGCAGAAGGCGCAGAACGCGTGTAGAGAACGACATGTTGGCGATGGCAAAGAACGACAATGCTAGAATCGCGGCAAAGCCCACTACAAGTAACGGCAGACGATGTCCAGATACCACTTCCCAGGCGACGCAGTGCCGTTGCAAATCTGCGGGCTAATGATGCAGGAACCGGGTTTCTAATATCGGATAATATTCTTATGCACATTGAACATGGGTTTGACATGCTTGCATGCGCCACATCGAAAGATTCCGGGGTTTTAGCGTCGAGAAACCTGATTTGCATACAAAAACCTGATCTTTTCAGAGCCTGTGCCGAATGGGAATTGTTGGCCGGGTCTCCTTAATTTCCATCTTTTCGCTGTGTGGATCCGGTCAACTATGCATGCGAAGATCCCTGTAAGTGGGCACACTAGACTCCACGTCAGGTCGATATTGTTAACGGTCGCTTGCCCTCTCTTTGCTGGTTTACGCTTCCCATCAAGTTGCCGTTCCCTTCCTTTCATCCAGCAGCTTTTGAGTTGCGTCCATTCTCTTGTGTCACGAACTTGATCAGCCAGAACAATGCCGTCCCTACTTTCAACACTCGCACTGCTTACCTTCCCTCTCTTTGCTCTCGCCCAGTCAGCAAACGATGGCTACACTGGCTACAAGCTAGACGTCAGGCAGGAGCAGGATCCGGGTTCCGTCCTCTACGAGACTGAGAACACAAGGACCTCCAACGTGTCTACACTCTCCGAAACCCCAGATGTCCTGCTGAATGCATCTGTACATGTCGGCGAAATCTTCATTGGTGTTGACAACCTCACCGCCAAAATCAACCTTGATGCCCAAGTCTTGTCGTTGCTGCAGTTCAACGCCGGAGTCGACCTCAGCATTGAGAAGGTTGCTCTTACCATCCAAAATGTCACTGCAAAAGTGTATCTCGAAGCACGCCTAGGAAACCTCGTCACCATGATCAGCGACGTCTTGGACTCTATCGACTTGAACCCCGTCATTGCGGAGCTTGGAGCCGGGCTTGGAAGCATCGTCGGCGATGCTGCTGACCTTGTTGGTGACGTTGCAGGTGGCCTGACTGGCAACAACGGAACCTCTGGCAACACCAAGCGCGATGTTGATCCTCACCAATGGGACCTTCTGAACAACATCCTCTACTCCATCAACAACTTTGAAGGAAACGCCAACAAGCGCCGCGTTCTTGCTCAGGATGGCGACATTGTCGAGCAAGACATCAATAACAACGGAGTCATCTCTGCAATGAGGGTTGTCGGTAACTACGCAACCGACATGCACTTCAATGGTTTCAACGAGAGCGTGACGTTCAAGGGTCAGGAAGTATGGGAGGAGGAGTACACCTACCAGCCCTTCCCGGGCCTCTACTCCATCTCAGGCGTCTTCAAGAGCAAGAGCACTGGCGCAGTTGTCGGCACACAACTCCTCGCGGAAGCACGAGGAGGCGGAAACGCAAACATTGGCAACGTAGATGACCTCAAGCGTTGAGCGCGATACCCATCGAGATCGAATCGAAAGACATTTTCCATCCAAAAAAAACCTTGCTGTGATTCATGTGTGTTGTGCAGAAAGGCGCTTCTTCGGCTCTTTCTCCATTTGCCGATGTCAAGACCTGGACATGGGGCCTAAAGGGGCATTCACCCGTTCGGCACGGTCCCTCGGCTAAGGTCCACCCGTCTCAGGCAAATGGCCGTGCATCCACGCGAGCTGAGCGGGCGTGCCTGGGTATTTCAGATCGTTCGAGAACGTTAAGGACATGACGACATGATGTGCACGATCGGGATGTGGGTGTTGCATGCCGGAAAGTGGACGAAAGTGTGCAATGGCGAGAGCACGGACATATGCACATGGTGTTTCAGGAACAGCCTGCTGGTGAATCTCAAAGCCGCATGAAAACGCCATGAGGCTGTGTAGCTTGGCATGCTTCAAATTTTCGCGAAGCCTAAGTCTACACATTCTAGATCTTGAAAACATAGACGAGCTTGTTATATTTTTAGTTCCACCGTACGGTCTTGGTGAAGCAGCGGAGATTGAGACTTGAAGTAGTCGCAAGATATGGTTGACGATACCCTCACAAGCCAGAGAGAATGTTTTTTTACAAATTGCAGGTCCACGCACATGGCTATGTTGATGGAGCCCTTTTGAAACAGCGCGGCCGATTAAGTCATTAATAGACCTTACGGTAGATCTGAGTATGCAAATGAATGAAGTCTTTGTTTGCTAGAGGAGGGTGGCCAAGAAAAAGAAGGAATTATACACCTCGGCCCAAATACTCCGCACACATGTGCCTCCGAGCGTGCAATATTCCTTGACTCGAACACTTTTGAGCTGTTGCTAGGACTGATTGCCAGTTTTTGAATCGCAACAGGGCGACCGGAACATCTGTCGATACTGTCTTGCTTTTGACAGCATAGGCTCAAAACAAGTCGTTTCGGGCTGCATTTTGGGAGGTCCAGAAGAGCGATGTGTATGCTGATACGAGAGACCTAAGAAATACTAGAAATTTGTGCAGGAATAAGGCGCAATGGTTGTGGATTCATGCTGGGTCGGATTCTGATCTTGTCAAGACGCAGAGGCTCGTTGTGAGACGACAGAAAAATTGCGTGTCATCTCCGCCTTAGACCACTTCGTGAGTCTGTACCTGCGTCATTTTGGAAAGAGAGCCAGGCTGAAGAGTCACATCGCTATTTCAATAGAGGACTTCGTACAGCACATTGCCACCTGTATGACGAGGTTTAGTTTTTTTTTAAAAAAAAAAATAGCGAACAAGGAATGTCCGGAAATTCAAGACACATATTTATCTCCACCGTCATCTGGTCTCTACAAGTGGCCGACGGTTCGAGGCATATATCTCCATTGGCTTTCATAGGATTGATATATCGCACACCTTCTTTGGACATTGCGGAAGAGCAGTAAGTCAGGGGAGGACAAGTCGCGCGTGTTATAGAGCTTTGCGTTCCCAAGTCGGGCTCAATTATCAATATTCGCCCCCAGACTCTGGCAGAAACCAAGAAATAAGACGGGCTGCTTAACTTTTCGATGCGGAGTCTGATTTGCATACACGCATTTGGAAGAAACGAGTTTTTCCTACTGCGAAAATTATAGCGCAGTGCAGCTACAATATGAAGTTCTTGTACAGAGCTTTTCGATGTTGATAAGAGAAAAGACATGGGAGTTTTTTCCTAGCGTTTGGAAAAGAGCAAACTTTGCGCGCATAGCCGGAGTTATGTCTGTTTGAAGGAAAGGAGAGACAAAATAGCCATAGGCCACCTCTCATACTAATTTTGGACGTTTCGCAACGGAAATGTGTGATGAAGAATATAGAAGGACGATGGTGCAGGCGGAATATATATATAACCATCATCTCATCTCAAGCCCAGAAAGAGCGGTAATCATGACGCCCAGCTCTTTGGTTTCCAAGGGAGGAGACCCACGTTCATAACATCTCTTCACTCTTTCAGAACGCATATGTAATGGAAGGGCTCAGAGATAAAAGCAACCCATGACATGGCAGTAGTGGAGTTGCGGAGGCATTATACACATCATAGGCTTTTTTTTAGAGGGAAGAAGCGGAAAATATCCAGCTCTGTGTCGTAGTTTTTGGGACATTGCGAGAGCCGATAACACACTCTCGTGGACCGCTGAGAACAGTTGTTTGAAAGAAGACAGTCGAAGAAGAACATTGTCACATCTTCTGGTGCATTTGAAGTCGAACAGAAGTCGACTTACTCATAGCATCTGTAGCAGGACTTTTGAGGAACACAGCAGACCAGACATTAGGCAAGGTCCTGGAATTTTTCATTTCAGCGAACATAGTTCATGGCTGGCCTTGTTTGTACCGAAACCGTCGAGGCGAGAGAGTCGAGAATACATAGTGCCTTCATTTCGGTCTTTCAAAGTAGAAGGTTTCTGAGACTCCTAGGAGTCTGAGAAGAGGAGAAGAACCATGGTTCCCTTCCGTGTGTAGTTTTGAGAAGAGAGGGCTTTTGCCAACATGGTCCTACAAGATTCTATTGTTAAGAGAGGGGGACAGAAGGGGTCGGGCGGACATACATGTCCCATGCTAGCCGTTTGGTACAAGATAGAGTGCTGTGTGTGACGAAGAAACAAGAACTGGGAGGATACGAGGGTTTGTATACGCGGAATGAAGCTGCAGTGCTGTTTGCACGGCGTAGAATCGAGGGTTGGGAGTGTTTGGCAAGCAGTGCTTTCTTTTTATTTTCCGGATGACGCAATGATCTTTTGTGTCAATATGCCCGATGCTTTTCGCTCTCACGCCGTGAACGCCATGCCAAAACCTCATGTCTAGTCGTGAGTGGAGTGTCTCTACCTGTCTACTGTACGCCCAATCCAAATGCGCAGATCTAGCTTCCAGAACCGTAGTATTCTTTCCTTTTCCCTTCCTTTTCCTTCCCTCATTCGATCTTCCCCATCATCCCCCTCCTTACCTTCGTATTGACAACCCCACCGACGCCAAAAGCCGGCACAATCCGACAAATCCGCGCAGCACTACTCTTCGCCCAATCCCTCAGAACCCTTCCCACCCTCTCCCCCCTGCTAACATCCGGCCTATTGTACAAGTCCAGGCCCAGCAAATGGAGCGGCGTACTTACCAGCTGCACCGCCGCAGGCGTGACAAACTGCGCCGCGCTCGCGCTCGACATGTACTTCTGCACGCCCTCGCTCATGTGTGCTTCGAACGAGGGCGCGAGCAGCGGAGGCAGATTGAACGAGGCGAAGATGGTCATGCAGTCGCGAATTGTGAAGAGGGCGAATGTAGGGAGGGGTACGGCGCGGGAAGGGCCTGTGGAGCCGAAGAGCTGAGTGAATTTATTATCTTTGTAGAGGCAGAGCGCAAGGTTGGCGGTGCTGGTTGCGAGGAATTTGGGTGTGCCGGCGGTGGTGGAGGAGGGCGGGGTGGAGTGGAGAGTAGAGGATACGGTGTCGATGGTGTTTGCGGTGAAGTAGGTCCCGAAGTAGAGGGACTATGGTGGGTTAGTGGAGGTGCTTGGGGGTGCTTGGAGGTGGTGGGCTGGAGTGGTGAACGTACGAAGATGAGAACGAATGGCTTCGAAGATATGAAGCGGTGGGGTTTCAGCAGCAGCTGTTGGGCGCTCTTCTTCAGGCTCTCGCCCAAGGTATTTCGTCCACTTGCGTTCTCGATGATGCCCTTGTCTATCATGGTGATGATGGGCGCGACAAGTGTTCCAGCAGCACATGCTGACATGGCATCGACACCAACACGCAACCCAAGCTTTGATGTGTTCCAATCGCGCGTCGTGACATCTGACAAGTCCTTTTTCGCCATTGTCGCGTTGGTGCCCGAGCTTGAGGAGGGCAAGCTTGGTAGTGGTAGCTTCGGCGTTGGGATTGTGGATGGAATCGGTGATTTGAAGTCCGCAATAGCTGTGACCTCGGCCTCAGCAACAGGTTGGGGTTGCGTTTCCTTCGCAGGCACGTTCAAGGTCCTGCTGTTCTCTTCCCCCATTGCAGCTTTCTGCGGTGATTGATAAATTCTTTCTTGTTGCGCCACATGTAGTCTTCAGTCGCCCTAGCTCTGCGCAGTCGGATCGCGCAAAGAGCGTAGTAGAGGGTGAAAGTCCAGTCAAAGGGGCACCAGGGCACCAGCTATCGTGTAGCGGCGCGATGATGTCGTGAAAGATAGTAACCATGATTTAGCGTTGGGTCGCGGGATTGGAAACCAAACGCCGACCGAAGTCGGACTATGTATAACCGACCCTCCAGTGCTCCAACATGACTGGCTTGTTGTGTATGGCGATCTGCATCGAAGATCTGGTAGTAATTGCTATGATGGGTACTTTCGGCTGAGCCGTTTTTGGAAAGACGTGGAGAATCGTGTTGCGGAGGTGCATGCGGAGTTCGCGGCCAGCGCCTTCATGTCAGATGGCTAGCTTCGGCTGATGAGACCCTGAGCACCATCGCCTTGGCCTGCACAAGTGCACCCGCTGAGGAGTAGGCTGAACCAGCAACTTGCGGACAAAATCAGATTACACGTCGATGGTGGTGTAGGATATTTTGAACTGGGAGCGTAGAAAGTATATTGCTATTGTCTAACGAACTTTAACAGTATGATTGTTGAATTTCAATCACGCCTGGCACCGATTGCGTCGCATTGGCTTGCTTGCATCTACCTACCATAAAGCCGGTAGTAACGGGTCGATACCTCTCTTTCACTAGTAAATCACATCATGATAGGTGATATACATCAACATGAGTTTACGCGGAAGTCCCATGTCAATCGCCTCATCGCGTTCCATTGCTCATAACTCATCTACCATCCTCTTCCCCCTGCCTATTCAGCCCGCCCAACAAAAATACGGCAATGTAAAAGAAATGAAGGAGAAATTATGATACCCACCCCATCATGCATCTCGCCCAAACGCCTTGCAAACCCCCAAAGTTATCCTTGCAGATGACCCATTTTTCCAGCGCCAAAGAAAGACCCTTGCACGAAGAGAAAAACAAAGCCGCCGCGGCAGGTAAAAGAAGAAGCGAAAAGAGAAGCCATCCATGGAACCGAAAATACATTACCTTTTGCTAGTATTCTTGCCCGCGCCAAGGCGTGACTCGCAGCTGCAACCCGTTGCTGTTTCGCTCGACCGCCACCTCTAGATCTTCGTCGTTTTCAATGGGGTAGTGCTTGTTTTCGGCCTTGTCGAGATAGGTCACTTGCAGTTCTTGGTTGGCGTCATCGGAGTGTTGCAGTTGCCGTCTTTCCTTGACTTTCTTGTAGAGGTCGTCGAAATTTACCGAGAGCGGCATGCGGATGATAATACACTCGTCTCCCTCGAACCACACTTTGATTTTCAAGTGGGTTCCAGCGTTGGTATTGGTGGTTGCGGTCGAGCTAGAAGAGTGCTGGTGGTTCATTGGTGGAGGGTAGAGGTTCGAAGAGTATGCTTGGGAGGTGGAAGACTGTCCGCGCTGATGATTAGGGTAGTTTGACCCGGTGGAATAAGGGGTGACTGGGGTGGTAGCTTGTAGCTGGTCGGCAGAGGACTGTCTGCTGGTGCCCTGAGAGGGGTCTGAAGACCGTGCCGATTGCTGCGAGAGTCTGTATTCTTCCTGGGCTATGACATCTGGGTCGATCTCGTAGTCACCCTGCCTGGGAGCAAAGAAGCCTTTTACTAGCGGTCCATGCGTTATGTGGTGACCGAGTTTCAGCAGGTTTTTGATGTACTCATCGAGGTTTGCACGGCGACCATTTGATATGTTGTCGGTCACGTAGGTAACAGGGCCGGGCATAAAGGGCAATGTGCGCTCCCCAGAGCCACTTGTGCCAGCCTCGACCGGGTATGTCGCAATGAGCTGGATCTGGAGGTCATAGAAGTCCTGGTATAGACGCTGCAGCTCCCAGTGTCGGCCGTCCTCCATCTGACACTCGATGATGAACCAGAATATGTCGTCGGCAAAGCAGTACCGGGGCACGTTTGCTGAGATTGGCGCTAACAAATTATCCGAAGTGCGGTACTGGTTTCGCGGCGGCTGTTGTGCGAGGGAGTTGTTTCGAGAGTGCGATTGGGAGATCTGTTTGGGGTCAGCTGGAGCTGCAGGCGGTCAATTAGGCAAAACTCACGGATCCGGCCTTGCTGTGGCTCCGCACGCTCATGCGTTCCATGCCCTGCTGCAGTGTTTGCTGGGAATTTGTCTCGAGCTTGCCGAGGGGTATGCTGCCATTCTTGTAGTCTGCGGCCATCTTCTTCCACTCCTCGACCTTGGGCACGCCCGCTGCGGTGACGGCAGCCTGCGTGTCGGGCACGGCCTTGCCGGTCGTCATGTCGCGGATCTCAATGAAAGCCACGGGGATGAGGCCAGGGCCGCCCAGGCGTGTTATCGGCTTTGCGACGAACCATTCGGGGTTGGACTGGGCAATGACGATGATGGCCTCGCCCTCCTTGGCTTCCAGCTCGTCGGGCCGCTCTGCTTTGAAGTCGTATATGACAATGCCGTAGACCATGGCCCCCTGTTTGCCGGCGCGCGACAGGCGCATCGAGGGGGGCATCATGCTCATGTCGAGGGGGTTGCTGGGGCTCGTGATGCGCTCCTGGTAGCCCGAGTCGTGGGGCTGCTGCGACGGGTGCTGCGTCTGCTGCGGTGTTGCTGAGCGCGGTGTTGCTGAGCGCGGTGTTGCTGAGCGCGGTGCTGAGCCGCCGCTGTCGCGCACCGTCTTGCCTACGCCCTCAAAGTATGAGACAGGTACCAGGCCGCGGGTGCCGTGCAGCGGGTTGCAGGCTTCGTACCAGTCGGTGTCGTTTTCGCGGCCGACGACGTGCAAAAAGTCTCCTTGTGAAAAGCTGAGGTAGCCCGAGTCGGGGGTTGAATCGTCCGCCTTGTAGTCGTAGAGGGCTTTGATTACCTGCGAAATGATCGTCGTTAGCTTCGCGCTCGTACCAGGCTAGGAAGGCGCATCGGCTTGTGAAGGCAGGTGTGCGCCGTGACGAGCACGCCCGCCCGTCGCCTCTCCAGCTTCTTCACCGCGCCTGCAAACATGCAGTCGGCGGTGCACCCCGTCCCCGTCCCCGTCCCCGTCCTCGTCCTCGTCCCCTTCAGGCAAGGCGCGCGCATCGCCGCGGTCGGCTATCTGGGTGTGGTGTGCAGCTGTGCAGTTGTGCAGCTGTGCAGGCGGGGTGTTCGCAGCTAGACGTACCTTTTTCGGCGGGACAATGGCTATCGCATCTTTGGGCGGGATGGAGATGTGGTGCGGCCTCGTGTCCTTCTCTCCTTTCATCGACCGACGGAACTGCAGACAGCAACATTAGCACATGCGCGTGGGTGCCGCTCGGGCCGCTGGTGGCGGGCCTCTCACCTTCATGGCTGGAGCGAGTGAATGCGACGGCAGCAGTGAACAGTGTGCGCGCGCAGCAGGTGGTGGAAGTTGGCCGTGGTGAGGTGAAAGCGGCGCAGTGGGACGGTCGCACGGTACCAAGTATGACAGAGGACTTGACAGGCCAACGACCCCCAAGACCAGAACGCAGGACGAGAACAGACCAACAACGGGACCGATTGGGCTGGTTGGCGTGTGCGGGGACGGTGAGGTGAGTAGATCGATCAGTGCTAGTGCTCTGCCTCTGCACCTGATATGCTTTGCGTCAAGTACACGTTTGCTGCCAGCGAGCCCGTCGACGTGTTTGCAGTCAGCCGCCAGTCACTCACGATGGGCAGCAAGAAATCAAAGGAACAGCCCTCTGCACTCTGCACTCTGCACTCTGCACTCTGCACTCTGCACTCCAAGAGGGGATCCCGGTCGTACTCTACTACTTGGCCACGGACTCGAGCTGCCGGGTCGAGGATGGGAAGCGTGGCTGAGTTGCAAATGCGCCTCAATCTACACCCTTTGTTGAAAGAAATGCGCGTGAGGTCCTCCGTGACGTTGACGACGCCGAGCACAATGCCGTTTTGTCGGGAATGTGGTAACTGAAAATATGTCCCGTGTGGAGCACCCAACGTCGACCCTAGACTCCAGACCTCCACCTCGGACTGTTAGAGTGCTAGCTTGGACAATCCTGCCAATCTGCTCTCCATTACTTCCCGGTTTGTCACCGTACCTTTCCCTACTTTACAGTTCACTTAGCATTTATTATGCCCGCTGGGCCAATCGCCGCCACCCGCCATGCCCAAACATGTCATGCACTTCATGCGAGCGCCTGCTCACCGCGTGTCGCATTCCACAGCCGCAATGGTACTTTCCGCCGCCCTCTTCGTACCTAACCCCACCTGTATGCACACTCGACATAGGAACGCTGGGAACATGCTAGTAGCAGTGAATGTCGGCCCGCACCCACAGCGCGCTGTGTCACCGTCAGCATCACCTAGATTGTCTAGAGCGCGAAAACCATGCAGCAGCGCTCGTCTGTCAGATTTGTCTGTGAACCAATGTATTGCTCGCTCGCACGAAACTTCGAAATTCTCTGCTGGGTATACGCGCCGTTGAAGACGCCACTACACCAATCAAACTCGCGAAACCCCGTCGGACGACCCCATTGGCCCCCACCAGCGCCTGCAACAAGCACACACAAAGGAAAACCACAAGGACCTTTTCTTCAGCTAGCCAAAGCCTGGAACCTCGAAGCAGACTAACCCACTTCCATTCTCAGAAGCACCCTGCGAGCTCCCTTCCACACCAGTTGGTTATCGCAATGACCGAAAGACGTCTCAGTGGCAGCTCCAAGTGGGGATGCATGCCCGCATCAGGCAGCGCCTTTCGATTATATTGCAAAAAGTAAGACTTGCGACAACGAAGTCCATGGACCACCAACTACCGACATTCGCCACATCTTCTCTGGGCCGCAATGTGTCCTCGTGCACCCATTTGTCCCACCATCTTTTGCCTTCTGTCCAACTGGTATGAGTGATGTGTAATAAGAGAGGAATATGTTGTACCAATTATCATGAACGCTTTCTGAGACGCGAAACGTGTCGAAAAGGAACTAGAGGGTTCGCCGCATCCAACGCATCAAACGGATACCCCGCCTTCCGAGGAATTGTCATCGGAGAAATTTGAGCAACTGAGACCGGAAGTGAAGTACAAAACAAGAAGCCCTTTGTAGGCGGAAGCTGGTGACGTACGCCTGTGGCGTGGGGTATCGCAAGGAAATTTACGTCTTCAACGGGGCGTGCTCCAACGTGAAAGCATGAACAGTGTCGCAATGGCCGTGGATCGCCTCATATTTGGCCCTTGATGTCTACTTTGCGGAATGCGGCCGCACGAAGGCCTTCGAAGAGAGTGGCGGCTTCTCGAATTTTCACTCGGCCCGTATCGTTGTCCATGACGCTCTGTGCGCCGTGCGATTCGAGAAAGTCACGGCACGATTCATCGTTTTCAAAGCCAAGCTCGTCAGTGAGGAAGCGGAGGGTGACGTTAGCATAACTAAGTTTGTTAGCGGTAGTCTTTGAGGAGGGCAAGGCCGTGACTTACCCTCTAGAGATGTTAGCGAGAGCATTAAAGCGCTCACGCTCGATGAACATGTCCATGAGATAGCTGCCCATGTTCTCAGCCGCAAGATACAGCTTGAAGAACTTGTGGTAGTTGCCAAGAGCCAGGGCGGATCGGACATCAAGTGCATGTTTGATCCACGGGTGTGATTTGTCTGCAAGGGTTAATTCTGCCAACATGTCGTTCATGTCGGACTTGTTGCACGTGTAGACGATATAGAGAATGCGGTAAGCCTTGAACTCGGCCGGCTTGCCATCCAGACCTTGCGCATAAAGCGCCTTCAGCTGCGTCTGGCACTGGTTATACTCACCCAAGTCCCCCTTCTCTAGCGATATCCGGGCATGGATCTCGTATACCTTCACGGTGAAGGCATTCTTAATGTGCTGGACGGTGAGATCTTGGCGAAGAGACTTGAACTGGTTGCAGATGTAGTTGTAGTTCTTCTCCGTTTTCCACTTCTTGATAAGCATGGCTAGGGTCTTTTCCAGTACATGCAAAGGGCGAACGGTCTCGGGTTTCGGTGGAGCTGTGAGCCGGAAGTAGCTCTTCTCCAGCTTGTCATTTAGTCCCACAACAGGTGCATTGTTCATCTCGTCCTCTTCTTTTTGTAGCGAACCCCACGGGGGCGTTGTCTTGGTGCCGTTGTTGCCAAGCTGGAACCGCTGGCGGCGCTTGTCCAAGTCGGCTTTGTCAAACTTACTGAAGGCGTCCCCGGATGTAGCGTTCTTTTTGTGCCGCTTCTCGTTGTGTCCTTCGGCAAACGTCATCCGTGATTCTAGGTTAGTCTTGCGCCATGGGGGTACCGTCGGCTGCGTCGCTAGCTCGTCGGGATCTTGCGACTTGCGCTTCTTGGCTTGCAGAGGCGACAATGGGTTAGTGTGTAGATGTGTGGCAGCCAAAGCGTTGTTTGCATGCTGGAGCGCAGCTATTCTTCGCTCTTCCTGCAGTAGTTGCTGTGGGAGAGGATGTGTAGGCCAATCTATAGCTTCATGCGCATCGCGCTCGGCGTAGAAGCTGATGGTTGCCTTTAGCTTTGTCTGCATGTCGGCATTCGAGATGCCCTCGATGGCATTTTCGGGCTGGAAGGCACGGCGAACATACTCGCGGACCGCAGGCGGCCACTCGACCTTTTTTGGCTTGGCGGGGGCGGCGGAACCCATGCTTGGCTGGCGATGGACGTCAGTCTGGGGACTGTCTGGGGCGGTGTTATATAGACTCACGGGCGCGGGTGGCGGGCTGGGTTGTAGTGTGGTGCGAGGATTGACGGAGTGGTAGGCGGGCGGCTGTTGTGGCCGGCTCCACACCGTGGTCATGGAGGGCAAAGACATGATGACTACAGGCCAACAAAGGGCGCAATGAAGGGAGGGGGAGGGGGAAGTGACTACAAGGTGAGGTTCTTACAAGGTTGAGTGAGAGATGATTCCTCTTAGACGACGGTGCGAGGGGTTGTAGAGAAAGTCGCGGTGTGGAGGTGGTGAGGAAGCGACGGGCGCATGCGCGAATCAGAAGATCAGCGGCGGCTTGGCAGACCCCAGCGACGTGAGTGCTAGCCGTTTTGGTCAAGCTTGGAATGCATGTGACGACGGCGGGCTTGGGCGACCTTGGAAGCATCGCGGTGCTTGGAAAATGGTCGCCTGCAAGCAGACATGACCATTGCATCCCACGCGCAAATGGTCTGAATGTTCCTGCACCAGCTCGATCTCACCACCGCACTGCGCCCGTCGCTCCTGCCGGAGGAGACACTACTGTTCGTGCAGGACGCTGTTGGTCTCTATGAGGGGTACGTCGTCCCGAATGTCCTTGATATCAAAAACTGACAATTCGCGCATAGCAAGTTCAAGATACCACAATACCAACATGGCCAGGCCTATCTGACCTCGCATCGCGTGTGCTATGTGGACCACGCGGAGCCGCGCAAGAACTCGGTAGCCATATTCCTCAAGGATGTCGAAAAGACTGAGTTCTACGTACGTTGCGCATGTCTGCAAACCTTCTCCATACTGTGCTGACTGGAAAACAGGCCGGCTTTCTGAAGTCTTCGGCGAAAATTACACTGCTTCCCCAAACCCTTGAAGCAGCTCACACGCGGTCCGTCAGTCCCAACCGCTGCCGGGAGCCCGACCGCGGCGACTCCGCCCCGACACAGCAGCCCTGCACCAGCACCACAGCAAAGCGCTACCTGGGTGTGTCCCATATGCTCCTTCTCGAATCCCGTACCCTCCAATTTCGATCCAGCATTGGCCTCTCGAACACCTATACCGCCATGTCTAGCCTGCGGGATCAAGCCGCCCACTGTGCATGTAGTAAAAGCAGCAATAGCGGGCATGTCGAACAGACCTCCACCTCCACTAAAAGATTTCAAGTCTGGAGGCGCCTTGCCTTTGCCCTCGGCGAATGGAATGGTGTCATGTCCAAGATGCACGCTCGAGAACCACCCCTCCTTGAGTACTTGCGAGATTTGTGGTGCTCCGTTGACGACAGCGGTCGACCGACGACTCGACCTAGCCAGAGATGTCAGCAGACCAGAGTCCCCTGGGCCATCGTTAGCTGCAACCGCACAGAGCGCCGTGCCTGAATGCATCAAGGTTTCTTTCCGTCAAGGGGGAGAGAAGATATTCCACGAGCGCTTGAAGAATGCCTTGGTGCAGCGCAAGTGGCTGCTTCACAGCGCCCCGCCAATACCAAAGCCTCGGCCAGCTTCAGGAGCATTCGAGGACAATTACTCTATCAAGTCGGATCAGTCATCGGCGGAGCCGGAGCGACCTAGAGTTGTCGGCATAGCAGGCCTAGAGCGGCGAGGCTTGGAACAGAGGCAGAATAATGAGGCTATGATAGGCAGCGCTTTCGAGGATCTCGAGGCGCTTATGACTTCGGCAAAAGAAATCATAGCCCTAGCTGAGCAGTTTGCATCTCAAGCAAATATAGGGTCGAATGGGAACTCTGAAGCTAGCGTATTAGCGTCACAATCAGCCTCGGCTCTTGGTCTTGTAACAACGAAGGACATGCTGGGCACCGGCTCAGGTTCAGAGTCTTTGTATGTTTCGGAACTTTCACGAAACCTGGCTGAATGGCTTACCGACGATACGCGCGGGGTCCTTCGCAGGGAAGGCGGTATCATGACCTTGGTGGACCTCTGGGCTGTGTTCAATCGTGCCCGAGGTGGCGTTGAGTTGGTCAGCCCTTCAGACTTTGAGAAAGCGGCTCGGATGTGGGATACGCTCAAACTCCCAGTTCGGTTGCGTCAGTTCAAGAGCGGACTACTCGTTGTTCAAGGTCGCGACAGAACAGACGAGAAGACCATTGCCAGCCTGCTAGCTTGGCTGCACGGCCTGCATGATGAACCGCCTAGCGCGGACGTCACATGGGACTGGCAGATGTATGGTCGTGGTGTCACGGCACAAGAGACAGCGGAGCGATTCGGGTGGAGCGTTGGAGTTGCGACCGAGGAGCTTGAAATGGCTGAAGAAGCTGGCGCCTTGTGTCGCGAACAAGGTCTCGATGGCTTCAGATTTTGGGAGAACTGGCTAGTCAAGCTCTCCGTTACATCAGTCGATGCTTAGAATGTAGATATATATTCGTGAATAGGACGGCATTACGAGCCTTGCCAAGTTCAATCGTTGACGTGCAAACACTCAGCGTTGCGATACTAGTCCAAAACAGGGAAGGTATATTTGCATTTAAGGCCTCCGGTTGAGCCGCCCCTGTCTCAACTCAGCCAACGTAAAGACTACCAACCTAGATCGCAACATCGTAACCCTTTCTGGAACATATATGGCGAATAATGCGAAGCCCATCGCCCTCTCGTCAAAGTTATGATAGCAATGACATCAAAATGAGCCCGATCCGCGGGAACCACTCCACGGACGAAGAAGCGCAATTGCTCGGCGCAGATGAATCAAGCAACGAAGACGATGGATTGCCCTTACATCGCACGCGAGCCCAGCAGGGAGGTCTTCTGGACCTGTTGAATGGACCCGATCCGCCCAAAGTACATTCTATTCGCCCATTCCTACCAGCCTTGCAGGAAGCTCCGGTCAGATTATTGGAAGTCTGGAAAATTGACAAGAGAGCCCTCCTTTCAGTCGTCTTGCTTCTTTGGCTCATTCTCTTCGCAGGCTTCTTGACGGCCCAGCTTCCTATCGAAGATGCAGACGGAAGGTATGTGGTAAATCTGGACTGCGTAGACACTCTTTGGTGGAGAAAGAACGAGTGCGGAATCGATGGCGTCAACTGCCACCCTTTCGATAACCGGACTTTTGCCTTTCGCTGTCCTGCAAAATGCCGCGACGTTCAGGTTCTGAATCCAAGACATGTTGGCCCTGTCGACGTGAACTATCGCCCTCTCGTCATTGGTAGTGGACCCTATCGGGGTGACAGTTTCATCTGTGGCTCAGCGATACATGCGGGAATCATCGACAATGCCAAAGGCGGTTGCGGTCGAGTCAGCCTGGTTGGATCACATACCGGTTTTGCAAGCACCAAGCAGCATGGTATTGAGTCAATCGCTTTTGACTCCGACTTCCCATTGTCGTACTCCATTGCCTCGGATGATAGATTTCGATGTGCTTCTGAGCCCCGTTCGACGCTGCTCGTTATATCCTTGATCTTCACTGCGGTACTTGCCATCTTTTCGGCTTCCCCATTGATCTTTTTCTCCATTTATGTACTCATCTTTGCGCATGTCAGTTTCGTGTCTGATCCGCCATCGGCCTCGTATCGTAATTCTACTGTATTACCGGACCATCTCTCAATGTTCGCTAAGCGGTTGCTGCCCGCGATCTTCGTTGCCATTGTCGTATACCGCGCTATCGTCAAGAAGACATTGTCTGGGGTCACGGCCCAGTTCGAGAAGACGTTATTCTGGCTTGGTGGCTTCTGGGTAGGAGCACTTTCAAACTACACCTTTGACTGGATACCGATATCGCGTCTTTCTGCGCACGACTTGAGTCAACAACCCGGCGCAAAGCTAGCCCTACTTGTGATCATATTGGTCCTCGCCGGTATCATCATTAGCCAGGCTTACTCGTTCTGGCGCGAAGGTCGCCTCCTACGTTACCTTGGAATCTATGGCATAATCATCGGCGCGATTTTGTTATGTCTTCTCATACCTGGAGTCAATCTACGGATACATCACTACATCCTGGCACTTCTGCTTCTGCCAGGTACCACTCTTCAGACTCGGCGTTCTTTGCTATATCAGGGCATTCTCTTGGGTCTGTTCGTGAACGGAGTAGCTCGATGGGACTTCGATTCGGTGCTCCAGACGAGTGAGGCACTGCGGGCTGATGCGGAGCTAAATTCAGAAGTGCCCACGAGCTTGATGCCGCTCATTGAATCCAGAGTAAACGGCCTTGTTGTGAAGTTCACTTGGAACCCGCCTCCGGAGTTTATGGACGGCATTAGTGTAATGGTCAATGATGTAGAGCGTGATCGGGCATGGTACGACGATGGAGAGCCTCGGACTGGTCGAGAGTTCGAATGGGAGCGACCACCCGGCCCTGCAGTCAACGAGTATTTCCGGTGGGCATATCTGAAGGATGGGCGCACGCTGGATTACTCAAAAGCAGGCGTGCTCTCCACAGAAGGTGTTTGGACGCCAGAGGATACTTCTAGCTGAGACCAAGTGCTAGAAGAGGGACTGCATGAGCATCCAGAAATTTATTAGCGCATTTGGTCGCCCAGCTCTTTCCGTACCTCGAAGTTTGGTAACGGCCATCGGCACCCCACCACTTTCCAGACTTAAGCATGGCCTCTGAGCATATATGTGTCACCTTCCCTGCTCTCCAACGTGATAGACTTATCCCTCATCAATACACATTCAGTCATAAGTCATCAGTCATCAGTCATCATGCTTCCAGCTGTAATACTCGCCCTGACGACGCTCTCTGCGGCTGCGGCAGCTGCCAAGTGCCGTAGCGATCAACCACGATGCCCAAATGAGAACACTTGCACCACAACCACAGGGAATGGAGCCGTCTTCCAGATGAAGTGCGCCACAGACTACAATGGGATTATTATTCAGTCCACCCAGGTTTGCTTGCTCTTCATACGAGGCATGAATTAGATGTAATTAACAAAGGATAGGCTGGTTCGTATGCTGACTGCGCAAGTGCGTGTGCGTGGGTCACGGGCTGCAAGGCCTTCAATTACAAAGGCGAATTCTGCTATCTCCTCGGAGACTCGCTAGGAACTGCCCGCACGTCGTAAGTCCTTGGCTGCATTGCTTCGCTTCACTTCATTTCTGACACGCCCATCAGTGACTCCGTTGCCGCAGGTGTGATGACCACGGCCGGCACGACCACGTCATCAAGCTCAAATGCCTGCAGCGAAGTTGTCGACTGCGACGTTCCCGGTACTAATGATTGTACATACACCACCGCAGCCGGAACCTTCAAGACAAGTTGCGACACTGACTTCTACGGCAATGATATCGGAATCACCTCAGCGGATAACTTGAGTCAGTGCATGAAGAACTGCGCAAGCACTACTGGCTGCAAAGCTGTGTCTTGGTCAACTGGAACCTGCTATCTCAAGAGCATTGGATCCAACGGCATCTTCAGCCAATGGGTTGACGGTATGTTCTTCTCATTCAAAGGGACCCTGCATCAGTCATTAACGATCAACAGCTGCTGCAATGGCTTAGATATCCAATGCGGTCTGAAGGATGATACTGCCACGTGACCGAGCAAGGTAGACACTCGCAAGGGCTTCTTTCGTGTTGGAATCCTGTCAAGATATTCGACTGTCCGTACAGCTCCTTGAATGTATAAATGAAGTAATGCTGATTGGAGACTTTGTGGTGACTAAATTTGGCACCACTGACTCGCTTAACCTTGTTGATCACCAGCGCCACCGCCCTTTCCTTTCTTCCTTCTCTTGGCATCGCCTAAGCGAATGTGGCTGTACATCATGATTCGGCTGATCCTGAGATGCACCAAGTTAACGACCAATCATTTAGATCTATTGTTCCCCGAGAGATCGCACAAACGTAACTGCTCCTATTTGCATCGATCTCCACGTCCGTCGCGGCTGGGCATAGCACAAGTTTCATGTCTTGGGAGAGGCAGATCATTCAAGGCGCAGGTCGTGGCAGTCGTACTCGCGGGCACCTTGGACGCCTGGTGGGATGCAAGGCTATGCTGAAGGAAGTCAACTGTAGTATGAAAGGGACGACATTCTTGCGTTCTTCCGCCTCACTAATATAACCATTTCACAAGTTTAACTACCAGTACAAATCATTTCATACATCGCAAAGTCCACGAGAGCACTCAGCATCAATATGAGCATCCTCACAACCTTCACCCATCCCAGCGACATTCGCTGGCAAGGCCGCCAGCGTCTCCACCATACTATTTTCCTCGCTAAAAACATCCTTCTCATACCCTTTATAATCCTCGTCATCGTTGAGTCCGCGCTCATCAAATCATGGTGGCCATACGAATCCTGGGAATACGCTCCGTATGTCTCTCCCTTTCTCTCTCTCTTCAAAACACCACTAACCTCGATCTTCTAGATACGAGTTCTGGCTGCGCATCGGCCTCGCGCTTATCCCTGATCTGGTTTACACCATCATCGCGTTCTTCCTGATCCTGAACCCCATGCATCACTCCACATACTCGTTCCATCCGATCTTTGCGCTGGTGGGAAGCGTGTTGACGGTGTGTCTGTATGTTCAGGTTTGCTGGTTGGGTCCGTTCTTGGCGTATGCGAATGAAGTGCAGTTTCCCAACGAAGATGCGTGGCAGAGTATTGTGTATGCAGAAGCAGGGATTCAGGTGGTGTTGTTGCTCATGTGGGCAGGTATGATGGGTTTGAGTGCTGTGGCGGTGCACAAGTGGAGGGCTGGGAAGAAGGGTGGAGTGGAGGAAGTCAGAGTTTAGATGGATCAGAATGTGTTACCGAATGGGTGGAGAAGGGTCATGCACGATTGAACTGTACTTAATGTCTAATGCTCTTATTTTGATGTTTCCGGGCAAGAATGCGAATGCAATCCTGAGTTTTCCAATGGTAACTGCTTAATCCTACCCCATTGCTTGATTTGAGCCTCTCTCAATCAGAAGACTAACGCTTTGATCAAGCTCACCCTTCTCGTCTCCTAAACCATAATCCCCTTTCCAAGCTATCGCTGATTTGTGCGACTGATGGGCTCTTCAACCAGCCAATTACGTCTTTAACCATAGCATGGAATGGCATTGGCTCCGTCGGGACCTTGACCTTGCCGTTGGCAATGATTCGCAAGAGCATTTTGATGGCGACATAGCGGTATAGAGTTGCCCAAGGCAATTGCTTCATCGCCTCGTGAGCGATGAGCGTTATAGTCATGGCTCCACCAGTGATACAGCAATGGATGTTGCCTCGCTTGTAAATGGCCCGTTGCACATATGACGTGCGTGCTTCGCATCTTTGTAGGACTAGATCATCCACAAGGGCTCCAGCCTGCAGAAGGTATTGGACCGTAGTGAAGGCAAGCCTAGTCTGATCATGCAGCATACATCTTGACATAGCATTGACGAGGATTTGAGACGCGATTGCATTGCAGTGTCCGATGTATAGCTCAATCATGGAACGATATCCATAGCCTGCGGCGAGTGCAACGCCGCTGATTTCCTTATGCCTTCCATCTTTAGGGAGGATAGTTGTCTACATTAAGAACTTGTTTCCCAGTAGAAACCGAAGAACATTCGTCCTGCCGGCGACACATGCTGCTTTGGCCCCCTTGAGTATGTAGACTTGCAAGGCAGAGCTGATCTTGTCGACCTGAATCAAACCAGCTTTCTCAGTGACAGACAGATTGCCGACTAAAACGATTTCATCTTCGCCATTTGCTTGATGTGTCAGAAACTCAGCTTCGGGTAGTGCCTTGACCATTGCAAGGGAGGATGTGCGCCTAGCTTCGACGAAGTAAGGCGTATGTCCATCTAACAAGCTTTTCGGAAAAAATATGCCGGGTAAAAGCCAAATGTAGCAGCGCTATATCGACTTCGTTGTATCGGATGGCCTCACGTATCGCTGCGACAAAGACCCGATAGTAGTGATGGTAGTCTGAGCCTGGTTCTTTTCTGGAAGGATGGTTGAGAGTTGGAATCGCTTTGACTGCGTCTTGTCTTGTCTAACCCCGTCCAAAAGTAAGTGTACGATCTCCAGCTTGCCCGTGGATGCAGCCGTAGCCAATGGAGATTCGAAGCAGTCGCGATTTCCAAAAACATCGCCTCCCAGAGCAACGTATTCTTCCACTGCTTGTTAGCTTCCTACAGCAGCTGCAGCTGCGAGCAAGGTGTCCAGCTTCGCCTTCTCGCTTCCAGGGTAGAAACGGCGGTCACTGATGGACATGTACCAGCGTGGCAAGTACGCTTCCGTGGTGATTGGATGACACGAATCTGTGAACTTCACTTTCGTACGAACAAGCGCGCGACACAGATCTTGTATATACTGGTGTCGTATCTCATCCATCATGTTCTTTGCAGGTACAATGGTGAGCAGCTCATCAGCAATGTGGTTGACGAAACCAGTAGTCGGACCAAACCCTATCGCTTTCTTCGCGTGGCTGACCAGAAGTGGTTCTAGGTTCGCGTTGAGGAACTTGAAGAGCCGTGTTCTAAAGTTTTGGATATATATTCTGCTGATTTGTAGTACGACTCGAAGACTTCGTATGGCGTCATAGTCAACAATTGCTGGTTGACGACAGAAGCGACGGTACGGCAGACGGCGCGTGCAAGATGCACCTCGGGCCAACCGACTAAGTCCATCAATCCAACGAATACTTTCTCCAAAAGCTCTGGCGGGAGCTCTGTGAGGCGCGACATGTTGGCACTTCAGTGTAACGCTAGGTTTGGTGTGACGTGTCGCGTGGATTGACTCTGGTCGGGCTTAAGAGCAGTGAGAGTTGCTCTGATGAGAAACAAAGCTTCGTAATAATCAGTAGAGAATGGCATGTAAGCTAAGGAAATCAAGGCCTTGTCCAGCGAAGGCTAATCCCGGTGACATGCCACGACTTTGCCCTGTATGCTTTCACAATGTTGAGACCAATCCCGCGGTTCGCACCTGAACATAGTTAGATTTCGTTTTGTTCCCGCGAGTGTTGGACAGCCATGAACCAATAACGACACTCTTTGTCGTTATAGGGTAGGTGTTCTAGCCGTGAGAGGTGGTCTTGGTGGATTTTGAGGTGAGTAACTTGCTCGGAAAGGCGGGAGATTGGCAGGTCCAAGTCCTTTACGCGTGACACTAGGTGGCGGTTGTGATGTTGATTGTCTGTCCCGTGTCAAACGCTGTTGCCGCCGGCAGATCCCGCGTAGTACCAACGCACGCATCTGCCCAACATCTAAATTCAAGAGCATTCTTACTTGGATCCACCTTCTTCTTTGTAAGACGTCTTTCTAATAGTAACTTTACATGTAATCAGACACCTAGGCAGTCGTTTGCCTGTTGTTCTCGTTCTTCTCCGCGGCTTTCGCCATGGATATGGGTGCAACAGTCTGTAGTAACGATCTGACCGTCAGCAATTTTGAATGGCTGTTTTTGTTCAACAACGCTCGGATTATTTGATCTCCAGTCTCGAAAACAGAATTATCCACTCTCGTTTGTGTTATATTCTGCTGGACCATTACGTACGTGAGCAGGCTGACTGAAGGATGCAGCCGTTGCATGTTTGTGGGGGAACGACTGTGTACATGTATGCGGGCATTCGATTTGATATTTGGCAGAGTTTAGTTAAGATGGCGAGGACCATAAACAGCGGTTCATTTCTACACGTAAGGTTTTTCACTTCAGATGCTATTGTGGCGAGAACACCCCCTACAAACAACTGCAGCGTAACCACTCTGTAAGCACAAGCAGCTGTCGCAACATATAAGGCTTCAGGCCAGTGTCAATGAAGCTTACTCCTCAGGTTCTTCTCAATTCTGGACTCACCGCATCCTGGCCCAAGGTGCGTGTACTTTCATACCTGTACTTGCATTTGATAGCAGCCGAAAAGACAAAAAGCGATGACTGCAATGATCGGCCCTTTCTTTTTGCTGGTCCGTAGTTTCGTTGATTCTTTTCGTGCTAGGCTGACGCACATGTAGGTAATACTGAAAGTGCATCGGCTGGTGGTGCACCTCAACAGGGGCGGTGCATTGTGGCTGAGCGCAGCTATGCGTTGCATTCAAATCATTTAACAACTGCTCAATACCCACTTTTCGAACGAGAAAACACAATGTTGCCATTTCAATTGTTCCCGCTGTCCTCTGCGCAACAACAACATTGACGGCTTCGAAACAGTTATGTCTACCATGTCAGACTGCGATCCGGAGCGGCCGCATCAGTACAATATTAGGTCCAGAAAGTTCCTCAGACGACTCCACAATCCAAGTATGGAGATGCTCTCTATGCATCACAGTACAGGCTATGAGATTCGCAGAAGTCAGCACCACCCGCCAACGCCGCATATCTGACTGGCCCGTACACTTCGTCAATGGGCTTAGATGCCGCCTAGCCTTATCAAAGTGTAGGCGGAAAAAATCTTAGGGGATCCCCTTGCAGATAGACGATACCTAGCTGGTCCCCCACAGTGCTCCTATACCTCCAATCGGCGATTTAGACGACATAGTTGTTATGTCGCACCTGCTAAATCAGTCGGCCTCTCGAATCAAGTCAAACCGCTGCGTTAACTCGAGAATTGATGTGCAGACAGCTTCTGCTTTAAGGGTGGTACCGGAGGCAGGAATTGATCGATCACTGGTAAAGCGCTGGCTGTCCGAGTGCATCGAACACCATAGCGTCTGTGGGGCAGGAAAGCATGACGGCTACGCTGCTCTGCTCTTCATCGACGTTCGACGAAAATGTCTGGTCTTGACGACCAACGCAGGTTACTTTGCATTGTCATATGTTTGGGGTAAAACAGAACAATTTCTACTCAAGCAGGAAAACATCGTCGAGCTAAGCGAAGATGGCGCATTGCATAAACACTGGGACAAGCTTGCAAATGTGTTGAAAGACGCGATTACCTTCGTTGATAATCTATCAGAACAATATCTCTGGGTCGATACACTCTGTATCATCCAGGATAGCCCCGGTCGTCACACATTTCTGTCTCGCATGAACGAGGTCTATCGAGCAGCCACGTGTACACTCGTGGCCATGGACTCCACAAATGCAATTTCATATTTACCTGGTTTGTAAGTAAGAAGCAGGAGAACTCGGACTATCGGTCGCACTTCGAGCGTCAGTGTAGTCAGAAAACGATCAGATCTCGCCAGCGCATTCAACACATCTGTATATGAGAGCAGGGCTTGGACATTTCAGCAGCGAACATTATCATCAAGATGCCTCTACTTCATGAAAGAACAGGTCTACTTTCAATGCCAGGAATCGATATGGAGTAAGGACCGTTTCGAGGATATTGAGCAAGACTTTGACCTCGAGGGAGCATATCCATCACTTCAATGGATGGGGCATTTTGCTATGGCGTTGGAGTGTTCTAAGTTCTCCGCATATGCTCAGCTTGTTACACAGTACAGTAAGAGAGAATTGTCATACCCAACAGATCGCCTGAATGCTTTCTCTGGGATCATCAGCAGCTTGGACAAAGCCTGGAAATGGAAGCTCTTCGCAGGGATGCCTTCAAATTCCCTAGACCAAGCACTCCTGTGGGGGCCTACAGCCGCGTGCTACCGTGTACAATCTACAAAAATGGAGCAATATCTGCCCAGTTGGCCATGGGCCGGATGTACTGGCAAAGTGCAGTTCAGTGAGTTTGCTTCCACACATAAAGCGCAGATCTGGAGATTCATCATTACGACTGTGAATGGTGCTGTCGATATACAGCTTCCTGATGGTGATAAACCATACGCAATAGTGGAGACGACAAAACGAATAATCCCCAAGAACGTAGCAGACGATACTCACCTGACGTCTGTTAGCTACCAGCTTAAAGACATGCCCAACCTTCTCATGTTCCATACAGAGGTGATATGGAGAGAAGATTTGAAGAAAGAGGACGTTGTTCAGTTGGATGACGCCTACCATATCTATGGTAGGTATCGATATATACTCGTGGCTCAGTCCTATCCAAACAGCCTGCGGGGTCAATGTGCTTGGATTATGCTTATCAGGGCAACCGAAGAAGGCTTTTCAGAGAAGGTTGTGCTCCGCACGGTAACCATGCAAGAAGTGGTGGGACGCAGCTCCTGTCTACGAAAAGATCTGTCTCGGATAGTGGACATATCATCTTCTACTATCCTTTGAATACTATGAGAACAAAGCCACTGTGAAAAGAAAGATCAACTCGTAAGCCTTATGCGCAAGTGATGAAACTGACTTTGAACTTCATGCGACAGTTGTAAGTCGGCTTTTGGGAGTATCCACTGATGTCGGTGGCCACACAGCAATAGTGGCTCCAGACAAGCCATCCTTCCAGCCTTGCAATACCAGTGGGCTCGTCAGAGTCGAACAAGGCGTCGAAGTCGGTGCGGTGGAAGTTGTAGAAGTAGGAGTTCTCTTCCGTGCCCCCCCCCCCTCTCAATCTTGACGGTGTGCATCCTGATACCAACGCTTCTGCGAGACGTCTCTATCGACTCGAGGCCAACAGATACACTTCTCAGGCTGTCTGGTTCTTTGGGGTGCCTTGGGAGCATAATGAGGTCCTGCGCCACGCCACGTCCAGTACCTCCCGCTTAATCAGACTCAACGGGGTGCTAGTTGAGGCTTAAGCCCTACTGTCTTTTCCTGGGTGTCTCACAGATCTGGTGCAGAGAGGCCGAATCGAGCATTCTGTGGCTGGCTGCGAAAACCCCATTCCACCTAGCGCCAGATTTCTTGTGCCTTGGCTCATTCATCCAGGTTCGCGAGCTGGCCAGCCTTGTTTAGAATCAGCTCTTAGGTACGCTTTGGGCTGGAACGGTGTAACCTACACATTGCAGTACTGCGCGAAGATTATGTGATCATTAAAGCCCGATATTCACCACGTGGATGCGCAATAAGCTACAGCGCAATCTTCCAACTTTTGTCTACCATGAAGGCTCTCGTAACATGTGGCGGCAAAATTTTCCAGCCGGTAGATAATGCTTTTCCTATCTTTGCCATGATCTATCTATTGACAAGTCCCACAAGTGCTTCACGGGTGCTAAGCTTGCACCAATCTTGAACAAAGCAGTATCGATCTTCTGTTCGAACCATGTCAAAACAACACCCAACCTTAACACTACTAAGCTTTGTGCATTGAAGCAGTTGGGAAGCAAGAGCACAAATCTGACATGGATTGTAGACTGTGAAGGCCACTAGCACGACTACCAGCACACCGGCGGCACCCATCCAAACTAACACGGTGACAACGACAGTCACAATCAATTTAGGCAAATCGTGCAAAATGATTGCATGCGCAGGGCTCTCAACACCCACAAGCTTCGCCGCTCCATCAGGTGCTACCAGGAGACGTGAGGCCGCCCTAGACGTCGAGGCTGAGGAACTGGCAAGAAGAAAAGTGGCTGCGTATGTCCCGCTCAGTTTTATCCTGAAGCTGACATCTCATCGTGTGCCTAACAATCTCAGAGCTGGCTGAAAAGAAACTGGTCGCGCATTGACTGCTAAGATTAGCAGCACATGCACTTGTTTTCTGACACCAACCGCTACAAAGACCGTAACATCAACAGCCGTAGTGACTGAGGGCGGCGCGATTCCTGTAAGTGTACCGTAGTGCTTAGCTACAATCAATCTGCAGTCGCTGACTTGATGCTAGCATGCTGTTACGGTACAGACAACAACCACGAGCACGGTCGCCGAGTCTGCTTGCACCTCTACGTCTACTGTCATACTACCTGGTGCCAGATCCTGCGGTGTACCTGTCCAGTCCTACACGAGCGGCACGGGACGTGTGGAACTGCAATGGCCCCAGGCGCTACTCATGCACTGTTTCGTATCGAGGGCAACAACGCTGGAGGCACAATCTTTGAAGGATGCTTTGAAAGCGGCTGTATTCTTGAAAGTGAGTCGAGCAAACCACGAATCCTTTGGCAAGAGCTAATTTGCTTCAAGGTTGTCGACGAATTACGCCACTGCCAACAGGTTTATCCGGTCGGATACTTTCCATCTGTCCGTCTTTCAGGACTGGTAGGGAGCGCTTTACGTAGCAACGATGAGACGGAGAATTGCAAATTGAAGAGAACATCATGAATTGTATTTGTATGTGAAAATCTGTGTGGTATTCATGACTGTCCAGTCTCGGTGGTCTTCAAGGCAATGTGACGACTGGAGCAGCCAAGAGAATGGCAAGTGCCCAGAATTGTAGAGCAGCTTGGAAGACACGTACAACTGTGCAAGTGACTCATGTTCGGGTTGTATTGTTTCGTCTTGTCGTGACCGGTAACATCCTTCGCCCACCTAGTTTCAGGCAAGCCTAAGGGTGCGAGACAGTAGATCCAACGTCCATGGCACACCTAGATTGACCGCGGACGGTAGTTGGAGGCGCATCACCGGAGTTATGTACGGTGACGACAAGCACCTTCGCCAAATTCCATTGACCCACAGGGAAAGCATCGAACGATGCCAGGATCGACGGCGGGAATACCAGCATCAAAAGGACCGAGCCATATGGCTACAACTGTCTGGGAAATGGCCGGCTTAGTATATGCAGTGCCAAGACGTGACTCAACAACACGGTACGAACGTAGAGATTAGTGAGCTGGAGAGTTGGCAGAAGCGATGGCGGAGGACCGTAAAGTGGGTTTTTGGCTGGTGTCACATGCTGATGATCTTGGTCAAACTCAGAGATGGGGGATGGGGAATTTGTTCAAGCGCTGCAGACGAACGGTGGTTTATAGGTCGAATGAGGGCAAACTGGAGCCAGGAATGCAACGCCCCACAATTGGACATGCCCAGATAGCGGCTCGCTGTACAAGTTTCGCTCTCAAGTTCGAGGAGAAGACTGCTGGTCTTCGGCCCATGTGGCAGTAGTGCATCGAATATCTTGCAAAGGAACTGCACTGGCATGTGGAGATTGTCGGTAACCCCAGCTTTTCTCCACATATTCTCCGCCGTTGCCGCAGCGAAATGGAAAGTTGGGCTGACATGACATGCATGTTGCGGCCACGCTCTTTCAATTCACCAGGTGGTCAATTGGTCGATGGCCCGATTTTCTTTACCATGTCAAATGGAGTGTACAAGCCCATGTCCTATCTCCAGTGAGAATGTGGCCCGGTTCGAGTGTGAGGAGACATGGCCGCGGAGGGGCAAGAAGCAGTGAAGTACAATAGATCACAGGCTTTGAAGATAAGGAAGCCCTAGAATATGTGGCGTATGCATGTCGGTGAAGTAGTTGTTTCGCCAGTGGTGCTACCAGGAAGATTTGAAGCTATTTTGGCCAGATGATTTGGCGGATCAGCCAGGGTCCGTCCACGTGATGGACCGGATGCAGTTATAGTGTGACATGGATACGTCAACGCGCATGATAGCCGCGATATGCACGACATGGGGCGGCCTGTTCACCACACCACGCCATGTCTCGTGCGCGCGCATCGCTCCTCGTGCGCACGCCTGATGCTTACACCGCTGCAATTGCTGTGAAGATGAAGGGTCCACAGCTTATCATCTGCTTGCTGTGTATGCCTGGTGTGGGGGAAGTTTGCCCGAGTGTGCATGCCGGCGCGTACCCTTGAAGTGTGTCGAAAGCGTTAATAGTGCTCGCTGCAGCCACTACGACGACGACGACCACGACCGAGTGTTTCTCTTTCCTCTTTGCTCTTTGCTCTTTCCTCTTACCTCCCACGCGCTGGCCAGTAGGCGTCCACGGGTCCAACATGGTCAACTTGAAGCCTTGGCGCAAGGAGACGCCGCCAGCCGACGCCGCGACGACTACACCTGCCACGACGACTGCGGCTTCTGCAGACGAAAAGGATGCGGGGCTGCGGCGGAGGTGGAATCTGGGGATACTGAGCGACCCGCAGACAGACGAGGTGCCTGGTACGATTGCCTGGAATTGCATGCATGCATGCATGTGCCCGTGACTTCCCTGTTCCCAGACTCACATGACCGCAGGCTCCGTCATCCTCCTCTCCAAAACACACAACCGCAACGAGCCCTTGGGTCTGCAACATGCCCGCGCGCGCACATCGGCGTCTTCTCTGCCCTCGGCTTACGGCCCTGGGTCGCGCAGTGCATCGCGCAGCTCCCGACGCCCGCCGGAGAAGAAGCGCACAAAGGACGGCCGCTTCATCCTCGAGCCCCAGCCCGAAGACTCGGCCAATGACCCTCTCAACTGGCGGCAGCTCCGTCGCGACCTGGCCCTGCTGTCTCTGGGCTTCTACTGCATGGTCGGCGGCGGCATGACGCCCATTCTTGCCGCAGGCTTCAACGACGTCGCCCGCACCTACCATGTCACGATACCCCAGGTCGCTCTTACCACGGGCTTGTACATGTTGGGGCTCGGACTGGGCAGCATCGTAGCCTCGCCTACCGCTATCCTCTGGGGCAAGCGACCCGTCTATCTCGGCGCCATCGTCTTGTTCTGCCTGTCGTCCATCTGGTGCGCCCTGTCGCCCAACTACGCTTCTCTCGTCGTTGCCCGCATCGTCCAGGGCTTCGCCGTCTCGCCCGTAGAGTGTCTGCCCAGTGCCACCATTGCCGAGATCTTCTTCCTCCACGAGAGAGCATACCGCCTGGGTGTGTACACGCTTCTCTTGCTGGGCGGCAAGAATCTCATTCCGCTTGTTAGCGCGGCCATTGTGCAGTCTCTGGGCTGGCGATGGGTATTTTGGATCGTCGCCATCGTCGTCGGACTCTGCTTCTTCCTCATCTTCTTCTTCGTGCCCGAGACTTTTTGGGACCGCGCGCCCAGGCCAGCCAGAAGACAGACGACAAGCCGTAGCTCCAGCAAGCACCGCAGCCATCTCCACTTGCCATCGCGACATGCCAAGAAGGACGCTCCCGCCACTGCACTGCAGCCGCCCTCCACCGCCACCGCACCCGCGGACCAAGCACAGCTCTCACCCTCGGAACATCCCGCCAAGCCACATAAGCATGCCCACGTCGGCTTTGCTGACGATGTGCCATCTGGCGCACAAGTCTCCGAGGTTGATTTTGCACCTGCTGCTCAGGGAGACAGACAGGAGCGTGAACACGGCATTTTCGCCCCAACATCTCCCATGAGCACTCACTCAACCCCATCAGCAACACCCCACGAATAT